CTGTATTTATCGCTCATTATTTATGCATATATCAATCTATATGGCCACGAGACCCCATTAACGGGCAAACAAATGCCCGAAAATTCGTGGAAAGCCGCGCCCAAAAAGAAAACCGCACAGAAAGGAACACAAAAAAGGGAAGGACACTGGAGAGGACGGGGATTAGAAGGAGGAGGAGGAGGAGGAGGAGGAGGGCTGTTATCAAGGCAAAAGAGGCGACGCACCTGTCTGTCTGTCACATCACATATTTGTTTGCCTAACACACACTCTCACACACACACACACATAAGCACAGGCGAACGAACACTCGCAGGATCAGGCGCCTGTCGTTATGCCACACAATTTTATCAACATTAATTTGTCAAACATTTACCGGCATTTCTCGTGTGCAGGACTCGCAGGAGGCGAGTATCCTTCCCTTCTAATGAGAACAATAAGTTGAATGAATTTAATGAAATGAGATGTAAACATGTGGACAGCTGTGGACAAGCAGTGAAGAGCAGTGTGGAGGAAAGGACCCTGGCCATTGTTGGCAGCCCTCGCATTGTCCACCCCCCACCAAACACCCCCCACACCCTCCGCTCCACAACTCGCTTGTTTTCGAACTCGTAATGAAATTCTTGAGTAGAAATTCATTTTGCAACTTTTGCTGAAACAATGCTCATTGAATAATTTACGCCCTGCGCCAGCACAAATGAAAAACCCAAATGGGATGGGAAAGCGAGTAGCGTGTGGAAAGCGGAGAAAGTGGAAAAAGTGGGTGGGGGTGCGAGATTGAGAGGGTGTGGAAAACTGCAGCAGTGCTCCACTTAGTGAGCTCGCAGTCCCCTGGCGAATCTACGTGCTCGGGGTCCAGGCGCTGGGCATAATTGCATTAGCCGGATGCGCTGGATGTGGCTCCCATTTCCACTCCCATTTTCACTCCAATTTCCCCTCCCTTTGCCACCCCCTTTCCTTCCACTTTCCCTCCCACTGCCACCCCAGGGCTAATGTAATTGTTTTGTGTATTTAGCCTGGACATTGCATTCAAGTATCACGAGCCAGCGACCTGCCCTTCCCCACTGCCCCACTTTCCCACCTCGTCGCCTCGCCCCCTAATGAGCCAATCAATGCACGCGATTCCGGCGAGTTGGGAAAACTTCTGGCCCCGTTTGACAAGCTCAAAATGCAAATTGTTGGCAATTAACGTTCTGGGCGAATCCACCACCAGCATCTTGGCCCGGCTAATCTGCAGGCAGCTAATTAAAGTTCGTCTGTGTCTGCCATCTAATGTGCAGACATTTGAGCCCAGACTCCGAAGCCGGACCACAAAGAGCTCCTCATCAATTATTTGGCTTCGTCAATGGCCAATTTTAGGTAAGTTCTGGAGATTAAGTCATGAGCTCAGGATGAAATCGCATTATATTAAATTTGAGTGCTCGGAATTGATTCACAATAACACGTCTTGGCTTGATAATCAGATACACATAAAACCCTAATTAGGTAAAGCTTCTTATAGAAATTCATCAAGAGAACTAAAATGTCCAATTCATTTTGGGTTTAAAATATATACAATTGTATTTTGCAATTATGTTTCCTAATCAATTTGGCATTTACTTGCAATATACTGATTAATTTCTGGAATGGGTTGAAATGTAAAGAAAACTCTTTTCGACTTACAAAAATCAATGATACCAAAGCTGTTATCGTGAAATTTAAATTAATTGAAAGCATTTTTTTACTATTGATTATACACGAATCACATACTCTCTCGATGGCCTAGGAAAATACATTTTGAAAAACAAGCTCTTGGCAAAACATGTTTTCAGCACATCCAATTTCAACATTGTTTTCGTCGGCTTTCATTTTAATGAAACGGCATGAGGCGGAGTAATTTGCATATGGCATTTCCTGTAATCAATTGCAATCTTTTCATTCGATTGAAACTGCGAGACCAAGAGCAGAAATCAGAGAATTAAACTCCGGGCCGGGCTGCAAGGCTGGCAAACAGCAATGGGAAATTACCACAATTGATGCATATAGACATCTGGGCACTGAGCAGATTCAGATTCAGATTCCATTCAGGCAGACGACGACGATATTCGCACAGAGCTGGCGCATTTGCCTGCGGGCGGGAAATTTATGACAGTTTTCGGTTATTTGTGTCTGGCTGGGTTCCGTTGGCTCGAAATCTCGGTGGCTCGTTGGCTCGATGGCTCGGCAGTGGGAGTGATGTAACCAAAAGGAGCAGAGCAACCTGCAACAGCAAAGTGCAGCAGCAACAGCAGCAGCAGCAACTGCTTACAAAATAATTGATTTTGTACACATCCTTGACACAAATAAACATTCGCTCGGCTCTGCCAAAGTTGAACCACCAAGAGGCAGCCATGTTGGGGGTCGCAGGCAGAGCCCTGTGAAAATTTTGAATTAAATTCACAACAAGCTAAAGGATTTTTAATTGAATTTGAGGGGTTTCAGCAGTTAATCCAGTTGGCAGTTGGCAGTCGCACAGTTTGCACAGTAACAGGCGAAAGTTTAATGAATCCAATGAAATTTTTGCGCTCGATTGGAGTGTTTGTACGTTTTCTGTTTGGCTCCCCTGAAAACACAGAGCAAACTGAAGTGCAAGTCACCAGGACTCGCAAAAGGGCTGGCCCAGAACGGGACTGATTAAATCACCCGAAAGAGAGCAAAGCAACTCAACTCGATTCCTCCATTCTACGACTCCAGGATATTTGGTTTCGAATGGCACTCGTCGCAGGGCCCAAGTGCCCCAACAGCCCACGCATCCAGCCACCTGGCAGCTTGGAGTCCTCGATATCCCTAACCCTCTGCACTCGACACTGTGACAAGAGCCTCCTGGCTGCAGGATGCCTTTGCATGGCAATCCACTGGGGCATCAACACATCAACAGGCCGCCGAATGCTGCGAGTTTCGCCATCATAAATTCTGCACTCGCTTCGCAAAAACTGCCACCAAAAGAGAATGGCAGAATGGCAAAATGGCAGAATGGCAGACTGGCAAAAAGGCAGAGAGAAAAGGGCCGAAAGGCAGAGCTTAGTCCACTATAAAAACTGGCGACTGAAGAACTGTTGGCTAATTTGCCGCTGATGCAGGCATGTCGCTCTTTTGCGACACGACTTAATTGAAAGTTCGGACAGGTCTTTGTGCTGCAATTTGATGACGGGATTTTGACTTTAAGTCCTGGGTCAAAGACTAAAAGCAAAGCTTACTAAAGCAATTATAAACAGAAACATATTCTATTCGAGAAAGGCGGTTTATGTAGTTAATAAGATTAAACATGTTAAGAAATTTCTTCATCAGCTCAGTAAATGCCTTTTCAACTGAGAGCATTCAACTCCGGATTAAAAAATAATACATATAAAGTTATATAAATCAGCAAAAGGGTTTCTTGGAACAAAATCAATTAACTGATATAGAAATAAGATACAGGAATTTATTATCGAAAGATTTAATTCAAGTTTGACCCCTCAAATATCATAAATTAGTCGTTGAAGCAGCTCGATTGATTGAATTGCTATACCGCAACAGGAATAATTGTAGACAATCGGAATTAAATACATTGGAAATGAGGTATTTTCGCCTTTCCCTCACGATAATTGGAAAATCAATACTGAGTGGGTTCGAGCTAATTGTCTGACAGTCGGAGACCAAGAATGCCACAAAAGTTGTGGCCTTTTCAGACCGAGAGGCAAAAAAGGCGAGAAACTATTCGAATCAATTAAATTTGCATTAGGGCGAATGCATTAATAAATATTAAGATCTCAATTACACTTGGCAGAGCCAATCGAGTGCGGAGAAGGGGGATCGGGGAATCGGGGGGCGGCAGGACCTCCGTAGGTGAGTGGTTAGCCGGGATTTTTTGGCAGGCGACCAAGAACGAGCGAGCCGAGAAAAGAAATCAATTTGAAAGTGTTTGCCTGCCCCTCCCCGCCCCTTTCGCCCACTTCGCCCACTTTCTGGCACAATTACCAAGGCATTTTCGCTGATTTGCAGCACGTTTTGCCAGTTTCCAGTTGCCAGCACTACCGCTGATGATTCCGGCGAAGACGATGATGACGATTGCGGCAATGATGAAGCTGTCGGGGCACTCGAAATGGTCGAAGATGTGGCGCACAATTGTCACAACGAACACGGGTAGCGGCGAAAAAATCACTTCTTCCCTTGGCAGTTTGAGTGGCAAGCCAACAAAACCAAAGTAGCTGCCTCGATAGCGACAATAATAATGTGGCAAGGGCCGTGCTGGCAGGCTTCACACAGGAAAAACTTACGGCTGCCGCTCACCGAACTTTAATTGACTTTAAAAGTAATGAATTTTAGTGCCGTCCCCCGAAAGAGCCATCGCATCGAGGTGTCCAACAATCGACAGAGCTTTCAATATACGTATTGCCGAGTCTGAGCCACATCGCCGAGTCCCAATGGCCAGGGACCATTGCCAGTCGCCCTGCTCGAGAATCCCTTGAAATGCACACAATTTGTATATGCATTCGAGTGGTCCTTTGTGCGTGTTCCTAGCATTTGCATCGGTGTGCACTTAAGCCGAGCTTTGTTGTCGATTGCTCGACAGCTCCTTGCACAGAGAAAAAATGTGCTTTTAAATGCCAGGGGTGCCCTTGACGAAACAACAGCAGTTCAGGGGAAAAATCGTTCACAAATTCAACATCCCAGAATGTCTACAAATGTCGGGGAAAATTTATCATGCTTGCTACGGCTATAAACTTTACATTATTTCGATTAAAGCAGCAGATGGGGAAAAAGCGTACCTACAACCTTACATAAGCTGTCCTTAGATTATTTTGAGCTAGATGCTGTTCTTTTAAATACCAGCAATCGAAAATCAAGGTGAAAAGCCATGTTCAAGTGAATTTCAAACTTATATTCCTAAAGACATCTTACAGAGAAGTAAATCCCTTGCAAGGTAAGTACAGTTACTTCTTGATTGGTTGGGCGATAGATAGTCCAAGGATCCAATATATCCACTAGACTGGGGTCGAACTCACCTGCAAGTCGGTTGCTGTGCCCGGCTGTGCCAGATCACAGGCTGATATCCAAGGATTAAGGCGTGTTAGCGAAGTCGCGGTGCCGAGAATGGACTTCTTCAGGTCCACGGGCGCTGGCAAGGATGTGGTGGTGCTGGCTCCCGCCGACTCGGTGGTGGCCACGGCGGACTGGCTGCTATCCTGGTGGCCAATCAGCTGGGCCGTCTGGGCATCAAGGATGTGGCCGCTGGCCTCCCGTTTGTTATTGTTATTATCGTAGCTGTTGGCGAACTCCTTCGAGTGGCTGTGGCTCTCGCTGTTGTCGCTGTGCTGCAGGACGCCCTCATCAATCAGTCGGCTCTCGTCCTGCTGCTGCTGTTCGGTTTCTGTTTCCGCTTCCGTTTCTGTCTCCCTCTCCCTCTCGGTCTCTCTCTCCGTCTCCGTCTCGGTCTCCGTTTCCGTCTCGGTCTCCGTTTCGCTCTCTGGCTCTGTGTCTATTTCCGTTTCCGCTTCGGGTTGCTGTTGCTGTTGCTGATGCGGTTGTTGCTGCTTCTTCTGCTGCTGCTGCTGCTGCCGCGGCTGAAGATTGTAGTCCTCCTCGTCGGCGTCCTCGTTGAGCTTGATCAGGCGATCGAAGGACTCCTCGGAGAGCAGGTCGTCCTCGGCCACCAGGGCAAAGATGTCCTGGTCCTCGTCGTAGGCCTGCGAAGAGGGGAACTGCACGGTCAGGCCGCGGTCCTCCTCCTCCTGCTGGCTCCTCCCCTCGCTGGACTCTGTGACCCCGGATCCCTGAGTTCCCTTGTCCGCAGATCCTGCTGCTGTTCCGCCCGCCCTACCTGCGATGTCCCTGCTGCTGCTGCTGCTACTGCTGCTGCTGCTGCTGCTGCTGGTGCTGCTGCTCTCGCGTCGCCGCCGCCGCTGATGCCGCCTGTCCGTGATCCGCGAGGACGTCCAGGACTCGGAGTGTCCCCGCTCCCGGCCGTACCGGTCGTATTGGTCGTACTGGTCGTACTCCTGCGGCAACTGGAAGTGGAGCGCGAAGTCGAGGTGGTGGGGCAGGAAGATGGGCAGCAAGTACGAGCCAGAGCTGCCAATGGACGGTAACGTGGGTGCAACCCCGCCTCTGCCCCCTCTGCCGCCGGATGTCGCGGATGTTGTTGCTGCCGCTGCCGCTGTTGGTGTCGCTGTTGCTGAGCTGCTGATGCTGCTGCTGCTGCCACGCCGAGCCCCCGAAATAAACGCAAGCGCCATCACGACCAGCCCGGGTCCTGGCCGCATATTGACCTCGGGTTCGGCGGTGCTAGCATGGTGCAGGCCCGCTTGAGACGCGCTTGCGACTCCAATTCAATGCGAGTAATGATGGGCTCATGGCCCCATCATCATCAGAAGTGTGGGCTGCGCAGCGGTATTCCTGGTGTCCGTCTGATCCCGCCGATCCTGCTGATCCCGCTGATCCCGCCAGAGCCGCTCCAGCTTCGGCTTCAGTTGCTGCCCAGCGTCGTCCACATCCAGCGGCATTAATCCCGGCCAGAGTCCCAGGTTCCCGGTTCCGAATCACCAGCACTCGAGTCACCAGCACTTCGATTGAGGGGCCGCGATTTAACACTCCGCTGCTGCTCTCATAATACTCTTAATTATTAATTATTATTATTGTTGTGTTGGTTGTTGGTGGTGCACATTAACCTTGGAATTGGATTTGGACATTTTGAAATTCGTTTGCTTCGTTGAATTGGTTTTTGCTTGATTCTTGTTTGGTTTGGGTTGCTCACATAATTAATTAATTAAGAAATCTGCACGGAGACAAATAAGTTGTGGTTAGGCACTTTTAGGGGCATTTTTCCGATTTTAATGTGTGTTTTTCAGTCAAAAAAAAAATAAGTGGGGGAATGTTCGAAAATATTCTGTGCGCTCACGCTCTCGATTTCCCAATGCGCTCTATTTGCGCTCTCTCAAAATCATTAAGCTAATGCTAATGGGCAGGAATATGTTTTGGGAACTCCGTTTTTTCGAAGCAGTTAAACTGAAAACATTTCGAAACAGTTTTATTGTACTTTTATCCTTTTTAAATTAATTTAATTTAGAATTTTTCTGCCAAAAGGACTTCGTTTTGCCGAAGCTTTTGAACGGTTTAACCGAACGAACGCGAACACCGCACAAAAGAAGAAAGCCGAAAAAAAACGGTCGTGGAAATCCCGTATATCTAACACACACACGCACGCACACACTTACAGCGACAGGCAGTGCAAAGAAATTTATATAATTCGCTGCTCTGCTCTGCTTCTTTCTGCTTTCTCTCAGCCGCTGGTTGTTTTTGTTGGCTTTCGCTGCAAACACAAAAACAGCGAACGCAGGGATCCATCCGCAAGGAGCACGAGGACTCGAATTCGTGGGTGTAAGCGGTGGCTCTCTCATCCACCCACACACACACACACACACGCATCCACGCTCGCTCTCTTTCTTTCTCTCTCTCCCTTTTGTACTGCGTGTGCGGGTGTGTGCGTGAGTAGTTACTTAGGGCAGCCAGGCAAGCACTCCGCTTGCCACTTTTTCTTCTTTTTTTTTGCTCGGATTTCAGCCAAGAAGAAGAAGTTGGCTAGGAACAAGAAGAGGCATAACCGAAAGAAGAAGAAGAAGCAGAGGCAGCAGGACCAAAAGAAGTCGCCCCTTTCGCTGTGTTGGTGGTAAGCCTATGCGTGTGAGCCTCTCCTGGCTTTCTCTCTGGCCTGCTGTTGGTGTTAGTGGTAGAGCTCGAATCCAAGAAGTGGAAATCGAAGCATATTTTAAATAAGTCAAAAAAGACTCCCAAATCATATTCTTTCTCCCCGATTTTGAACAAAAGACCTCGAGAACGTGTGTATCACAAAGAACGATAGATTCTTATTCAGCTTCTTCGTGTTTCATTTAAATCCTCGATTGTCCTCTTCGCTTTCTTTCGCAGGCTTTCTGCCTTCGCTCTTTTGTGTGTTAACTTTCACTTTTGTTTTATTTGCTGCGTTGACACTGCGCACACACACACACACGCACACACACACGAACGCACACACACTCGTGGCTAGGTGTATATGTATAAGGATTTTCTCTTTTTTTTTGTTGGTGCGTGTGCTGGCTGAGGGATCCTTTCATTTCAGTACAACAGCCGCTTATATAAGCCCGGAACGTATCACGAAAACTTTGGAACACTCTTAGCGGGTTTTGGGTTTTCTTTCGGGCTTTTTCCTATGCCCTGCGAATCGAACGGCGTTTTGGGCGAGCGAAAAACTCCCCGAGATGCGGGGCATTAATTTTTGCATTATATAACATTTTTGTGGGGGGCGCACCGTTCGCTTTTCGGGCGAATTAACGAGTTCGAAAGCACTTTGGTAACACTTTTTTCGAGTGGCAAATACTCGGTGGCCTGCCTATGTGCAAATATGTAAATAGGTAAATATGTACTAAAACTCGGAGGGGGAAGGGGGAGCTCTACATCTTCTTCTTCTTCGCAGAGCGCAGCATCAACGGCCGTGTAACGGTTATTTTCGCATGTGTGGGCGGGGACACACGGCCGAGTGCGGGGGGCGTGGTACGGAGGTCCTCGAGAGTTATGCTTGGCAGATTTTCCTGCTTCTTTTCCGTTTTCTTATTCGGTTAACATTGCGTTTTGGCTTCGATTTGGGTTATGATTATGTTTTTTCGGTTAGTTTCGCAGACGAGCCATCGCCAACGAAAGTCTGAGGACCCGAGTACCGTTTGATTCACTGAGCTCGCTGAAGGGCTGGAGGCTGCTGCTCCTGCTCTTTTTACTGGCTAGAATTCTGTGTGTTTTTTGTGGACGCGACGTCGCAGGACAAATACCGTACAATCCTGCTTCCTGCTGATGGCCCCAAACGGCACTGACTGTGCCACAATTGCAGATGGCGCTCGACTGGAATGTGCGAGCGGTCCTCAAGGAGCCGAGTGGTTCGCGACGCCACCCGAACGCTCGACCGAACTCACGCCCGAGGGCAGAGCAGCTGACAAAGGAGAGCCGCCTGCTCTCCGATGCGCGGTCGCTCTCCGCCGCCTTCCAGGACTCGTCCTGCGGTCCTGCCGTCCCGTTAACAGAGCCGCTGTTAACTAACAGCCGGTTCGAAAAGCCATTTTTGGGGCCAGTTCGAGTTGAAGTAAGAAGAATTACTTGCTGCAGGGCACTTAATCACACGAGCGGAGCGGAGAAGGAGAAGGAGGTGGAGAGGAGCAGGGGAGAGAGAGTCACTCAGGAGTCCCCACTTGACTCGACTCATCTATTTCGTCCTGGCCCCTTCCGCCCCATTATCCTGGGCCTCTGCTCCCCCTTTTTTCTGCCTTTACTTTTACTTTTCGGTCTCTGGCTTTTGTGTGCGCATTTCGTTATGGCGTTTTGTCTTTGTCTCACTTGGCCTAAATGTGTAATACCCTATAATGTCGTTTAATCCCACTCGACGTGTTTTAGTTTCGCCCGCCAGCTTAGGGCAAAGTCAGCCGGAGTCGGGATGTTGTCGCAGTCGATGGAGAGATAATTGCCAGGTGCCTCGGGTGGCGATGCAGTTCCCCCCTTCCCCCGTTTCCCCGTACCCCGTTCCACAGCTCTTCAGCTCCTCAGTTCCGGTAACCTGCAGCTCCTTGATTGGCAATTAGCGGCGAGATAATGGCGCACGGCCAATTAATATGGTTCTCAATTAATTCGGCATAGGAAAATCAATTGGAAACTGCCTGAACAGTTTGTATTATTTTCCTTAGAACTATGTTATCAGAAGTACTTAATCAGAAGTTTCGAAAACTGTTACTGATACAGTTTACAATAACCTTTTGAGCGCTCCAATAAATTGATCAAGTATTTGCGAAACATATTTCACGCTAGAGCCTTTTCAACGTGAACCGAGTTGATGACCAATTTGATGGGGATGCATATTTGTGCCGAGCTCTCGCCGGCAGTCGAACTGCGATGAATATCCAAGGCCACGCCGACCTTCAAACAGACACTCGACAAAAGTACGAGCAGAAACAGCCACTCACTCAATAGTTGGCGGTTAGTCGAGGGAGGCTGAGGAGCGGGGAGGGGGAGGGGGAAGGTTGGGGAAACGCTGAATGGGGGACAGACAGCACTTGAATTATTAAGTTTTCTTTTTGGTAATTAACTTAAGTAACTGCCACGACAAATCAAAGGGGAGGCCCGGCATTGCGACACTGCGGCACTGGGCACTTGGCAATGGGCGATGGGCGATGGGCAATGGGCAATGGCCACTGGGCATATTAGCCACACCCGATCCGATGAAAGCGACGGCGAAAGTGACCAAGTGAAGTGGGTAAGCAAAACAAACAGAAATCGAAAAAATACAAAGATTACTATATAACAACAAAGGCGGAAGAGGAAAGCGGGCGAGAATCATTTGGCTTGGAAAGCAGTTTGCCTCAATTTATGCGCATTCCAATCAATAACTGTGACACATGCAAGGACAACGGGACGGACGGAGGAGAGAAGGGGAGGGAACGGAACGGAAAGGGAGGAGAGGAGAGGGAAGGGGAGGGGAAAGGACACGGACCCACCCGACAACAAGGACCTCCCAGCCACCCAAGAAGCAGCCAAGGAACCAGGGAACCAAGAAACCAAGGAGCCACGAGGAGAGTGAAAGTGCCAGGACATCGAGAACATGGAAGATGGCTCGCTGGTGTTTGTGGCATGGATATGAATGTGTCAAACTTATGCGGGCGCACACCCACACACGAGCACGAGGACTAACACACACACACTGGCTCACACCCACCCACACTCGTCGGTGTGCGTGCAGAAATTGATAAGAAACGGAATAACCCTCAAGAAAATTTGCGGCGAGCGAACGTATGTGCTTGTGTGTGTGTATATGTGTGTGTGTTTGTGTAAGGATGGGAGAGGCACTGAGAAAATGGAAAACAAAACCAAAATGCCTGCACAAATAACAAAATAATGCCAACAACTAGAAGGGAAAAGTTAACTTGTAGTTCGCCAAGAAGATTTTTGGATACCCTTTTAAAAGATTAAGTATACGGAAAATGACTTAGCAACCTAAAGATTTGGTTTTCTTTCTTGTGAATAATGATTATAGAATACATTTCTGCTGTTATTATTTCAGTTCGATTTAGTCTTATTTTTAATAAAGTAGAATTTTCCTTTCCCAATTTGGTTTTGCAGTATATTATTTTTTAAGTTTATATCTCTCTAAATAATTAAATAATTTCCGGTTTGTACTGATTTCGCCTGCTAATTGGATTCAAGCAATTCTCGCCTCGTAGGACCTTATCGAATGCATTAACAGCACTGCTTAAAAGTACAGTGAGGCACGCGACGGGGCTACTCCTTTCGAGTCAGAATCAGACTCGTTATCGTCTTCGCATCTGACAGTTTGGTAAGTTGAGCATCCAATCGCATCGCATCGCATCGCATCTCGGGGCAGCATCCTCTTCAATTTCAGTGCCAGCTTCAGTTTCCCAGTTTCAGTTTCAGTCGCGCAGCTTCCCAATTTCCCAGCTTGGCAGTTGGCGTTTTCGGCTGCCAGCGTGCCAAGGTAGCTGCGACGCTCAGCTTTTCAGATATAACCGTTACAAGGACGCCGCCTGACCAAAACGAAAGCAAACGAATCGAAACGAAACGAGAGGAAAGCCAGGGCAGGCAAAGTGGGTGGCGGAGTGGGGGGCGGCAAGGATTTTGCGCAGTCCTTGCCTCGCACAAGTCGCTCTGCTCATTTCATTTACTTATTTTTTTCGCACACGCACCACGAAGAGCAAACGCAAAAAGAAATGCTCGCACACACACAGAAGGGCGGCGGCGGGAGGCAGAGGAAAGTTTTGTGAATGAAATTTCGCGCAGGCACAAAGCGGCCAAACAATGTGATAAAAAGGGAGGCAGCGGCAGGACACTCCCCTCCCCACCCCAAGTCCCTCGGGCAAGTCACGCGGCGAGCGGATGCACAGAGAGCCTTCCACCGCCCAACTCCCACTGCCGCCCAAAAAACAAAAGCAAACACAAACAATGCCGCCAAAAAACACAGTGCAGCATCTGTAAACCAAACTCAGAAGAATTACTTTAGCAACTGCCACTGAATACATTGCCTATCGTTTTCATTTCTAAATTATTGCACTGATCTATATACTGCTTCAAATCTAACTTCTAGAAGACTCAGCCTTTCATTGATCCCCACGTTGGGCTTATAATGCCTTCGGTTTTGGGCAAGGCACAGTGTCGTTCGTAGAGCTTGACGAGGTACCACTGTATTTATGGGTAAAAAGATGCTTGAAGGGAGTCGACAGCGCTTCTTGCTATTGCTTCCTTGCTTTTCCCCGCCCCATTGTTGTTGTGCGGGCGTGGTGTCTGCTGCCTTCCTGGAAACGCTGGAAGGCGAAAGGGAACCAAACTAATGCTCGGCGCTTATCGATGATGACGATGGCTGTGACTCAGATTCGAAATCGGACTCAGACTCGTTTGGTCCGTCTTGACCCACAAATGGGCCCTGCTGTCTGATAATTATGCGAGCTACGAACTGCGAACTGCCAGCCATTGGAGATGGCGCTGGAGATATGGCTAAATGCGCCCAATAAAAACCCAGGCGGATGGCGGTGGGCAAAACGGTTAGCCAAAATAGGTTATTGCAATCCTTGTTAAGGCAGGGGGAGCGAAATGAATGTGCAGAAAATATAAAGGAAGATAATGAAAGCTAGCTTCTGGGAACATCTTGCATTTCTGCCAAGCGACACTGAAAGCCATTGGGAAATCTTCATAGCATAGTTTTGAGCTGAACCCTTGAAACTTGGAAAAATCTAACATGAAGATGGGTCAAACTTTCATAAAAGGAAAATCTTTAAATACAGTACGTTTAATTGTTTTTGATAGTTTGATTAGAATCGAATACGATAAAAAACAAAGCAGTGGAGCAGCGCATTCGGTGGCCAGCCATTTAAGGACCCTCGCACCCACACCCCTTAAATCGGTACACATATGCAGCACGTAAAATGTAAATTCCTATGGGTGTGTGAGTGTGCGAGAGTGCGGGTGTTTGCTGTTGTTGTTGCTGTTGTTGTTGTTGGGTGATAAAGCCATAGATAGAGCGTGGGTGCATGAGTGTGGATAATGGCTCGTCGCAAAGTCGAAACGCACACACCAAGCCACCGAATGTCTGCACAAGCCCCTTATTGCCACCTAGCCGCCCACAACGCCCACTCACCAACACTCGTGCAGCGGCACACACACAGCTCTCACGGACACACACAGGCACGCCTCATATAATAAGGTGCGATTTGTCTCGCGCATAAAACGAAATTTCCTGCACACAAACGCACACAGCGAAAGCGAAAGGGAGACAGACAAAGGGGGTGGTTGGGGTGGCCTAAGGGTGCTGAGTGGGTGGCTTTCAGGGGGTGGTGGGGCGGCTTGGTAGCTGGCCAACAATAGTCGGCTTCTTTGGCGGGCTGAGGGGCCAGGTTCGATTGCTTTGTTGCTTGTAAATGACAGCAAAAGCATTGGGTGTCGTCTCTCAGTGTTTGTGTGGCTGAGGGGTGAGAGAGGAGGGGAGGGGTGAGTGGTTGACAGAGCGGGTGGATAAAGGGGTGGCACAGGGCTGTGCTCCCACATCTTTGTAGGTTAAGGCTTATGTCAAAGCAGGAAAATGGGCGACAAAAGGCGTAAGACGAGGCAAACTCGTTTGCCATAATTATTGCTTTTGTTGGTAGCTATCGTCCTTCCTCAGTTACCCGTCGTCCTTTGGCCCCCAGCCCTCCCCTTCGTCCTGGGTATTATTATTTTAACCGGAAATGTGCGCATATGTGTGCGTGTGCGTCTCGCACAATTTGTGAACTGCATGAACTTTTGTGCCTTGGCCAAAAGGAAGCTCTTCCTGTGTGCCGGCATTTAGCAAATTTTTTATGACAATCTTTGCCTCACTTGCGCCCCGCCCTCCTTCCCGGGCAGCCCTTAATTTTATGACAAATATTATGTTAAAGACCGAATATGCGCTACACCATAAAAGTCAATCATTTTTCATTCCAGCTCCCACGCAATCCCTTTTAGCTTCTTGTTTTTGTTGTTGTTGTTCTTGTTTTTTTTTTTTTTTTTTGTATGTCCACTGGGGACATTTAATTTTGGGTTTTTTTCGTTGGTTGTGATTTTTCTTGATATGCGATATCGCTTTTTCTGCGCGCTCTCTCTGGTCTCTTTTTCGTTGGGTTAGCGCACTTGGGTGTTTGCGGGTGTGTTCCTGCCACCCACCGGGCAAGCTTTTGTTGATATTTGGCGCGGCCTGCTTCAATTTATGTTCTGTTTGCCTTTATTGTCTTTCTCGACTTTTTCCCTTCACTGTTTGCTGTCCTTCCACAGTGGAACTTGTCCAAGGCGAAATTGTGCATTTCAATTACGACCAAGAATCTAAATGCTATCGTCCTTGAACATTTCTAGAGATACTAGAATAGGGAGATCTTAAAATAGCTCAACACATTTGAAATTATAATTAACTTAATAATGACTATAATTGACTATTAAATAATTGTCTATAAACTAAACATATAAAATTCTGTTGAGATGGAAGAAAAAGTGGAGATTAAAGGATGGTATATACAATCCTGTTTAGGCAATGCCGTCTGTACTTTCGCTGGGGTGTGTGCTGTTTTTTTCCGCTCCATCCCGCTGCTTTCATTTTTTTATTGATAAGTTCATTTAATGGGCATGGCCTCTGCCAGCTGCCATCCCATCTTGCCTCTCGGCCGCCGCCCCTCCGCCCCTTTCTCCCGCTTTCTCGTCCTGCTGGCATTGTCTCCATTTGACATTTGTTGGAGTGGCCGCCTAATGAGTTTAATGCTTTGTTATCATCGCTATAATCGGCTTATGTAATATGGCAATATAATTGAATCCCCCGAAATTATGCCATTCCGCCTGGACTCGGAGTTTACAATTGCAAATTCACAAATTGCCAATGCCAGGCAATGCTGCACCTGCCCCGAATCATTCAGGAAATGTGCGTGTCAACATGGGAAAGCCACTTTCACTCAGCGAGCAAATGAAACTTAACGGAAAAGAAAATTACATCATGCTCGTCTCAATGGGTCGACATAATATTATTTTCTCGGCCCGGGCGAAAAAGGGACAGACACAGAAGGCATAGCACCCAGTGGGTCCTCGTCTGGTAGTCAATTTTTTATTTATTTATTTTATGCCTACGCACATACGCGCCTGGGGAAAGTGGAGAAAGTGGGGGAGTGTGGGTGGAAGGCAGGGAAAGTCGGAGAAAGTGGGGGCTTGACAGGTGTCGCCGACTGAGTGGCTGCCTGACAGACTCGCAAAAGTGGGTGTGGCCCTTCGTCGGCGGAGGGGTGGTGAAAAATGGTGGCCTATTATTCTTTGTATTGTTTTATGTGGCATTTATACGCGTATTTTTGTCGTCTTTTAATAGGCGAGGCACCCCGAGTGGAAAATAACAAAGGCAATAGACCAGCCAGCCACCCAAACCTCGCGAGCTGGAGGGCTAGTACTGCTCCACCGCGTATCGCCATCCAATCAGTAGATAAATAACACATAAAATGAGGTGCTTAATCGGGTTTGAAGTGATGAAAGTGAAACTGAGACATCGGTCCGTCCGTTCCTTAGCGTTCCGCTTGCGTGTGTCCCGCCGGAGGCGAAGGCTTTGTCTCCGGCATAAATCTCGAGTATCAACCGGGTATTTGAATATCATTTGCGACCGCCGATTTTCGCAGAGTGCGTGTCCTTCGGGCGTGACGGCATAATTTCACTTTAAATTGCACGCGTACACAAGTAATTTGTCAGCATTGTTTGCATAAATTAGGTAGCCAAAAATGGTTGATTGTCGAGTGAGAAAATAGCATATATAATTTCATAGATTTGGCGAGTACACACTTTTGAATAGCCGCCTTTTGTCGTAGTTATCGATTGTTGAGAAAGCCTCGTATTTTTCCAAGAGCCGCTTGTAACTTAATTTATCGATAAGTTTATTGCTATGTCTTAGATAAGTATTTTTAGTTTAATGAGTTTTTCTTTTAAAAATTGTTTTTCTCTTTTAGACATAGATTAAGCGGTTACTTTAATGAGTTGATTTTGTATATTAGTCCTTAATCATCAGTACACACGTATTAAAGTACTTGTTCTTTTTAAAAGTCAACAATTTGGCGGGTAAACAATATTGCCACCCTTTTCTTATACACCTAATACTAACCTTTTTTTCCGTTAGAGGCGCCTTTTTGTCATTCATTTAGGGAATTCAGCGATTTGTTAACAGAAATACTGTACTTATTGGCGTATTAACGATTTCTTACATTTGTTTACATTTTTTCTCGGCAAGCAATCCTTTTTAACATTAACTGTCACTGTGCTGCAAATGTCTTGAACACCGCCTTTATCATCCAGACTTGTAGTTATGCATTTCTGTTAAGTATTTCTGTTAACCAAAGCGCCTCCAGCGGATTAAAACCTATCGAAAAAACCTAGATAAAAAAATCCGAAAAAAGCTAAAATGGCAACACTACTATGTTTAGTCTCCAGCTGTGCGAATAAAAATTGAAATATTTTAAATCTAAATCAGTATTATAACGCACACTCGCCCCCAAACCAATCGGGAAAATTCAAACGAAGAGCTGCTACGCTTATGATCATTTACAAACAAGGAAAATAATTTTTCCAGCGAGCAGGAAAACATATCGGCAGCCGCAAATCGGACAAAAAAAGGAGTTCCCCATTGAAAAGTAAATACAAAAGGTAAAAAGTGCATAAATTAGTCAAAAGTAATTACAAAAATGCTTTCTACACCGCAATTAAGTGGTGACTAGCAGACTTGTTGCTTTTTCTAGACTCCATATCGCTGCAGGCACTTATTGATTTTGTTTTTGAGCTGTTATCAACAATCTGCCGCCCTCTCCGCCCCTCCTTAAACGTATTTCTATTTACTTACCAAACAATTGGTTTTTCAAGCATCTTATCAGTCAGTGCCCACGAATCTTGCTAATTTGTTGATCGTTCAATCTCATCAGTCAGCGCTTATCCGTAATTGAATGGAGATATCTGGAGAACCAGATGCTAATTGACCGATTGCTTTGTTAATGGAGTTGTTAATCCCTAAAAAGTTTTCTAATCGAATGTGTGAAATGGTAATTTGCGTCTCGACCAACGCCGCACCCACTTATTCAAACAAAATCAATAAATGCAGCCACTGACCACCCAGCAACCCACCCACTTTTGCCTCTGTCCATTTCAGTTGCAATGATATCGTAAATTGAAGAGCTTATCTGCCTGGGAACCAGATTAAAATACGCTATACCCTTTATCACTCTCGAAAAACCAGAAGCCGAAAACGTCGCAAAAATGAAACTGAAACGCTGGCGGCACAAGCGTAAATAGACATTTGCCTATAGTTAACCGGAGGAGACAGACATCCCATAAAATCCGGATAATACCTATAACTCGCTTGAGAAATATTCGAAAAAGGAGTAAAATCATGCTAGGGCGCACACAAAAACTGCTGTTGGGCATATCAATATTAATATTAGTCGATGTGATTTGGGTTTCCTCCAGCGAGCTGACAAAGGTAAGAAATATCTGTTATAAACAGAAAGAACATGTTTTTAATTTGTTTCGCTTCCCTTTTAGTTTCTATACAATGAGGCCAACTTTGACAAGCCGTTCTTCTGCACTTACTTCAAAACCTCCATGTTCAGCATTTACTTGCTGGTTATTGGCATCTTGGCGCCCTGGAAAGAGTCCTGCGAGCGCCAAAATGGAAACTACGCTGTAATAATATATATTCACAACAAAAATGCTTACTAAACAGTTTGATTTCCTCAGATGATGGAGCAAAATGCAGATGATGAGAACTACTATTCCAATCAGGCTGGTTTGGTAGGCGGAACTATTTTTATATCATCAATAAGATTAAAAATGTTTTTTCTTTCCTTTACCAGGGGGACCCCACATATATTCCCATCCGATCGGCACACTTGGGAGCACCGGCCAATGGAAACTCGAACTCGAAGTCCGGCACCGAAAGCGATGACTCCAGTGTGCGGAGTGTGCGATTCAGCAAAATGGCCGAGGTCAGAGAGATGTCCGCCCACGAAGCCACCGATGCATTGATGGCGAGGCTCTCGTATGCCGCCAGCTTGAGGATTCGGAGGCAGAAGACCCACCACAAGACGGCCAAGACTGCGTTGCTGTTCTGCCTCCTCTGGTTCGTGGCCAATTACTTCTTCCAGTTGGCCCTCGAAATGGACGAGACCGCCATGATAACATTGGTCAGCTCGTCGTCGTCGTTCTTCATTATCTGCCTAGCGGCAGTGTTTCCCTCGGCAACGGGTGACAAACTGACCATCACCAAGGTGATTGCCGTGTCAATGAACATTGGAGGCGTGGTGGCCATCACCATGAACGATCTGCACGACACGAAGATGACGAGAGGCGTCCTTCTGGCCCTGTTTAGCGCGTTCTTCTACGCCGCCTATTTGGTTTTCGTAAAGCGAAAAAGCGATACAGAGGAAAAGGTCGATATACCTTTGTTTTTCGGTGAGACAACTTATTCAGCCTGCTTATGTTGTTATGGCCAATCTATTGACTTTGTCTAGGTTTCGTGGGCCTGTGGAATCTGCTGCTATTGTGGCCAATATTCTTCATTCTGCACTTCACTAAGATCGAAACCTTTGAGCTGCCCAGCCAGGGTCAGTTTTCCCTGCTGTTTCTAAACGGATTAATTGGCACTGTGCTGGCTGAAGCTCTTTGGCTTTGGGGATGTTTTCTGACCTCTTCGCTGATTGGGACGCTGGCCATGTCGCTGCAGATTCCGCTGGCCATCATGTTCGATGTTCTGCTAAAGGACAAGCCCTACTCGCCGCTGTTCTACATGGGATCAATACCCATTTTCGTGGCCCTACTCCTCGTTTCGCTGCTGATGCGAAACGATGACTCCGATCCGCTGATGAAGCTGTTCAGAATTGTATATAGGAAAGTCTGCCGGTGCCATAAGCCAAGCATTGTGAGGTGAGTCATATGTCCTGCCGGAATGAACTGCTTTTGAACAGGATAATTTCTCATCTAGGGTCAACGATGACGAACAACAGGAGTCGCTGATCAGCAACAGCGATTGAATTGGAGGCTTTTTTGTGAAAATCGCTCTTCTACACACTTTGAATGTTGCTCATTGCAATGCAATCTAAAATTGGCTGTTTACGAGTTCGTTTCGAATCGTTCTTAAACCCTTAGGGACAGGCCCTGCACAACTATTCCCTCCCTGTCCTGATTTGTGTTTCTCATTTGTGCATTTTCCGTTGGATATTATTGTGTTGCGATCTAACGTACAACTATTTATTATAATCATATTCTCTGTAAATAGCTTTAGCTTCCCCGAATACCGTTTATCTATGTGATAGTCTACAACGTTTTGCTGAAGTCCACCTATTATTTATTGTATTTCCTCGGTATTCACACTGCGCTTAGCTGTATAATTGTTGACTTCTCAATACAAGATGATTATAAGAAGACATATACACATATTGATAACTAATAACAATAAATACAACTTGTCTACCGTAAGCTTAAAAAATGACTTTTGAATAGTTTTGTACATATAAATAAGTTATAGTTGATCATTCGGAAGCTCCTAGTTATTTCAGCATAATCTGATGAATCAGCAGAAGCTTAATGCTTTTAGTTGTGGAAACTCGATTCAACAAAATGGAATTCACTTTATCTAAGTAAAGACAAACGTAACTCTTGTTGAATCACTTTCTTTAATTTTCATCCTAGACTCTATAAATATTTATTTACATAAGGGGACTCTTAATCTCTACCGCTTAACTAGGTATGTACTCAATAAGATCACACAAGTTCATTTCCGTACTGAAAGCGCACACAAAGTGGCATCTGTGTGGCCCAGAGTGGCACGGCGAATGCTTCAGTTCCGTCTCCTCGTCCTTCGGCGGATCATACCACCGAGGTCGTTGGAGGAGGAGTAGGTGGCCCGGAACTGGAGCTGGGCGGGATTTGTGCGGCCCGGGAGGTGGACGGCTGCACTGACTCCATCGCGATGACTGTGGATCCTCCAGCGGTTGCATGCGGATCCGTTTCCGAGTACGGAGGAGCCGGCAGAGCCGCAATCCCAATGGGACCGCCCTCGGCGAGAGGCGATTGTGGAACAGGTGTGCCCGCAGCAGCTGCCGTGGGCGTGGTCAGGTTGCACATGCGCATCACCTCGTCGTAGCTGGGCAGATCCTTCTCGTCCTTCTCCAGCTGGTCGCGGATGCGATTGGCCTCCACGCTGCCAGGCTCAATGAAGAAAATGTCGCCGTAGCGGTTCGATGAAGGCTCCTCCGGCACGCTGAACACATTGCCCTGGCGATCTGGAAGAACAAGAAGATAAGCTAGTTAGTTCACGCAAAGAAATCAAGTCAGTCGCCACTTTTAAACTACGTTTGTTAAAACAAGCTTACTAATTAAATGAATCAGTCAAAGCAAAAGTATAGAAGGTCATTTTGAGGACAACCATTATAATTGGCGATTAGATTATTTGACTCATTACGAACTTCCTCTTGGAAATTAAAAAATATGAACCTCATATTTCATCGAAAAACAAATATTTTTTCAGAGCACTTAGAAAACAATTCAATAATTAACAAGTTGACCAAAAAATTTCTTCTAGGCTTTTCACATCAATAATGAGGGTATACACCAATTACATGTTTAATAACTTAAGTTCAGTAAGCTTGCCCTGTTATTATATTTTAAATAATGCACATAAAAGTGTTTCTATCGCACAGTTTTCACTAAAGGGTGTTGAATGTCACGGTGTTTAACCACTTTGATAATAAATTTAGGTGATATTTCCTTTCAAGGCGCCTCAATATCCACTCCGTATCAGTACCACTTTGTATCTGGCGACGAATTCGATTCCTCGAGTCGTGCATGCGCTTCGCCAGCTATCGTATTCGAAACAAATAGACAAGCAGATAGATAAATCAATTATTGGGGCCATTGTTCCGGCTGAAGGTCTGTCAACTCGACTTGGCTTCCAGCTGCGAGGAATAATTACGTATATCAGCTGGCCGACGGCGTATATGGCGAACACAAAGCCCAGCGCCACGCACAGATTACCAGTCAGCCCCATTCTGCGACTCCGATTCCCGAAGACTGTGGCCAAAACAGTCGCCCCAGCCCGATCGATTAGATAGCCCCTGCCCACATTTGGCACACGTTACCAATTCCGATGTCGTATCGCTGACGAGTCCTCTGCCGAGTTCTCCGCTGACGTCGACACCGCGGCTGGCAGATCTTGGCCAGCGTTTGGCTCTCCACGCGGATGTAGTAGCAGGCGAGGGGGATCAGGCAGAAGAAGAGGAGCACCAGAGCCAGGTAGACGGCTACGTGGACGCCAAGGTCTGTGCCCCAGTCCATGGAGGGCTCCGATCCGTGCATTTCAAAGCTTTGAACAACGCGGGGCAGTGGCGAAGCGAAACTACAGCCACAATTGCGTTTTCCGGGCCCAAGTATTGGCCATAGTTTGCCGCTTGGCACGCAATTGATTACCCGCCCGAGATTAGATTGTCCGCCATGTTTGCTTGACAATCCCCATAAAACGGAGCTCCATACTCGAATGGCACACAATATATATGGCTTGGCGAACTTGGCAAACAAACAAAGGGGCGGTGCAACTTACACAGCTCGAAGCCGGAGTTTCGACGTCGGGAGCAGCAGCACTTTAGGATCCAGATAACAGCGAACTTGGGAAGGAAAAGAACGTTACCGAAACTGAGGTGGGGATCGCAGGTATGTCAAGATCACCTGAAGGGCCGCGTAGGCCACGAATCCGATCAGCAGAAGAACTAGGAACGTAACCAGGGGACTCGCATCCATTTTGCATCGAGCTCTCCAGCAGACTGACCCCCCGAAAACTGATTTGCAATATCTGCAAGGCGGCCGAAAGAGCCTTATCACGAGGGTCCGCAAAACAAGCACTCCAGACTTTATGGATTTATAGGAGGCACTTGATCATCAAACCCGCCCACACACACTTGGCCACAGCATATCAGTTCCCAACACGTACACTCATTCATCAATATATCAATTGATTAAGGGCTTATCAATTCGTCAATACATACCAATCCCGACTAATCGACGCTGACGTTGACGCCGACGTCGCTGCCTCACGGGATCCTGAAATCCCCTAGTATTGGTTCCACAGCACTTGTTTAGAATCATCCAGAGGAAAAACTTTCGGGGGAATATCAGAGGAGATCACTAAGAGATCAGTAAGGGGGCAACCTAGAGTCCCTCGCCTAAGGACTTTGCATTTCCGAGATTAGAAATCTTGGCTAAGGACTATATTGCGAAATCCAGATAAAAGCCATTTAATATTATGGTTAGCACATCTTTTGTAATGTGAATTATCAATGATTCTGACAGAAATTCTATTTTTAAAAGTACTAATTCGTCACTGTTATTGTTAGCGAATCTGGTTGATAAGTAAAGATTAAGCGAGGAACAGGCGCCAAAGGATCTTGGAAGATACCTGAAGGGCGAAATAGACCATGGGCATGATCAGGAAGAAGATGAAAAACAACCCCACATAGAGGAGGAAGAAATCCATGGTGGCAAATCCCCGCCAGCAAAGCACACAATCGAATCACTTGAGGGGCAAGCAAGAACTGAGAACTCTCTAGAGCGAGCTTCTGGCTAATCTTATCTGGGCCAAGGAAACCGTCTGATTGGCCAAGTGTCTCTATAAAAAAGTCCCGATAGCCGCCAAAAATAGGTCCAATTGCTTTGTTTTGGACGCGATAAACCTACCATGTCTTCGCCTTCGGCTCCTGGGGTCCCTGGCCTCGAAGCAGACCCAGATGCAGAACCGCAGGCAGCAGAAGGTGACCGCACAGGATATGAAGGCCAAGAAGAAGAAGACCAGGTACGGCGGGACGCTCGACATTTTGGGGTCGGACAGAGCGGGATATCCACGTGGATACGGGAGCGCCGACGGAGATATTCGCTCCATGAAAAGGCCTTAGGCCAACTGTCACATCACGACGAGTGGCAGGCTTTTGGCCAAGACTTATCGGCGACTGGTGGAAGTGGCAGGGGGAGGGGGGAGCGGCGAACAGGTGTGTCAAGGGCCATGTGATAACCGCCCGGCGAACAAAGTCCGATAAGATACGCCGCTCTCTATTTGTGCCTCTTTCCAGCGTTCTATTGCCCGTGTGCCAGCACTAAATGTATCTGTATCTGACAGATATGCGCATAATTACGCTCTGGATAATGTCACCCAACACGTGACTGGCAAAGCTCCAGAAACTTAATAACAATCAAATAACAACTATTATTTGGGAAATCAAATAGACTACCTACACAAAATAAACTAAACTAAATGATAAACGCTGTTTTTCTCAGTGCAATGACTAGTTTGATTTTCGAATATCATATTTTATAACTGATAAGATAAGATTAGATTTTAGACACTTACATTAAGACAATTGTTTACTTTAAAATCTATTATACATTTTTTGAGATTCTAAACAAAAATGGTTTTGTTTGTTTTTTGAATTTCATGCAAAAAAATCTGGAAAAGTTAGATTTTTTTAAATTTGCAAAGAACTCTTGAGAAGTATTAAAAGTTGTATTTTATTATATATGAGAAGTATATATAAGAGAAGATCCCCCTATCTGCATTTACTTCAATATATAAGGGTTCTGCAATATTTATTGCTTCTAAAATTACGTATACGCATTAAAATTACGTATACGCAGTGATCAATGTATTTTCATGAAATCAGTTTCTTAATTGATTTAGTTCAATTGGGTTACACAGTTTTGTTCTTCTTGATGCTTTTGTAAATCACACAGCAAATGCAAACCAAGCGTGAAATCGCGAACACAACTAGATTCTTTATAAATTTATAGCAATTAACTAGCAGCTCAGACAATAGAACATATTTCTGAAGCACGGAAGACCTTTTCACCACGAGCTCGGTAGCCACAAATCACCGCAGGCCACCCGAGCTGCTCACCTGATCTCCAACTGAGGCGACTACTCAATCCGGGCGACGAGGAGCAGGAGGAAACGAATCTGCTCAAGGGCGGGCTGACGGGCGATCTCCTCCGGCGCTTCTGGGCCACACATCTCTGGAATTAGCGCCTTGTGTCACTCCCGCTGGATGTCAACTTTTTGGCCCACAACTCACACTGATGGAAAAGTACAGAATCAACAGGAAGAAGAGCAGCAGGACGCCGAACTCACACCAACGGAACTGATCGCCCATCTTGCGGAGTGGGGATATCTACATTGCCGACCTGCGATCGCGCATCTGAATAAATTAATGTTACCGCTGAGCAAACCTGACTGCTGAGGCAACCTGACCGACCGAACCGAACCCATCGATAAGCGAAGACCAAAGATAACCTTATCGGGAAACGCGCGTGACTCATTCCTGCTCACCTGTGTTCAAGCTTACGCCCGATGGATCGATTCTATAGCTCTGCAAAACGCGTCCTGGCTGCCGATTCGCAGGCTCTTCGCCCGGACCAGGACCTCGACCTGGACCCCGATTACTGGAGGTGATTCCGCTGGGAGTCTTATGCCTGGCGCAAAGACAGCAGGCCTAAAAGGTCAAAGGTGGATCTCTGAGGTCATCCAGAGTTTCAGTGCAAAATCACATCACAACTTACTCGAACCAGAATGGACACTATGCAGATTATTAGGAACCAACCAATCATCATGAACGCGTAATAGGGCATTATCGAGTCGATCAGTTAACACCGGAAGTCTGTGACAAGTCTGCAGACAAGACAAATTTTCCACCGTTCGCCGTGCACAAGAAACCTTGCTGAAATGGCGAAGGCAGCGCCACTCATTTCCAACAGCCTAATCACCAAACAAAACCAAATCGAACACAACCCTTATCAATCGGCGGACAATTTGCGATTAAAACCGGGGACATAGACGCACATTTAACGCAATCGGGGAATAAATCGAGTGTAAAGACTTACGCACCTGGGTATACGCCCCCCGCAGAATAGCTCTCGGTATCGTAGTCCCCGGAATTTACGTTTTTCCTGCTCTTGTAGCACAGCTGTCGGAGCAGAGATAGTGATTAATATCGGTTAACACCCTTCCTTATCAGGAATATAACACAGGAATATAACTCTTGGCTAAAGAAAGTATCGTTCTTCTGGTACTAATCGAAACCTTCTCTTAGGTTAAATGTTTTAAGGTAGAACTAGATCGCTAGATATCATTATTTTTTATCGGACAATATGCATTACGCACCTGGAGGCACCTGGATATCGACTTGGTGGTCCCCACATTTTACCAGATTCCTGATATTGTAACACAACTATCGGATCAGATAAGCAATATATTAAAAGATTAAAAGCCAGCTGAAATCGGGAATATACCCAATTATAAGTTAACACAAAATATTTAAAGGTTCTATGAACTTGAAGTAGCATTTCACAAAGCAATATTAACGTTGTTATATAAACACATCGTTTCTTTTGACCTTGAAAGAACTTGCTTGCGCCATTAAGAATATATTCCCGATTTAGAAGTGTTAACTCACAACAAACACCAGAAAAAATAGAAGAGATATGTAGAATATGTCGATCGAATCCATTTCTCGAGAGCGGAAAGTCAAGTAGAGTCTGCGATGGATTAGCTTTGACTGTCGCTAATTTGCGGAGAACGACGCAGAATGGCACTTAAGTTGTAGGTTCATATCTTGGAAAAGTTGCCTTATTTTTATGCCGCTATTAACCCCCCAACGAACAACAGGCATTATCTTATCGGCGGAGCTTTTGTAGCTTTCTTCTGCAACTGATATACGAATGGGATCTTACCCTCCATTGCAAGACGCAACATCATCTCGTGGCGCAAAAGGCGGGCGTACACTCTCATGTTCCACTCATCGATCTTCAACTTGACAAACAGATAACACTCCTTGGGGGGAATTACGACATGATATATCAGTTCAGTAGAGTGGATGGGACCTACCCGAGCAACTAGCGATACGACGATCAGCACGATAAAGCCGAAGAACCAGATTTCCACATACATTGGACCCTAACTGCCGGGCTTTTAGTTTACGAATGCCTTACTGGCGATTTTGATCAAACGATTCTAGTTATTCACATTCTAATTTGGGTGTTTTGACTTATAGGAGCGGAGTTACTTGATGAGGCTCCCAGATAAACTCACCAGTTTCCCGCCTGTATTGCAGACAGCAGACGCACTTCCACTTGTGGTTGGGACAGATGTAGGCCTTGAGAAACTCGAATTAGCCAGGATCAGAGGAAAAGCCATCAAAAACTCACCCTCAACATAATGAGGAATATCAGAATGAAGGAGATGAAGTAGTAGACCTCTACGAGATCCATTCTGAACCGATTCTGGGAAAAGTGGAATAACAAATGAGCACCGGCGCACGGGAGTACGAAAATAAACCCCGGGAAACTGCTTTATCTTTCGATAAACAGAGATAAAGTCGGCGTTGCATCAACTCGACAGCTTGGGTAATTCGGCCGATAAGCAAATCAGAGCTAATTATAGCGAAGGCAATAAACCAGGCATGTGCGGCTAGTTACGGCTATCTACTTATCCCTAAGTCTATTTGCGTGTTTTACTGATCCGGCTCACCATTACGAGTGTTGATGTTCCTCTGCGATCTCGCCCCGTAATCACTCGCCTGGCCAGCTCTTTTGGCCTTCTGATAGGCATTCGCAATGAACTGTTCGGGGAGGAAGGAAATTCGGTGAGCTCACTTTCGACCCGCTTTCACCGACAGCTACTCACGACTACTATGAGGATGAAGACCAGCAGCACCACCGAAAAGGAGCCGAACTCTGCACCCATGGCTCTGGCAATCCACCCGGGACAAGTGCTTTACGACAACTGACTGGCTATCGGCTCCCGTCGATTTCGGAGCCCCTTCGATTGCCCATTATCCGTATCTTATCACCGTATTACCGTATTTTCGTAACGCGATCACAACACAACACACTCACCTCTGCGGGAACGACTGGAAAAGGCGATCTGTAAGGCAAACAGTGTTACAAGACTTATTTAAGGTCCTGGCTGGAACGCACCTTAAGGAAAATGAGGACCGCCAGGATCATGCAGAGCATTGTAATATAAAAAGCTACAGCCACAGTCATCTTTGTGTTTCTTCTCCCAAATACGAAGAGGGCGAAAAGCCAACTGAAGGCGATTTTTCCAGATCGCGAATTTGTCGAGTAATCAATGCGAAAATGGCGATTGTTAACTTTAATCGTCTACGTTGGCTAACGATTACCCTTATCGGTCAAAATTGATTGGAGTAGCTATAGAAACCGAAAATTAAAATACCCTTAAAATGATTATCAATTACATTGCTACAATATTTAATTAGGTGGAGCATCCAATTCTTGTAGCTTTTACTTTGAAATAGCAACTATTCAAGAAAAGCCGCAGACCATAAAAAAATTTTTATAGTGCAAGCCTAGCTATTTCACAAGTTTTTAGTCCAAATTAATACAGCCCAAGAAAGGCAAGTTTATAAGTCCCTTTTCGAGGAATCGGAAGGCAGATTAGGGTGAATGCCCAATTTCGCAGTAAGTCCCCCAATCGAACGGAAATTCTTTCTCTGCGAGCAGCGAATTTATCCGCTTCACAATACGACCTTGGAAACGAGTATAAAGTTAATCAAAGTTATTATTTACCTACCGGCTGGAAGGCAGATAACAAGAGTGGTGAAATAGGCTTGTTGTTCAGAACTCTCCCACCTGCGTTCCGAATTGGAGCTCTCCCACCTTAATTGAAATGCCGAGCCCTCCCAGCCGAAAACATAGTCATGATCGCCGTGTACCCTTGCATTGTACTCGAATGGTCAGCGCACAACAACTTCAGTTTTCAAGTTCACAGCGGCAACGAGACCCGAAAAGAAACACCAAACAAAAACCCAGTTGGGTTGCGACTGACCCATTTAATAAATCCGAGGCAATTAAAGCCAACCGCTCGGTTAATTATAGGGCGGTCGGGCCCGAAAACAAACAGACTTTGCTGAATTGTGATAATTAATAGTTGGCCTGGGAGTGTCCGCGGAGGGTAGATCTTTGCCTCGGACCAACTGCACCCAACACAATGAAAATTGTAACAAAATTGCGAATTTACTTTGTGTGCTGGCTGGCGCTGTCTTGTTTTTCTCGCGTCTCCACTCCGAATCACTTTTATTGTTACAAATCGCCATCGGACCGAGCGAGTTTACGCAAAAAAAAACAACGCTTCGATGCCTTGAACTGAAATTAATGAGCCCGCTAGCCCCGAATCACCCTGATTCGGATTCGAAGGGTCCGCTCCCAGCCTCCCAAGTTCCCAAGTCCAAGTGCGCGTCCGATTCCGAGTCAGAGTCCGAGTCAGCATTTCTTTTGTGGCATTAATGCAGCCAGCCGTGCCCAATCGGTCGGTCCGTGTCCGAGGAGCTCATCCGTCCATTGGGTACATCGGGTCCACCATCCACCATCCACCAAACAACCATCCGACATTCAAGATCCAACATCAGGTGCCTGCTCCATGGGCACGCTTCATGCTTCAAGTGCGCAACAATTGGACAAAAGCGGATTTGGCTCGCTGTTGGGTTTTTTATCTTGCCCATTTCCATTTTCTTTGTTGCCACTTGATGGCTGAGGTTGGCGTGGATTGGTAATTTGTTAGCGGAGGCATTGCAATTGATTTCAATTGAATTACGCTCATGCAAGCACTCGGCCACTCGAAATACCAAATATGTTCATTTTGGATCTGGCATTACATTTCATACAGGTTTATTTACCTAGGTATAAACTGCCTAGATACAAAATGGTTCATCTGAGTATAGTATGCATTTGCCAAATTTATTATTCCCAATTGAATATAATTTTATGGTAAACAATTATATGAGACAATGAGAAAAAGTATTTAAACATTAACTTTAATTTTGTTTCATTGGCAGCTAGCTCACAACTCACTGCGATTTCCACTTCCTTCCGCCCCAATATCTTACTTTTCTGCACCTCAGCTGTGAGAACGGACACAAATTTGCATTTCTTTGGCTCCGGGGCACGCCCCCTCAATGCCAAGTTCACAGTCACTTCCGTCCCGAAAACGGAAAATGCACTGACTTAGGTTAACACGTAACTTCCACCGATCAGATCCGATCTGATCTGATAGCCGCCTAAAACAATCAACAATCCAGCCGAAAAAACTTACAAATCATCTGGCGGACAAGTTCCGGCTTTCGAGTTTGGCTTTATGGTCTAATACTGGCCCATTGTTGACTCCGCGTAAACGATGGCTATAATTTTTATGACGCTGTGAATGTGAATTAATCTCAACGGTTTTGGAGTCGACTGCCCGCTAATTGTGGGTGTGTGATTGCTGGTTGATGCTGGCGGGTGATGTCAGTTGTTGGGTCTTTAATCATCTCTTAAGTAACTTTAAGCACATGGCTAATGTGAGCCAATTAACTCCCAAAAGTCCCGAGAGGAAAAACATTCAGAGTGTTTACTCAATTCGAAAACTGGTTGCTCTTTAGGAAATTTATTCCCGAAGGTACAAAATGTAACATCCAGTTTGTATGATTTTTAATAGCTCAGTTATCGGATATTTTATTTTTACTATTTATTATTGTAACAACTGATAATTAGTTCCTATTTTAAGCTACATACAGAAAAATATATTTGTATCTTACTTCCCAGTGATATTTTTCTAATTGGCAAACCCATTGAACTTTATAAAGAGCCCAAAACCCCTTGAAATGTCTAAGCCAAATTACTCAATCAGTTCGTGTGTGAATTAAACGAGCTGCTAATCTAAAACAGATCCCGGCCCCAAGTCATTAATGGAGTGCTCGAACAACGCCCAGAGAACTTCGAGGCGCGTTCGATGTAATTAATTTCAATTCGCCACTCTTGAGCGCGGCCTTGAACTTCAAGAGTGACGTGACTATTAGAACGCAAATGGATCGGCGTCTTCCGAGCCGAGATGTACTTTCGCTTTTTCCATCAAGATACAGCGCAATTCTTGAGAAACCCCAGACTGCGATACTCGCAAGAGGGAAAAACCCAGTGACATAACCGAGACTTACGCACTCGCATCTCAGATGGAAAATATGTGGAGCATTAAGCATTAGGGCTAATTAGTTAACAAAAACACAATAGTGGACCATGGACACATGCAAAATATTTCTCCACAGCTTTATTGTCTTTCTTTTCTTTATTATATAGTATGTTGGTTTCTTTTTTGGTGCCAAAGTCCGCTGCAGACTATTCAATTGGCCAATTCTCAATTGCAGCACTGAATGCGCTGCACTGAAAAACATTTTATTTGAGCGTTCCGGGAAGTGTTAGATTGAATCCAAAATTATTATTTCTTCCTATTTGATTTGGATTTTCCCTGCAGCCCAAATGTAAGTGCTACTCAACTTGAGCCACAAAATCTGACAAGCTGACAAAAGCGCGTTGGTAGATGGTAACAATCAGGGGCTAATTTGAAACACTTTTGGCCAGGCCTTGCCCAAGTCCGATTTGAGTTTTACAATATTTTTTCCAGTTTTGTTGTGGCTGCAATGTCCATAATTTCCCCCATTGAACCTGACCGTCGTGGCTGTCGTTGTTATTGCCATTGTTTTTAGTAGTTGCTGATGGGGCAGCAAACACAGTTATGATTATGAGAGGTTTTGTGACAATCAACTTCCTCGAAACGTGCCGCTTCGGAATGGCTTTGGCATGGAATGGCTCCGAATGGACTTGGACTTTGCATAATGGCCAGCAGTTGGCCAGTTAGCCGGTTGGTTCGTGTAATGAATTTTACCCGTGTTATTAGGGGACAATCGCTGATGGCAAAGAGTCAGCGACTTTGCAGACACAGGTGCAATTGGGTGTACATTTTTTCGGTGTTTTGGCAAGCCATTTCACAAATAAAGCAAAGGTATGTTCATTTAAAAAAAAGTGATAAAAACGTCCATGTATCACTAATGCTAAAACATGATTTAACGATTTAATGACCAGAGCTAAGTTAAGTTAAATGGATGCTGTCTAGCTTCAGACCTTAGGGATTCAAATTTAAGTACTATAATCAAAACGTTATCTGTACATTTTCAACAAATTTACATTCATTGTCCGTGACAAGATTAAAATAAACCGAAAACAAAAACAATCAATCACCATATAAAATCAATTTCTATACCTTTGAAACTGATATTTCTCTATGTGCAACTCGTTTTTCCCTTTTGCGCTGACTAATCCAACAAAACACTTATTAATTATGCCTCATAATTGAGGCACCCGCCTGGGAATGATTTTGATTAGCAGCCTGCAATTATCCCCAAATCGTGAAGCTGTTTGCGATTCGGTCACCGCTGACAGCAGCAGGTTTGCCTGTTTTGTTTGTCGGGCTCTGAGCAATGCTAGTGGAAATATGTATGGAACATGAATGGGGCAAAACACGAAAAGAAACGCCAGCAAATTATGTGAACTTGTTATATCACCTGGCTGAAAATCGCGGGCTTCAAACACTTTTTTCAGTTGATTCGAGCGGCGGCAATCATAACAACAAGCTGCTGCACTTTCTTTGCGTTACGCTTCTTTGCATGCATTGCCAAATCGCCTGGGTATATAGCCACGCCAGATATCTGCGGCTATATGCAAGCGGTCAGTGTCCAGACATTGAAAGCAATTGCAATGCTTGAACGCTGTCCGCCGAAAAGACACAGATATAGCTGCAGATACAGCTACAGATACAGATACAGCTGCATAGATGCGGATTGAGATGCAGCCGTGGATTCGGATGCACTTGCAAGTGCGGCACAGAAACGCAAAAGTTCAACAGTCGGAGGCGTCGGACGGCCCTCCACCTCCCCCGCGGTTGTAGGCGTTTGCAGTATTGTAAATTAATTCATATTAGCCAAACAAATGCAGACATGTGTGTGTCGGTGAGCAGCTTTTAGCATTTCATTCGGCGGAGGAGATGGCTTGTCGCACAGGTTTTATTTCTGCGGTCTGAAGTTCGTTGTGGGAGCATCGCAGTCGAAGCCTCAGTCGAAGTCTCAGTCGCAGCCTCGTTGAAGAAACCGGCGCAAATGATTTTTATTTCTTTTTATCTGCTGCAACTGTTTGTTGTTATTGTATTGAAAATAGCAAACATGCAAAATGCGCAGCGAAGGCTGAGAAAATCAACAGCGAAAATGTTAATTACACTATATCTGAGCAGCATCTATCTATCTGGCCGTTCGACGGCCACTTAAGTGTATCTGATGGATGCAAATGTGTGGAAGGCATTTTCGAAACCCCAAACAGTTACAGATCTCCCGATATATCTTACACTGCATGAGTAATATCAATTGGCTTATGACTAATGGGCAAGCCTAAAACCAAATCACAATTAGCGGACACAGAAAACATTTTCCATGGTTCGATTTAATAACGCATGAGATCAACAGCAATGTTTTCGAGCTATGTTTTCACACATTTTTGAGGTGTTTCTACTAAGGGCTTAGTTATAAAATCTTCCTTTTGAAATAGCGTTTAGTTCTTCCTTAATCCTAAGAAGAATTAGTACTCACCTATAAGCAACTTCTACTTCAAATCCTTTGTAATTTTATTGTTATCAAAGAAAATCCAAACCACCCCTTACAGACGCAAATGTAAAAAAGTCGATGCTGTTCTTACAAAATTATTCAATTACCTTTTTGAAATCAACATAAACCCTAATTTAAGTCTTCAAAGTATTATCCAAAACACTTACTAATCAAAAGTTTCTGATGTGTTAGTTTAAAATTGTTTTTCTTGTTGTGCAGATCGAAAGACTTAAGGGGGGAAATACAATTAGAAGACCTGAAATGAGGGCCATCTTTGGGAGTGGATTGCAAGTAGGGTATTAAATGAATCTTAGCGATTCTTTTTGCATGTTATTAGGTAATTATTGAGCAATAAAAATCAGTCAAGTTTTTTGAAAAATATTGTAATTAAGCCCATTTATGAGCAATAATGTGTAGTCGTGTTTTTAGGGAAGGACTTTGCGCCGTGCAGTCTCCAGGTCCAGGATCACGACTTAAACAAAAAACAGCAACTGGGCTTTAAACTTAAAGGTTCAGCGCTCACCATGAATAAAAGCAAATTTAAAAAAAATAATTTTTCCATTAAAAAATTTGAGGTTAAAAAAAAATTTAAAAAAAAACGCTTTTTTTTTTACTTTTATTGTAAAAAAAACATGTTATAACAAACAAATATGAAAAACCGTTATATTCATGGTGTGGAGAATTTAATTTCAAACATAATGCAAAAAACCGCATTCGATTTAAATAAAATCTCTGACCTGTACATTGCACGGCGATTTTGAAAACACGACTTTTCAGTAGAAGCGTTTGAAGTTTACTTTTGTGCATGTCCGCCATATGACACGCCCTCACTAAATTGCTTATAACTTTGAAAATAAGTACCGGACGGCTTTAAGCTTTTAAAGGCTTATTCCCAGATATATTTAGAGTACATTAAGCCAAAAAAAAATTGTTCGAAAAAAAAATTTTCTAATTGTATTTCCCCCCTTAAGAAACGAACTTGGCGGCAATGGGAAAAACTCCACTCAACTGACGGATACTTTTGAGTGGATCCGAGACAGAGAAAGAGAAACGGAGAACCGGAGAGCCTCGGCTTGCCGAGAGACACACGAGAAGTGGCTGAGAGAAACGGAGAAGTGGCTGTTCTCTCGGCCAGGTCTCTCAATGGGCGGCTTCGGCCCAGAGTGGATTTTTTTGGTATAAAACATAAACAAGCCAAAGAAAGTCATTCATTTTGTTGTTCGAGCCAGACGAGTGAACCGTTAGCAGAAGCAGCTGGAAAAGAGCTGCCCAGTGCAACAAAGTGACACATAGAAAAGCCATAAACGAACCCTCGACCATAAAGTGATCCCGTGAGTGTAGTGTGTGATCCGCAGCCGAAACCTTTTGGATTATTTGGATACCGCCTAGACATCGCCCCAGAATGCAGTAAGTTCTATAACCACCCAACGCGACTGTGAATCATAGTCCGAACCTGGATCTAAGCCTGGCTGGACTTGGCCTGCCTCGCGGCCACAAGTTCGTGCTACAGTCGCTGCCATCGAAAATTAACATTTTCGGTATTGTCTCCGTCTCCGTCTCCGACTCCGGGGTTCTCTCGGCCCAATTTTCTGGGCCGCTTAGCCGCTTGGCAACCACAAAATATTCTTTCGGGCGATTTCAAAACGCGGAGACATACGTAACGGAGGCAAAACAGAAAACCCCAACCGAAGTCGGTCTGACTTTTCCTCCTATATCTTTCTGTTGGTTTTCTGTCTGTCTGTCTGTGTGTTTCGGCGTGGGAGTTTTCGCTTTTGTTCGCCGACAGTTCATTGAGGCAGCTGCCTTTAACCCAGGGGGATGCTTGTACTTATTTATATGAGTTGCTGCACAGAAAACAAAGTTAGGAGCTTTCCTTTGTTACTTACAGTCACGAGCTAAGGAAATCTATATAAAATGAATGCATTTAACCTGTTTAGAATATTATTCTATAAGTGAGGAATCTATATGCAAAGTTAAATATTTCTCTAAAAATTTTAGATCGAACTTACACGAATCTTCCATGACTTTTTCAATAATTCAGATATCCAGATAAATCCAAAAATTCCGATGTTGATTATAGGTTGATATTATGAGAATTAAGACAACTTTTTTTAGGCAGGCGCTTAATGTTTTTACAAACTGACAACGAATTTGTCTTGAATTCAGTTAAAAGGGGTTTTTTTTTGTTTCTTTTCTATTTTTTCTTATTAAGAACCAAAGATCTTAACAAATTATAAAGCAAATCAACCATCACATGAGACATTTTATTCCTGTGCAGATTTCCAAATCTTTCGATCCCAAGTCTTTTTTAATTTATGTACACTTTGTGCCAATCGAATGTCCGAGACTAGATCGCCGATTAGGACTCGGAACGGTCACGCCTGCCGGACACTGGGAGATCCAATCTCCGTGACAGATTGCATCACAGAGCTGGTCCTTTCTAAAAGTAGAGTCGTGTGGATTACTCATGCTCTGCCCATTATATAAGTGACAGCGAATATGAGCGGCAATTGTATCAAATGCACGCACTGCGGCGCATGTGGCGTATACGCAATATTTCAACGTTTGGAATTACAGCGACGCACAGAAATGCGCAATTGCCCAAGCGTGCCGCTCGCCACGCCCACCGCCCTCCGTCCTCCATGCCTCCGCCCAACGCCCACTGCCCCGGGTGTAATTGCTTTCGATTTTCGGTCACTATTTTGATGGGGTGTGTTCGACGAGCAATTAATAAATCGCCAGCGAATTGATTTCTTTCACTTCAGCCTTGGCTCGTCGGATTTGGCCCGTCATCGAGCCAAGCGAATAAACACACACCCACTTCAGACAGCCGCCCCACGTGAAGGTCGCAGATTTGTGAAAATTGCCGCGGCACAAAAAGAGCCAAAAGAGAAAAACGGTGGAACATAAAATCCATTGCCAAGCTATTATGGTGGCACATTATCCAGATGCCCGAAATCAGGCGAACGTAAATTTCGAGCACATTAAAATCCAACCGCCCTAACTGCACGCACATTAACGGCGCTTAATTTGTTACACGCAAAATAAACTATAAACTGACAAAGAAACAACAAAGTAGGGGCAGAAAAAAAAGTGAAAAAACGAAATTAAAGCAGTGCAATGGAGTTTATGGAGTTTATTTTCTGGGCTTTCATGTTTCACACAGTTTAATGGCATCGGGAGTTGTGTTAACGAGCTTGTGTTTAATTAGGCACTCGAATAAACTAAACTGCAGCCAGTGAAAACAAAAGACTTGGGCAACAAACTCGAACGGATTACATGCTAAGGAGCCCAAATGGAAATGGACTGAAAATTGAAATGGATGATGGAAAACAGCGGGCAGCCAAGGAGATTGTGGCGCTAAGTGGGGCTAAGCTCTTGATTCCCTGCCTACTCCCGAGTTATACAAGAAACTTGCGCTCTTTTTGTGCGAGAAACAAGTACACTTATCAAAATGCAGGTGGTTGGTGATTGCCGAGTGGCGTAACACTTTTCTAAGACCGGCGCTTATGTCACCCCAAAAATGCCCGCCTAACATGACGCACACCCAACATTTAAGGAAATCAACGGCGAATATAGTCCGAGTTCCAAACGGAAGAAAACCCGGTGGCACACAGAGAAAATCCACTGCAGCCCGAAAGTGTAACGAAACCGACGGCTTCGCCAGACTTGTGGTTTTTCGAGAAGTACATGGATGAGCGGAGGGTACGGGTCTAAATCTGGGGAATTGGGACAGGGGATTGGGGCCGAGAAAAGCCATCAACATCAACGCACCACCAAGTGCCATGCGAGTATGCTATTCACATTTCGCTATTCGCTATTGCTATTTGCTATTTGCTATATGCATGATGTAACCGCAGTGCGATAACGTCTGCATCTGGACCAAAAACAGAGACAGATCCCGAGACATGCAACCAATTCCCCATTTATGGCAGACAGACAGCCTGTTGCGAGTGCGAGTGCGAGTGCGAGTGGTGCTTGTGCGCAAGTGGAGCACTCCAGGGTTGAGGGAATGTCTTGGGTATTTGCATGGGCCGCAAGTGGGAAGGCAGAAGCCATTCCCGGGGGCAGATTCCCCGGATTCCCAGGGAGCTTGCGCAAAAGGTTCGGTTCGCTGACAGTGACAATGCAACAGGCAACGGTGGCACTCTCAGCCAGCTCCTAAAGTTCAAAGGTGCAGCTTGCAACTAGCAACGCGCAACTTGCAACGCGCAGCTGCCAAGCGACAGGCTGACAAATTGCCAGCTGGAAAATTCGATACTTGCATAAGACAAACGCTCTCCAGATTTATTGGCCTGGCCCAAAAAAACCAACGGAATCCACTGGCCATTCGGGTTCAAAGTCACCGCGCAGCCGGACACTCTGGCTGGCGTGAAAAGTAAAAGTCCGGGCCGACTTTTGCTTTTGCTCTGGCTTTTGCTTTTATTGCCGCTCGCATTTTTCACCTTGCCCAACTATTTGCGACTCTTACTTCGGCGTTATGGCCCCAATTAGATGCTGGCACGTAACGTTGGCTAATTGGCCTGGTCAGCACCGGATCGCTGGCTTCCACGCCAGGAATTCCCCCCGCAAGCGGGCTAGATACTCGTGTATGTGGTATTATGCGTACGAACAGCAGTTGACATTCAGCCAAGTCGAGTGAGTGGGTCTCGGGTAAATGGCGTTCAAATTGAACCCGCCGCAAGCTGAGCATCTTCATCATAGTCGGTGCGGTGGGGTATATGAGCTATAAGATCAGGGTCTCGAAGCTTCGGCGTAGAAACCACTACGAGGCACTTGCATAAAAGCATTTCATTTGCATGCCTGAGTAAAAATTATACAAATATCAAAGTGAACTATTTGTGCATCTCACTGCGATAAGGTGATGTTTTGAAGAATTCTTGCTGCTGACCAGATCCTTTAGAGTATTAAATCATGAAATGAGAAATATTTTGGCCCAACTTTTGGTAACAAGCGTATGCCATGATCAGCGATTCCCAAGCCGAGCTTTCCTTGCCTTCCCAGCCGCAGTTGCAGTTGCATCTCCATGCTACTGGCTCCGTGGCCCGTTTCGATCTTGGGACTTGCCGTGTTGCCTTATAACAAGTTTTCTGGCCTGGCTGGCTGGCTGGCTGGTCTGGTTGGTCTCTTGCATAACTGGTCGCTGGGCTGCCGATGCCAATGACGATCCGATGATGCTGCCTTCTTTGGCTGCAATTTGGCGGCATCTTCGCGAAAAGGTTCGCAGAAATATTTTCCCGCGTTTTTTTCTGTCGGTTGATTGTCTTGTTGCCACAGAGTTTCCCATATCATAAAGCAGGCTGACTCACCACATGATGGCCATTGCTTATTCCGTTGCAGCATCCAGTCAGCCGTTCTGCTCGTCCTGGCTGTCGCCACTGGTCTGTGGAGCAGCTGCGTGGAGGCAGCAGCCACCGGAGCTCCTGCGGCCATCGCCACCACTGCCAAGCCAAAGGGATTCGAGGCGCGATCGCTGGACGTGAGCTCCAGCGGCGGCGAGGAGGAGCTGGACGACTTCGAGACGCAGGCCCAGACCCACCTGGCCTACCGCCAGACCCAGCAGCAGCGCCAGCTGTACGAGTACAGCGACGAGGACCAGGAGGAGCCACCGCGCCAGGTTTACGCCAACAGGAACGCCAAGCAGCAGAGCAACTTCCTCAAGATCCAAGGCCAGCTGAAGAAGCCCCTCAGCGAGGAGAGCGAGGAGGAGGAGGATGAGGTCGAGGAACCCGATCGCCTGTCCACCTTACTGAGCAAGTCCTCCTTCAGCTGCAACGACCGGAACTCCGGGTGGGTGCCCACTTGGCATCTATTTATTTAAACATACTTATAGTTGAATTCGATTGCAGATACTATGCCGACGAGTCGCTCAGCTGCGAGGTGTTCCACTACTGCCAGGAGAGCCAGAAGCACTCATGGATCTGCCCCGAGGGCTTCACCTTCCACCAGATCCACCTGATCTGCATGCCGCCCTCGCACGACAACATCTGCAAGCAGTCCTCCAAGTACCACATCGTGAACGACTACCTCTACAAGCCGATTAACCTGCAGGAGCACCAGAGCAAGCCGAACGTGACTCTCCGCTACTCGGAGCGCTACTTCCCGGAGAACTACTACGAGCACGAGCGTTACGACGACGAAGAGGAGGAGCTACCCGCCGCGCCCAGGCCACGCATCCAGCAGCAGCCACAGCAGCAGCAACAACATCGCCAGGTTGTGGCCTACCAGCAGCCGCAGCAACAGCCTCAAGTGAGAGTACAATACCAGCAGCCGCAGCAACAGCCCCAAGTGAGGGTACAATACCAGCAGCCGCAGCAGCAACAGCACCAGGCTCAGCCGCAACCGCAAGTGGTGACGCAGATCCGCCACCAGCCTCAGCCGACGACCCTGGCCTACCGGAAGCCACTGCCCGCTACCACGGTGCAGCCGCAGTTGCAGCTGCACCAGCTCCACCAGCAGAGGCCGCAGACACTGGCGCCCACCGTGACGCCGGCGCCCTACCGCTTCTTCACCACCGCCCCGCAGCTGCAGCAGCAACAGGTCTTCCGCACGCCCGAGGAGATCAACATCTCGCTGCAGCAGCGCCGGCCGCAGGTGTTCATTGCCACAACGCCGCGGTACTACGAGGACGAGTACCTCTACGAGCGGCGGAAGTAGTGAGGAGGATCTGCGGACTAGTGAGCAGAAACAGTCTTGTCTCTCGTGTACATTCCCCGTCTAAGTACGTAGCTTTAAGCTCTCGCCCCAGCTCTCTGTCAGGCCCGAAAACCCTTGCGCGAGTTTTGTGTACCTATTTGTAATATTTAATGTCCTGCTAGAAGAATCCGCCTTCTAACTCAATTCGTTAATAAAGGAAGCCACATTAAGTTAGCCGCTCACTGTATGTCAATCTCCATGAACTGATCCGCGTTGGATAGGTGCACCGCCTGGCTGTGGGTGCCCTCCTCCACCACGTAGTTGGGCCCGATAATGCAGTTCTTCAGCACTGATCCGCTCTTCACCAGCGCCCGATGACCAATGATGCAGTTGTCGATGTTGCAACCCTCCTCCACGACGGCGTTGGACATGATAAGCGAGTTGGCCACAATGTTCTTGGGGTTGATGATGCAGTTGGGACCGAAGACGCTAAAGTTCAGCGAGGTCTTTTCGGACAGCTTGGCGTTGTCGGCGGCAATGATCTCCTTCGTTTGAGTGGACTTCACCAGGGCGCCAGGGGAGATTAGAGGGTGCTTTTCGCCACACAGATCGTTCCAGATGCTGGCCAGTTTGCGATTGATTGCCAGGAAGCTCAGAGTGTTGTTTACCCGCACTCCGAACGCCTCTTTGCCTGCCTGAATCCCATAGCAGCGCACCACGTCACCGTGATAGGGAACTTGGGACAGAGATTGGTTGAAGAGAGAGGTCTGTGTGATCTTCTGGTCCAGAATGGTGTAAGGAACGTACTAAATGAGAAAGTAATTTGGTTAATAATTATGTTCACTCGGTGCATTACCCAATATTTTTGACTCCTCACATGCAAAACGTTATCCTCATTCTTGGTAATCGCGCCGACTTCAGAGGTTGTGTCCTGCACTGCTTTTGGTGGTCGTTTGGAGTGCTGCTTCTTTATCAAATGCGGTAGAAACTCGCCCTTAAAGGTCGAAATGTTCTCTTTCTGCAACGATCCAAGCTATTAGAAGATATTCCGGCAACAACCACATGTTTACTTACCCTCCGAAGGTAGTCGATGACCCATTTCTTCAGCACATAGACATGGGCATCCACTAATCGGCTGTACACATCGAGTCGTCCCCGGTTCTTTATCAGATGTCTCTGGATATTCAGGGTTTCCTCACAGTCACTGGCGGCAGACACGAAGGCCAGTCTTTGGGTTGATGCATGAATGCCAATCACATCTCGTTCTGGTTTATGCTTGCTCTTGGGACCCGGCATCACGACATCTGACTCGAAACCACTGGGAAAGAGGAGCAGGGCCAAACTTGCATCGTGCTCCCGGAACTTGTTGATAAGGGGATACAGGCTAACATTGGTGACCAGGTCGCAGCTAAGCACAAGGAAATCGGACTTGATCTTGTCGTATATATACCGCAGACTGTCTGCAGTCCCAAAGTCATTGTCACCGGGAATCGTGGCATAGTCCAATTTTAGTTTCAGGGGTGTATTTTCCAGGGCCGATTGAATTTCGAGCTTTTCCTGCTCCAGCACCACCACAATAACCTCTGGGGACCAAAAATAATCCATTAAAATTACGATTTACCCATTGTCAACCGGAATTACCTGAAAAATTATGTTGTTGCAGCAGATTTAGGGGGTACCAAACCAGGGGATACGGGCCCACAGGCAGTAAGCACTTGGGGGCATCGCCCAGCACTTCCGGTAGTCGAGTGCCACGCCCCGCGGCCAGAACTACAGCCTGAAACTCGGAGTTTGTCATTTCTTATTAAATAAACGAAACAAATTCGGCCAAAAAGCGTGCGAATATAAAAAGCCACGCAAACAGCTGATCGAATGCAGGGGCATAAGAAATTCGCGTTATCCAGCACTGTTTCCCATTGGACATATGTTTGCTGTCATGTGACTGCATTTTGTTTTTGTTGCTTTTCTATTGTATAAAACAAGTCAGATGACCCTTTTTGCCATGAAAAATCCCTTTTCGACTTAAAAACCTCAAAAATGCCATTTGTATGAAACAACAAGACTTTAATGCATGGTTTGCGCAGCTTACACTACACTACAAAAATGGAATACATACTTTTTCTGCTTATTGGAATAGTCTACACACTTTTGCTACATAGGTACAATTAAGTTTGTGGCTTGCCCTTTGCGAATTACAATATGGAAACAGATACAGAACGAAAATAGTTTAACAATAATATTGCTGGAATTTACAAATATCCAAGATAATACTTAGAACAGCACGTCATCGTCTCCCTCATCCAGAATGTTAGCCTGCTGGCGCACATCAATTCCCTCCTTCAAAAGCTCTGCCTTCTTGGCATCAGCCTTGATACGGGCCTCGCGTTTCTTGTCTTGGATCTTCTTCAGTCGGTAGAACTCCTCACGCTCCAGCTCGTCCAGCTCCGAGATGATGTAGGCCAATGTCCTGTCGATACGGGGGATGATCACGTGCTCGATGGCGTTCACACGACGGTTGGTGATCTTGATCACTTCGTCCAGGGTGACGAACGAGGTCTGCAGCGAGGCCAGCTCCACGAGAAGCTTCACGGCGCTCTGGTAGTTCTTCTTCAGCTTCGCCAGCTGCTGTCCACCGCGGGCCAGTCCGGCCAGCTCGTAGGTGTCGGCTCCATCTTGGTAGGATTCAAACACGGGCAGGGTGACGCCAGCCACGTTGTCCTTCTTGGTGCGGATCTTGATCTGAGCCTTGGTAACGTTCTGCAGCACCACCTGGTTGATGTCGCCCGAGGTGAACTTGGCCTCCGCCAGTGAGAAGGCAGCCTCTTTCATAACGTCGCCCATCAGAGTCTTCGTCTCGATGATTTTGCCCAAAATCATACGGAATCGCATTTGCAAGGCATCCGCCTTCTTCTTCAGAAGACCGTGACCTTTTTGGGCCCCCGCGAGACGGGCCTTCATCAACATCTGGGCACCACGGGACGGGAAAATCGGTAGCCTATCTTTTCCGGACATTTTGTTGCTTTTTTTGGGTGGAACTGGCTAAATTAAACTATTTTCAACTGCGTATCGAGAAAACTGCAACCGTCGCAGAACACTGAAAAACTCCAACTGGAAAATGACGGACACTAGTGCTGGATAATTCCAAAAGACAGATAGTGCTCTAAGCTACCACAACATTATGTGTTGGTAAACAACCCTAAGCAGCTGATTCGCATTTGAGGATAAACAAATCTGATTGATTTTTGTTTTCTTTTTTTATAAACGATGCTGCTGCAGCGCGTTGGCTTGCTACAAATAAACAACCACCTGCGGCATTACGCCAAAAAATCCCGGGCCCAGTTCAAACCAGTCATGGCCGTGAGCAAGCGGTTGGTTCACCAGGAGATCCTGCATTATGTAAACCCCTTTGCCAGGATCAACGTGAAGTCTGATGTCTTTCTGCGCATTCAGCCAGCTGATGTGCATCAGTACACCAGTGGCGATGTATTTATAGCCCAATTGCGCGGCGGTCAAGTCAAGAACTCCAATGTCACACTGGACGTGAAAATAACTGATGATGATAAAGTGGTCGATGTTGTGGTCAAGCAAATAACAGAGCAGCCCTCGCAGTTTGAATGCGACCTGCAGATACCCGTGCGCTCCGATGTCTCCGTGGAGGCCAAGGGCAGTGTTAGAGTGGAGGGAATCCAGAGCGAACTCCTGCAAGTTAAGGCGGACGGAGGCATTGTAACCAAAAACGTTAAGGCCACCAATATAAGCCTTTATAGCGAAAACGGAAACATTAATTGCCAGGGAACGATACTGGGCAAGATCACAGAAATAGAGACACGTAATGGGGTAGGAAAGGAGTTAATGTAAATCGTTACTATGTGTGATTTTATATTTTGACTTCCCAGAACATTAACATGGACAAACTTCAAGGAGACAACCTGAATTGCACTACGGAAACTGGCAGTATTATTACCGACTGTTGTTATGTGGAAAACTCCAACTTCCACACACAAACTGGACGCCTGGATCTAAAAAATGTCCACAAAACCAGCCAAGTGCACGTTTACCAGTCGGGCGAGCTTAATATGAGTGAGTTAACGTGGGAAATATTCAGTAATACATTAACTATTCTCAATTTTTAGCTGGTTTCCATGGCAACCTTCAATTAGTGACCAAAGGAGGCAGCTTAAATGTCCAGTTATCAGAGCTAGTGGGCCACAATAAAATCGATGCTCAGAATTTAAAAGACGAGGCTGTTATTCACATATCCCAAGCCATTGAGCAGGATCTCCACATTGAGGTGTCAGCTTCTGAAGTGAAACTAGAAGCCGAACTGGAGCATGTTGCTCATGCTTTGAATGAGACAAAAAATAAACTCCTACTCGGTAGCTCCAATACAGATCGCCTGCAGGTCTGCAGCACAGGTGGCAAAGGCGTGCGCCTGGGAAAACAGTCGTGGAGCGACATGATGCGTCAAAAACTTCAAGCTATTGAAACCAAAGCCCCATCGTTAAAGGCAGAGACTCACTAAGTTACGAATATATTGTGCTGCAAGCTACAATCTCAGTCATTTTTGTCTTTTCTTCTACGGAGGTATATCCCTTAGGCTTGGCCCGATTCCTTATCCACTTTGTCGCTCAGGCATTCGAGGGCCTTCGAGAAGATTGCATCTTCCTCTTCGGCTTTTAGCGCAGACACAAAGAGCTGCACTTTTTCGTCGCCAATCTCCTGGAGATCCGAGTTTTCCGCTTTTATCACCATGCAGGCTAGCAGGCGCAACAGCTTGAAGGCGTTCTCAACGTACTGCTCCTTGGGAGCGTCCTCCTCCTCCTCGTCGTCCTCGAAGTCATTGGACTCTGGATCGTTTCCGGTGTAGTTGTCAATGTGCTGTTTAAGTCTGTACCACAGTTCCAGAAGATTTGAGAAGGCTTCCTTGTTATAAAAGTACTTTAGGCGCTGTAACAGGGAATGGTCACTGGGCAATTCGATTGTTAAGGGGAAATCTCGGACTCACACTCCATATGTGCGCCAGGTCCTCCAGGTATTCCTCCTGCCGCTCGCCCAATGGAATGAGTTGCAGCGGCTGCTGCAGAAACTGCAGTATCCGCGCGAGACAACTGACTATGCTGGGTGCGTAGACGTCCATCGAGGCCTGCGCCTCCGGCAGCTGGACCAGGATAGTGCAAATGTTGAGGTAGGTTTGTATGATCTCCACATCACAGGTTATTTTCGGACCACATGAGTCGTAGCCGACGTCGGCATCCTCGTCACTGTCTTGGTTGGCGGCTGCTTCTTCCGCCTCTTCGTTCTCCTCGCCGGCTTCTTCGTCGGCCAACTTGGCCTGGTCATCGCGCATGAGTCGCAGGAAGGCGCTATTCACGCCATCGCAGAGTTCTGGGATCAAAAAAACCTCTGCAAAAGGCTTTAGATTGTGGGTCGACTTGGCGTTTTCCTCCTCAACCAAAGCACAGCTGGCGAGCACGGCATTTGTAGCCTTAAGAGCAGCCACAAGCAGCTCATCACTTACGGACTGCTGCAGAATCTTGCCCAGATTCTTTGCGGAGTTTTCGAAGGCGGCGAAGCAGATGTACCAGTCCACGGCGAATTGTTCCTTACCGCTTAGCACGTGGGCCATGATGTACTGGAAGAGGCGCATCAGCTGTATGAGCATGGCGGTGTCCATGCAGTTGGTCAGTTTAAAAGGGTCTCCATCGTGCTGTGATTGCAGGTGAGCAGCTCGGCGCACTCCACCTGGGCGCACATGTTGCCTAGCAAGCCGATGAGAATCTCGTAGAGACGCACATCCTCGCAGCCAGCTATCAGTGAATACATGATTGGATCGATGGCCTCGTTTTCCAGAAGCAGTGTAACCACCTCGGGGGATACCGACATATCCCACACCTTGCATAAATCGTCTTCCAGCTGCTGTTCCAGCGGTGAGTTCGGCTGCAGCTCCACCAGCTTCATTATCGTCTGCAGGATGAAGCGACTGCTGTACATTGTGCTGCCCACTGCGTCACCACGCATCCGTTCCAGCAGCTCCGCCTCCTCGGCGTCTTCCTGAGCGGGTGGGGGAGTGTGCGAGGCGCTGGCAGGGCCGGAAGCGTCGCTTTCCTTGTGGGCCGCATTTTCCGCGTGAGGCACGTCGCTTTCCTTGGTACACGCAACGCTACTCGCCGACGGCTCGGCGTCTTCCTTGGGCATTTCGATCGTTATTTGGGCCTCGGCTAACTGGTCAATGGCTCCTTTTCACTAAATGCGGACGGGCAGAGGACAATAATCAATATTTTTAGTTTCAGACAAGATTTTTTTTATATTCTTTTTTAAGACGCGGTTAGTGGGGCCGTAGCTTTTTTTTTTTAAATTACAAAGCTATTGGAAGTTTTCGGTTCAGCTCGTTAAGCTCAACTGGTCGCACTAGGGAACTAAGACACAAACCACTAAAATGTAAGAAAAAAAGATTGCAAGTTTAAAATTATGGCGCTAATAAAGCTTTTTATTGTATTCTTTTAATAATACAATAAGCTCTTAATCTTAAATTATGTTATACTGCAATATAATTTCAACATCTTAGTTCTGTTATCCAAAAAGAGAAAACACAAAATATATCTTTTAGCCTGGGTATCTTAATAATAAGTGACTTAGATGCAATTTTAACAATGAGAGTTAATCACAGTTTATGCGGTTTTGGGTTTTCCCTTAAGCAGCAGACTCGAAAGATTACTGTAGGGCAGCTCAAAAGCTAGAGAAAATGCGATGGAGGCAAGATAGACGATCATCGTGAAGCCACAGCAGACAACGCTCTAATAAATAGAAATAAAAGACAGTCAGAATGCAAAAGACGATTATGATAAGGGATAACCCACCAGAAGGAACGGATCGGCAGCAGAGCTCGTGCTGGTTAAACTGTAGACGGTTGCGATGACCAGGGGATTCAACAGGTATATGGCATAGGACAGGCGATTCAGGTGCTGGAAGCACTTGGCCTCCAGCAACCGGGACCACCAGACTCCGCTCCCGGATGCACTGCCCACTATCATCCAGCAAACGGTGAGGGAAAAGAGGCCGCGTCCCAGAACGAACAGCGAAATGGTGATCAGGTGCCCCAGATCCCGCTTCACCGTAGAGTAAATGCATCCGATGAACACCTGGAGACTGAAGTGCCACAGCCAACGGGTCTGCTGCTCACTCAGCTCCACCTGCAACTTCTGTTCCTGCAGACACCAGGCGGCGATTGCTCCCACAATGTAGGGCAGGATCCTCACAAAAGGACTCGTGTATATCTGGGTGCCAGTGGCGTAGGTGGAGTCGAAGGAGAACTCGAACTTGGTGGTGATCCCGATGCCGTAGGACCAGGATATGGTGGCCAGGAGTCCCGAGAGCGTCAGTACCTTTGCTAATTTCGGGTGCCTAGTCACAATATCGATTTTACTTTATAGCATACTTGTTTCTTGGAATGATTCCTTGTCGACTCACCTGGCATAAATAAAGAGCACTATGTTGGCAAGCAAAAAGAACTGCATGTCGCAGGCCAGGCTCCAGCTCCAGTTGGCACACATCTCCCGGTGGTCGAAGAGGTTCTGGATGAAGAGCAGGTTGCGCCACCAGTGATGGGAGCACAGTTCATCGAACCGCTCGTTGATGTGGAAGACGGAGACGTCTCCGATGTAGGCGAAGGCCAGGTCCACGCTGCCCATGACCACCAGGTAGAGTGGACCCAGTCGCAGGTAGCGGTGGAACAGCAGCTTCCCGAAGAGCTTCACATTGCCCCACAGATTATTCTGACGCACTGCCTCCAGCTGCTTGTCGTTTCTCAGAAAGTTGTAGGTTTGCAGGAAGCCACTAGGAGGCAAGTTTATCAGCATATTATTATTTCACCTTTGATAGGTGTAGGACCCACCTGATGGTGAAGAAGACGTCCACGAGGAGCGGCGCCGTGGAAACGTACTGGAAGAAGGCCTTCTCCGCATAGGATATGAGCACGGTTTTGTTGTGCACCGTGAAGTACATGTACCACAGCACGTGGAAGACCAGGATCCAGATGGCACACACGGATCGCAGGCCGTTCAAGATGGGAATCTCCCCGGGCTGATTCGCCCTCGTGGCGCAGATCTTCCTCCAGTTGTTGGCCACGTCGAAGCAGGACACGAAGTCCTGGAGCGGCTGCCATTTGAGGAGGGAGTCCATTGCCTGCCACAGCTCTGACTCCACGGGGGCCAGTCCCGGATCCGGCTCGTCGCCCCGCTTGGCCACCCGCAGCTGCTGGGCGCAGAGCATCAGGGCTCCGGTCACCAGGACCGCGGCCACCACCAGCCGGAAGGTGAGGCGCTGGAAGAAGTGCTCGCTCAGCCGCAGGTCCTTCATGTACAGCACCTCCGGCTGCATGTCGAAGATGTCGTCCTCGGCGAAGGATCCCCCTGCCACGTAGTCCCTGGCCAGCTGCTTCACCTCCTCCGACCCGCAGGCGCTGGGCAGGCACAGGCCGATGTGGAGCACCTGCTCGGACATCACCTTGATCTCCACCTGCCAGGGCGAGCGGTGCCGCAGGTAGATCACCCGGTAGTCCATCCCGAAGGGGGCGCTCTGCGTCAGGATGCTGTAGTGCATCACCCTCTCGTAGTTCCGGGAGAGGGTGATGCCCACGGGTGCCTGGACCCCTCGACACGCCTCCCGACTTCCCAGCCAGTAGTTCTGGCCGAATACGAATCCGGACGGCTTGGCACCCGAGGCGTCAAGAACTGAACATTTGAAAAGAAATAGTTCGCAATAATGTTGAATAGGTTTGAATATATTCAGAGCTCTGGGACATCTATGTATTTCAGGTCAAGTCCGCTTAGTCTTAGTAACTCACCCTTCATGGCCCAAGGTTGCTTGCTGAGTATTCCCCTTTGGACTTGTTTCAGGTGGGCGTGGCAGCTGGGACTCACATTGCTCTCGTTGGCCGCCTTGCTTAGTCCGAATATGACTGAACTTCGGATTAGATGGGGTTCATGCTTTGATTGGACAGCAGACCCCGCCTTCCCTTGGATATCGGAGGTGATTACTTTCGTGGACAACTCCAGACTGGCATTGAAAAGCCCGTAATCATAACGAGCCCTTCGCAAAGTGGACTCATTTACGGCCGCATCTGCCACTAAGGTCAAGATGCCGATGATCAAGACCGACTTCCAGTGCCTTTCCATGCCTACGGACCGCAAATGAGGCGGCAGCTGGAAAAGGTGAGAGGCTTTTAATTGTTTGCCGTCGATACGAGTGCCCTGGGTTACGCAAATCAGAGGCAGCCCTTCGGGAGTAAAACCAATTAAGTTGCGTCGACTTCCTACCGGAATTGATTTACGAGCGCGAGAGTTGTAATTCAAGTATGGAGCACTCGGTTGACCAACAGTGCAAGTGCAAGTCATCTCTTAACCCTTTTAAGTCATTGTTTATTCCTAATACTCGTGTGTCAATAATACTGGAAATGTGATCAACATCTGTTGTATCCACACGAAAACTTGAACAAACTTTCTAACATATTTCACTGCCACTTTCGCACAGGTGGAAATGATATTTTATGGCGATAGGTAAGTCGCATTGACAATCATTTTTGCAGAATACCTGCTTATGATAAGGTGTATGAATCAGATAACACTGAGATGTGGCCCCAAAGGGTTAACAGATAGTACACCTGGCAGGCGACCGATCGCAGAACATGGAAGTGTTTAGTCAAATGGAAGGTGGCGCTCAGCTCCATTCAATTGTCAATTAGCCGCATCTGGGTAAGTAAGTGCTTCTCAATGTCAGCGCCAATGTAGCGGATTAGTTTGATTCACGAGAAATTCGCCAGCAAAAAAAACAGTGTCTATAGTGAGCAGTCACCCGAAGGTTTGTGGTTTATGGGTTGCCAAAGGCAAAAGCCCAATCGAACTTGTCACTCGCGTTGATTCATGGGACTTCAAGTACCCGCCATTGACTGCCCAAGTTCAGTGTTATTACCTTTATTATTTGCACCTACATCTCCGATATCTCTGGCAGAGGTCAACGACTAGAGTGCGTGTGTCTGGCGAATAGTTTTGCGATATTTTGATGGCCCTTCTTGGCAAGGAACTACGGCCGGAGCCACGTGCTTCAGAATTAACAAGCACAAATTAAATTGACCACGCGAAAGGCAGCAAGTTGTTGTTTGTTTGCCTAAAATACTCATAATAAGTGCTGTTTGCTTAGGTTGACTTAGGCAGAAATTCGAGAATAAGTCCCCCGGGCGTTTTGCCAATTTGGCGCAGGCGTGGGCCAAAACCCCAATTATAAAAAATAATATACCCCGTGTTTTCTTTGCTCTCGAAGACGTCGCCAAAGATTCGCAGCTGTAAGCCCCCGATAGCGAGTTTGCATTTTATGGCAGCTAATGGCTTTTGGATGAATCCGTTTCAAGGGTAAATCGTAAATCTGCGCATGGCTTCGCATTTGTTTTTTCTTTTTTTCGGCTATGCAAATGAACCTTCACCTTAACTTTGCCAGTGAATTGGATCCCGATCGCCCAGTTTTCGACCATGCCATGGTTTTGTAACTGAAATTCGCGAACCAACTCTGGTTTTGCCGTGTTTGCTGGCTTTTTATTTGGTTATTAATGGAAGTGTCATAAGAGAGATGGTGATTTATTTTTTGCTCCTCATCGTTTCGTTTTTATCGCGATTAGGGGTCATGGATGGGGATGGGGAACTGGCTTTCGGGTGGATTAAAGTCCCGGATCTAATCGAATGCAAACGAGTAAAATTGACATAGTGACCTACTTTCTGGGGCGGCGACAACAAGTATCCAATCAATATAGAACCGTCCTTGGATTTCGCTTTTGTTTCATTAGAGTTTCGTTTGTTGCTATATTTGGGGTTGTTTGTTTACTTTGGCGAAGTTTGAAATCGAAACCACGGATTGGAAACACTTCGTTTAATTTTAAAGCCCGACTCACGCAGCTCCGCGTCTTTGCGACAAACTGTGCGCCCTTCGTTGCGATCCAAACCTTTATAAACTCCGCGAGCGCCAAACGCACATGAACAGGTATCAAGCGGGCGTTTAAAAAAATAAAACAGACGCCAATGAAAACAAACCGAGCGATGAAAGCGAAACTGCTCTCCGCGGTGTTTATTTTCGGGGATCTGACCAAGCGGCCTGCATCTGCGATCGACTTTTTGTACGTCACAGAGCCGCGCTTTTAAGTTTTGCCGGTTTTGACGTTCTCGTTTCTCACTCCGGTCGATCGCGGTTATTGACACCGCGTTGATAAGGGGGCGTTCTCCGAAATCGGGAGCGGTAAATACCGCCTTACATCTCCTTACATTTTTGTAATATTATGCAATTATACATTCCCTAGGAAATCTCAAGTAAATTGAGCAGTGCTGAACAGGAAGTACCACTTACACAGCGTATTTCAATAACAGGGTCAATGAAAATTATGGTATGACTGATGCAAAATTAAAAAGATATAGATAAAGCTTTGCGAATTTTAAGTCAGAACTATTTTTTAATGTAATATTTAACAAGCAAATCATAGTTTTGTAGAAAAATGGAATTTTTAAAACAGAAGCATTTTGTTTTTATATGACCTTTTACTTACAAAATTCCTTTTCAAAAATTACGATATTTTTTTAATATAATTGGGTTTTCTGCCTTTGAGGGTCCTTTTCAAATTCTGGTTATTCTTAACAGAAACTATTTTTGAGTGAAATCTTAACATAAGTGTTAAAATTTCACTCAATTTAAATACACTTATCGATAAGACCGAGAAATATCGATTCCGACAATATAGTTTTTAGCGTTGCCAAATCGGTAAAACTAGAGGTGGGAGCGCTGCGACTTACAACTGTGTCATCCCTATTTCGACATCTAAAAAACGGAACGCGAAAAATGAAAACGCAATACAGAAAAGCGAAATTGAAGTGAAACCAAGTGCAACATCGACGGATCAAAAGGTGTTTTAAACGAAATACAAAACAAAACAAACAGAAATATCAAGTGCAAAAAAATAGGCCCCTTTCGGTTGAGCTCCTCCTAATGAAAAGAGAGCCATAAAAATCGATTCTTCAAAGAAGTCGCACACTGCGTGCAAGACTTTTCCGCGCGGGCGGTGGAGCCTGGCGTTACTTTTTGCAAATTTAGACGGAAATGTTATATATTGTGTGGCTTAAAGGGCCTTTGGGGGGCAAAGAGGTACCTGTGCATACCTGCGAGGGTGTGCATATGTGTGTGTGAGTGAGCAAGTGCGAAAAATAATTTTTTTCGGTGTGTACATGTATCTATATTTATTTGCACAGCCCTGAAAATCGGAAAGGACACTCGAATCGTAATCTTAATTAGCTAATTTCCAGCAAATATTTGAGTGTGCTTCGCGTAAATAATGGAATGTCAGCACATGACAATAAAATGTGTCTCTGTGTGTGTGTGTAGTAACAACAAAGCAAAAAAGCAAAAGCAAAACAAAGTGAATGACAAACGGCGAGAATGAAATGGAAATCCACCCCCCTTCGCCCGTGCCCCCCTTTTACTGTTAGAAGTGCGCCTGTGTGCGTGGCGCTAATTGAACTCACACAATATATATAATTTATATTTTTCTTTGGCGCTCCACAAAAGCCACATATTTGTGAGTCACCTTACGACTACTTCCACCTGAATTCCAGATTGCGTGCACACAACTCCCGCGAGGACAACAACTAACAACTAGCCGATAATAAAAAGTAGAAACGCAGCAGGAGGAGAAGGAGCTAACCACGCCCCCACCGCCACCCGCGAGTGGTGACCGATTCGCCCCACCCACCCGCATCTCCACTTCAGCACTCGAAACAGCCGAAGCATCCGCATCCGCGATGTCAAGTGATAAGATCAAAGTCGCCGTAAGGGTGCGACCCTTCAATCGCCGTGGTAAGTGCAGATTTTTATGCCTCAGATAATCTTGTCTGCACTGGAAAGCAAATTTCAGTAACTTGTAGCTCTCCATACCCATTCCTGGCGTCGTAAAAAGTCTCTAATTTGTTGGTTATATTTTGAAGATAATAAGCCATTAAAGGCTTTCATGTTTTTTTCTTTTATTAAATTACTTTTCATTTGAATAATAAAATTAGTAGGTTTCCTCCTTTGAGTTTATATATTTCTGCCTGCAAAAGGTTCAAAGTATTTTATTTGTCCTGGTAAAAGATTCTTTTGATTTCCAATAACAAGGAGTTGCCTTGAGTATCACCCACTTTCTATTTCGCAACTTTTCCGACATTGTTGCTGAACAATACCGAGGCACTGCAGTTGCCTGCAATCAATAATGCAAACAACCAGGCAAGAGACTGTTTTTTTAGGCTAACGAAATTTACATGGGCTTCTTCGCTTCCTTTGAAATACGGTTTCGTTTTTCCACTGCTGCGCCAGCGGATTTTTCGCTGTGTTTTATACATACACATATAGTATAGCATAGTTTGGCTGTAACGGCGTACCTACTGCGGCGACTACCTACGGGATGGTCTCTGGTCGTCTGACAAACGATTTTCGTTTCCAGCTAATTTCGCGTTTCCCACTGCAACCATGAAGTGTTGCAAGTGCAGCAAAAACAAAACTGAAAAACAAGAGAACGCCGTCAGCGCCGTTTCCAATGTCAACACTGATCATTCATTTGGCTTATCCATGACTCACATTCGCGGCGGAAACGAAGGATGGCAGCGGAAAAGGGGCTTCATACTGCACGACCATATGCCTTATAAAAATCATATATGCATGTGTATTTATATTCATTTGCCTGTGCGTGGGGCAAGGTCCGCTCGGAATCCCTCTTTATTGATTGAATGGCAAACGTTCTCCGATGATTGCACATTTGTTTATATTTACATAAGTTTTCGAATCAGTTTAAGTTACAGTCCCACGTCTAATTATTTATTATAGAGAGATTTCAGCAAGAGAAGTTGTTGTAATTGTAATTAAATGCCTTTCGCGGTAAACTATTTTTAACTCATGACCCCTTAAATAATTGCATTCTAGTTTTAGAGATAATTGAGTTTCTATGAGACAAGGTCCGCTTGTAATTCTTCTCAGTTGGTACAATGAAAGAGTAAGCTCAGTCATTGCACATGAATTACTAATATTTTTGTTTTAATTGTTATTTTTCCTCTACTATTAGGGGGTTGATATTTGGCAAACTAATAAATTGCTTCAGCTAAAGCTCTAGTTACCCATTTCTGGGTAAACAAAACCAACTCTTAGTTTATCCATCATAATATGCCACTTTCAGTACCTTTGTGGCCAGGCCAAAAAAAAAAAAACAAGAAGCGTTAACTTAGTAACCGCATTTATTTTTAGAGGTTTTACTGTATTTCGATGTTGTATGTTGTCATGCTGTTCGCGTGTTTACTATACGACCTGATCCGTTGCCATTTTTGTGACTGAAGGGAGTAGTCGTCGTCACCAGAATGTCTCTGATAAGCAGCGCAGAAAACCTTATCAGGCCTGATAAACTCGCTTATTTGCGACACCTTGTTACACATGAAGTGCTTGGCATTAGTCAATCGTGGGCAACGTATTTGGGCCATGTCCGTAACTACTGACCTCTTCGAGTCGAGCTGGCCAGCAGAGCGTAAAATAAAAACAGAAAAGGCAGTTTCAAACGCAAAAACACTCCAAAGACAGAGCAAAGTCAGCCGAAACGGGCTCGAAATGAAGTCACAGCTCTGACCGGAGCAGAGTTACTTTGCTTCTTACCAAAAAGCTTAACCTGTTTTCACTTTGCCAGTGTATGTATGTTAATTCCAGCGTTGGACAATAGCGAAGAGAAAACCGTTTGAGGTTATACGGAGACGCTATCAAATCAACTGACCAGAACTACAAATGAGACCATCAAATAATTTATGGCACGCCTTCGTCACATTTTGAGGCAATGCCCAAGACAAGAAGCCAGCCGGTAGGGTCAGGTCCGTCCTGTTTAGTTCAGTCCTGTTCTGCTCTACTCTGGGTCCTTTGTGGCTTTCATTTCCATGTCATGTCACGTTCTCGGCTCTGTAACATAAAGCGGAACGGAAGTTCCAAGGGCCAGGCAGCACACCAGGATATGGCTGTATATACTCGTACACCCAGTCCAAGTCGTGTGTGTGGGCCCAAATGTGTCTGCCCGTCTGGGTTTGGCTTTGACGTCGCTGTTTCCCCTTCCCTGAGCGTGTTTTGTGTGCCTTGTAGTAGTTGGTTGCCATTTCGTCGTTCTCTGCCATTTGGATCCATTCCGTTTCGGTCGGAGTGAATGAAGTATGCGAAGGACACGGGGAGGCATCGGAACTGAGATATTTCCACGATTTATTAGCTGGCACATTTTTTACAAACAAGCCAGGATGAATGGAATAATCAGCTTGATAAGGTCAACTGGTTTTGTCATATTTAAGGCACTATTAAACGAATGCGCAGTCATGAAATAGCTAAAACAAAATTTATATAAACATGATAATTAAAAAATAAATTCATTTTATTTAAACAAAGTTTATCACAATTTCATGAATAGAATTTAAAATTTTTAAATGTTAAACAATTAAAAACAATTATATTTATTTATTGATTAAATATAATCAGCGAGGTTTTGAAATCCAGTAAAATCTCAGTTCGATAATGGAAAGGGAACCCAAAATTCGTCTCGAGGACTATCTAATGGCTCATTGTTGCATTGCTTCTGAAATATTTATTACATGGGCAGCTTGGGCAAGTCAGTTTTTCAGCCTTTTACGTTTATTTACAATTTGTTTGAAAGGTTCTCTCCATTGAGATTATTGTGGCATTGGAGCTTTATACCCATCATGCACATTTATCGCCCCTCACTCTCTATGAATTATTTTCGCACTTGTGTACGAAAAACCCAACACACAAGCTTATGAATGCTATGTGCAGGGTCTGGCAGAAGTATAAAATTAAATTGTTTTTGCCACTTTGAACTCGTTATCACCCCAAGCGCGGAATAAAGGCGAAATTATCTCAATTTCACACATAACATATAAATATATTCCGGAACAGAGGGCTAAAACGGATTTCGTTTACTTTCAGAAATCGAACTGGGTACAAAATGTATCGTGGAGATGGAAAAACAGCAGACTATTCTGCAAAATCCGCCGCCACTAGAGAAAATCGAAAGGTAAGACGCCATAAAGCTACATATAATATTTGAAGGCTTCGGCTGTAAGGCACATTGAATTCTAATGTATTATTTAATCAGCCGGTTGACTGTTGCTCAACCAATAAAATTACATGGGAGTATAAATAGTTTGCTTTATACCTTTTCAACCTTTTGCTACACAGAAAACAACCAAAGACATTTGCATTCGATCACTGCTTTTACTCATTAAACCCCGAGGACGACAACTTTGCGTCCCAGGAGACTGTGTTCGATTGCGTGGGTCGTGGAATTCTGGATAATGCATTCCAGGGCTATAATGCTTGTATATTCGCATACGGCCAGACAGGTAAGTTGTTCTCCGAATGATTCAGCCTTTGGAATTAATGATTGAATCATATCTTCAGGCTCTGGCAAGTCCTACACGATGATGGGTTCCCAGGAGAGCAAGGGCATCATCCCGCGCCTGTGCGACCAGCTCTTCTCAGCCATAGCCAACAAATCCACACCGGAGCTGATGTACAAGGTTGAGGTGTCGTACATGGAGATTTACAACGAGAAGGTCCACGATCTGCTCGATCCCAAGCCGAACAAACAGTCGCTGAAGGTGCGCGAGCACAACGTCATGGGCCCCTACGTTGACGGACTGTCGCAGCTGGCCGTGACGTCCTACCAGGACATCGACAACCTGATGACCGAGGGCAACAAGTCGCGCACTGTGGCCGCCACCAACATGAACGCCGAGTCGTCGCGCTCCCACGCAGTCTTCTCGGTGGTCCTCACTCAGATACTCACGGATCAGGCGACGGGAGTCAGTGGCGAAAAGGTTTCCCGCATGTCCCTGGTGGACTTGGCTGGTTCCGAGCGGGCCGTAAAAACAGGAGCCGTTGGCGATCGCCTCAAGGAAGGATCCAATATCAACAAGTGAGTGAAAACTATACAATGCTCTTGGCTTGCTTTTTTCCACCGGTTGTTTAGTTAAGACACTGAGCTAATCCTATGACTATTTTAGATCCCTTACCACGCTGGGTCTGGTCATCTCAAAGCTGGCCGACCAATCAAACGGAAAAAAGAGCGGCAACGACAAATTTGTGCCCTACCGCGACTCAGTGCTCACCTGGTTGCTAAAGGATAATCTGGGTGGCAACTCGAGGACCGTGATGGTGGCCACCATTTCACCCTCAGCAGACAACTACGAGGAGACGCTTTCCACGCTGCGTTATGCGGATCGGGCCAAGCGAATTGTGAACCATGCTGTCGTCAACGAAGATCCTAATGCTCGCATCATCCGCGAGCTGCGGCACGAGGTGGAGACGCTTAGGAGCATGCTGAAACACGCGACTGGGTCGCCGGTGGGCGATGTCCAGGACAAGCTGGCTGAGAGCGAGAACCTGATGAAGCAGATCTCGCAGACTTGGGAGGAGAAGCTGGTCAAGACCGAGCGGATACAGAACGAACGACAACAGGCGCTCGAAAAGATGGGCATCAGTGTCCAGGCGAGTGGCATCAAGGTGGAGAAGAACAAGTACTACTTGGTCAATTTGAATGCCGATCCGTCCCTCAACGAGCTGCTGGTCTATTATTTAAAGGTGGGTTTTGGTAAAATACTTAAATTAAACGGAGCCATTAATCCCCTCATTTTTCAGGAACGCACGCTGATTGGCGGACGCAGCATCAGTGGCCAGCAACCGGATATTCAGCTGTCTGGCCTGGGCATCCAGCCCGAACACTGTGTGATCACCATCGAGGACAGTGGACTTTACATGGAGCCTGTGCAGGGAGCCCGTTGCTTTGTCAACGGATCGGCAGCGGTGGAGAAGACGCCGCTTCAAAACGGCGACCGAATCCTGTGGGGAAACCACCATTTCTTCCGAGTCAACTCTCCGAAAAGCAACAACACCAGCATGTGTGCCTCGGAGCCCCAGACGCCGGCGCAGCTTATTGATTACAATTTCGCACGCGATGAAATTATGCAGAACGAGCTGAGCAACGACCCCATCCAGACGGCCATTGCTCGGCTGGAGCGTCAGCACGAGGAAGATAAGCAGGTGGCACTAGAGAAGCAGCGACAGGAGTACGAGCGGCAGTTCCAGCAGCTGCGTAATATTCTATCGCCGAGCACGCCATACGCTCCCTATGCGCCGTATGACCCATTGCGCATGGGCAAGATTACCCCGAATACTCCCACATCGCAAATGCGGGTGGAAAAGTGGGCGCAGGTAAGCCAGGATCCACGCTTATGGTTTTATCCATATTCTAAATGTACTTACTCCTTCAGGAACGTGATGAGATGTTCCGGCGCAGCTTGGGCCAACTGAAAACGGACATTATGCGTGCGAATTCGCTAGTGCAGGAGGCGAACTTTCTGGCCGAGGAGATGGAGAAGAAGACCAAGTTTTCGGTCACCCTGCAGATCCCACCAGCTAATCTCAGTCCCAACCGGCGGCGAGGAGCCTTCGTCAGCGAGCCAGCTATTCTGGTGAAGCGCACAAACTCCGGCAGCCAGATCTGGACGATGGAGAAGTTGGAGAACAAGCTGATAGACATGCGCGAGATGTACCAGGAGCACAAGGACCGCGTTCTGAACGGACTGGTATGTTGACATCGATTCGATCCTCTTTCATTTACCTGTTGCCATTGTGCTGCGTACTAACCATTTATAATTGTATCGATTCACACACGCATTCAATTAACCCCTGACTACAGCCCCTTATAGAGCCATTCTCAGACGACGAGTACGACGACAAGGTAATTAAGCCACCACACCCCCACCTCCTAAAACATGAACACCACACACGTCTAAACTATGATGTAGATAGTATCGTTTGGGAGCCTCTTTCCGTATCTAACTGATTTCGGGTTTCCGCAGGACGAGGACAGTACCAAGCCGCAGGATCCGTTCTACGAGTCGCAGGAGAACCACAATCTGATTGGTGTGGCCAATATATTTTTGGAGGTTCTCTTCCACGACGTCAAGCTGGACTACCACACGCCGATCATCAGTCAGCAGGGAGAAGTTGCGGGTCGTCTGCAGGTGGAGATCGAGCGCATTGCCGGCCAGATGCCGCAGGATCGCATGTGTGAATCGGTCTCAGAATCGTCGGGAGACTCGCGGGATGAGTACGACGACCCGGTGGACCCAACGTCCAACCAGATCACCTGCCGCGTGACCATCAAGTGTGCCAGCGGGCTCCCTTTGTCGCTCTCGAACTTCGTATTTTGCCAGTACACTTTCTGGGGCCACCAGGAGATGGTGGTGCCGGTGATCAATGCCGAGTCCACGGCCCACGACCAAAACATGGTCTTCAAGTTTGAGCACACGCAGGACTTCACGGTTACCATCAACGAGGAGTTCCTGGAGCACTGCATCGAGGGAGCGCTGTCCATCGAGGTGTGGGGCCACCGCAGCGCCGGCTTCTCCAAGACCAAGGGCTGGGAAGTGGAGCAGCAGCAGGCTAAGGCCCGCTCTCTGGTCGATCGCTGGGCGGAGCTGTCGCGTAAGATCGAGCTCTGGGTGGAGATCCACGAGCTGAACGACAACGGCGAGTACTCGCCCGTGGAGGTGACCAACCGCAACGAGGTACTGACCGGCGGGATCTACCAGCTGCGCCAGGGACAACAGCGCCGCGTGAATGTGCGCGTGAAGCCGGTCCAAAACTCGGGCACCCTGCCCATTATCTGTCAGTCGATCGTCAACGTTGCCATCGGCAGTGTGACGGTTCGGTCTCGGCTGCAGCGACCACTGGACTCGTACCAGGAGGAGGATCTCACCGTGCTGCGCGAGAAGTGGAGCGAGGCGTTGGGGCGAAGGCGTCAATACCTCGACCAGCAGATCCAGATGCTGATCAAGAAGGAGGAGAAAAACGAGCAGGAAAGGGAGCGCGAACTTAGCTTGGTGCACCAGTGGGTCTCACTGACTGAAGAGCGGAACGCCGTGTTGGTGCCGGCTCCTGGTTCGGGTATTCCCGGAGCACCTGCCTCGTGGGAGCCGCCAGCAGGCATGGAACCCCATGTACCCGTCCTCTTCCTAAACCTAAATGGCGATGATCTGTCGGCGCAGAATACCAACGACGAGCTGTCCATTGCTGGCATCAACTCCATTCTGTCGAAGGAGCATGGCCACAAGTTTTACACGCTGCAAATCCTGCAGCACCTGGACAAGGATGTGTGCTGTGTGGCCAGTTGGGACTCCTCGATGCACGACAGCCAGGCCCTGAACCGAGTCACTGAGGCCAACGAACGCGTCTATTTGATTCTGCGCACCACAGTGCGTTTGTCGCATCCAGCACCCATGGATCTCGTGCTGCGCAAGCGCTTGAGCATCAACATCAAGAAGGGCCAGACGCTGACCGATCGGCTAAAAAAGTTCAGACTGGTGCGGGGCGAGAACGCCATTTGGCAGAGCGGCGTCACCTACGAAGTGGTCTCCAACATTCCAAAGGCCTCCGAGGAGCTGGAGGATCGCGAGTCCCTGGCCCAGTTGGCCGCCAGCGGAGATGATTGCTCTGCGAGCGACGGCGAAACCTACATAGGTGAGTGACCATAGATTCGGTCGCTGAGCAGCTTACTAATCCCTCAATCCCTCAGAGAAATACACGCGGGGCGTGTCGGCGGTGGAGAGCATACTGACCCTGGATCGCCTGCGCCAAAATGTGGCGGTCAAGGAGCTGGAAACGGCCCACGGACAGCCGCTGAGCATGCGCAAGACCGTCAGCGTGCCGAACTTCTCGCAGGTAAGGAGTAGTGCCGACTGGCAACCCCATTCCGATCATCCCATCGAGCTGCTGCTGCTGCGCCGCTTCCACAATTCGTCGCTGCCGCCGCCGCCGCTGAATTTTGTGCTTCCACTTACTCACCTAACACACTCGAGCAAAATTAACCAAGAACATTTGACTAAACGCAAATTCTTTCTCTTTTCACACTTTTTTCTATGCGCTTTCACCAAACTAACCCCCAAAATTTGTGTTTAACCACCGATAAAACTGACAAAATTAACTTAATCCGAAATTCGGCGCGCACTTCCTGCCATTTTGAATAACCCTTTCAAACTGTGTGTGTGTGTGTGTATTGGTATTATCCTGTCTTTATGTTTATGCTGTGTACGTGTGTGTGTTGCCCCAAAACGCTTCTCACTGCGCACATAGGCGGTCAAAGACACCACCAATACCGGGAGTGTAAGTAACTAGTATCCTGTTTTCTGTTTCCTGTTTCCTGTATTCTGTACTCTGTATTCTTGTATCCTGTATCCTGTGCCGAGCACTGTATAATAAGCTTTAGTAGTTGGAGTTCTCTTCTGTTCCCTCTTGACTATTCTACTACTAACTATCTTAAAATGTTTGTGTGCGCCCTTCAGTTTGCCATTTTCGAAATCGTTGTTGTTGTTTTTTTTTTACCAATTTTGTGTTCATTTTATTTTCGTTTTTAATTCGACCATTTTTATTTCATCCTGTTGAATAACAATTGTTCTAAAAAATCGTTCGCATACGAAATTTATGATGCAAGCAACTCATAAACAAACTCACGCAGATTATGCGCTTTGATGCGTCGATGGAGTCGCTGCTGAATGTGGGAAGGTCCGAGTCCTTTGCCGATCTTAACAACAGTGCGCTGGGCAGCAAGTTCACGCCAGGTGAGTTTTAATTTCCGTTTGCAAATCCGATGGAGTCTGATCACTTTGTCGCTCAGCAGGTCACAGTCCAGCAGGAGCCGGCGGTGTCATCCGGAATCGCCACAGCTTTGGCGGCAAGGGAAGCAGCGACGATTCTCCCGGAAAAGCCTTCGGCATTGGTGGGTATTCAGTTGGTTCTGGTGACTCCGAGAACCCAACAGTTTTCTTCTATATACTCACCATTAATTTTTGAGCAAAAATGTTGAAACTATAATCCATATATCCGAGTTTTGAACACACTATATATTTAACTAAGTAACTTTGCATTTGCTTATGCGCAGGCAAAATTTAATACAACCTAGTTGAAGCCAAGCTTAAGAGCAAGGGATTTATCTTTGTTTCGAGTTGCGGGTCTCCTATATGATCCCCGAAAATCGTAGATTATTTTGTGCAATTGTTACATGTAGTTTTATTTAGTGAACAGAAAATGTTAACTTCCTAGCAACAAGATAAATCCCTTTCCAACTATTTGTTTTTTTGCTTTCTTCATGCTCGAGAGCAACCACCCAAAGGCCATAGTTTTCAATTCTGTGAACTGTCGCAACGCTTAGTTGAACTTTCAAACCTAATTTGTTTGCTTTGCTTCGATGCAACACCTGCAGCAACCAAGCAACTAGCAAGAGCAACCGCATTTACTCGATCAGAAGACTCGAGCGATTCCTCGTCTTGATGCACACGACTGTTCTGTTCCACATTTCATTGCTTATCATATAAATTGACATGCATCCACGAAAACATGAACCATTCCGAACCGAACCGAAACGAACCCCCATTGCTTCTCGTACTTACTATATGGTTTCTCACATTGTCCAACTCTTTTCTGTGTTCTTTTAACATAACGTAATCTATACGAAATTCCACGGCCAACAGGCTCAATATCTCTGCTGTCAGGTAAAGGACAAACTTATGCCCAATTTAAATCCGAAGGTGCATTCCCGATTGCTATGCATTGATTGTTAGTTGAGTTTAAGTTTGTCTGTCACTCACAACCTGCCATCTGAACACCCACTCATTCACAGACATGTACCTCTCATTCTCTCATGAACCCAGAGGAAGGGGATTGGTTTGTGCCCCATTTAGACTGTTTACATGTAGTTTTGTGTTAGTTCCGTTTGCTGGTAAATCTGTCTTCAAATCACACCCAAGACTCTCATCCAAATTCAAATAATCGCGATGGAGATCAGCTGTACATTCATCATCCGGACACTCGATCCACTCCATCCCAGTCACCCAAGCAATCCGGTGCACAATTCACACAGCCGCCAAGCACACAGCACGAGATCTTAGCACGAGCCGCGTACTTGTAGAGATTGTTGATCCTAGAAACTAGACCTATATTTCGTTTCCCTTGGTGTTATTATTATTAGTATGTTGCTGGGGCTGCGAGCTAGTCGCATCCCCGGCTAGTTGATCACCCATCCAAGTCTGTAAATCGCATTGTAACTAAACATAACGCATAATCATTATCTTCCCCCGCCCCCAAATGTGGAATGCAGCGCGTCCAACTTTTTTGAATCTCAATTTGAACTTGAACACTTTGAGAATTGCGCCAACAAAACGTATGTGGTTTGTCTAGCTTTAAGCCAAGAGTTATATCTGCACGGAATCTGTTTTCTGACCATAGTTATCTGATATTTCCACAGCATCCCCGGCTACCAGTAAGCTGCTGGGCATGCGGATGACCACGCTGCACGAGGAACCCCTGGGCGGACACAGATCCCTGGACGAGGAGCCGGAGGACAGCTACAGCGACTCCGAGTACGCCGCCGAGTACGAACAAGAGAGGCAACAGAACAAGAGTCTGGCCACGCGGTCCCGCCTCACGGCTTCCAAGACCATGGACTCGTTCATGGACGTTAGCAGCCACTCGAACCAGAGCTACTTGAGCTACACGTCCAGTGCCAACGCGAACATGAAGCACTTGACCGGCCTGGCCACGCTGAGCATGAGCTCCTCCACGAGCAGTGGTTACGGCTCCCAAGCCGTCTCCTGCAACAATCTGAGCAACGAGGACATTGCTTCAATGCGATCCATGAGCATTGACGAGACGCCAGGTGAGCTATAACACTTTTGAATAGACATCAGCAGGAAATGAACATCGTTTCCTGCCACAGATTTCGACCGAGTGCATTCGAACTCGCCACCGAACCGACAGACACGAGTCAACCCCTTCCTAAAGGACATGCCCAAAGCCAAAACACAGGAGCAACCTGAGCCGCAGGCCAAAAAGCTGCAGGAGGCCTTCTCGCATCCATTGGAGCAGCTGGAGTCCGGAGATAACGCACAAAGCGACGAGGACGAGCGCGAACAGCTGCCAAAGAATAATAACAACAACATCAACAACAACATCGTGGTCAAGGAGCCGGAACCGATCTCCGAGCAAGCAGAGCTGGAAGAAGCTAAGCCACAACCCGAATCACAAACAGAGCTCGCCACAGACAATCAGAACGGCAACAGGTCCTCCGACGAGATGAGCCAGAGTTCCGAGGATCTGCTCGAAGGCGATGGCATCGTGCGGGAGGAGTTGCCCGCTGGAAAAGTGGTCCGGCGCAAAAAATCAAACACCCAACCTCCTTCGCTTAATGGTAACAGCAACAACAACAACAACAATAGCAGCACAAGCCAGACACCGCGCATCAATCATCGGGCGTCGGTGGCCAAAATGGAGGGCTTGGCCGCGTACATCGACACCAGCATTATGTCCAGCAGCACAGAAGTCGAAGGTAAATACAAATGTCTTTTAATTAAGCCGAGGCTAAACTTAAACTTTTCCAGATGAGAGCAAGGAAGTGGAAGTGGTCCTGCCCGATTGGATAGTGGTGGGCGAGTCTGTACTTATCCGACCCTACAACACCAGCGGCGTCATCCGATTCGTGGGCACCACTGAGTTCCAGCCCGGCGCCTGGATCGGCGTTGAACTGGACACGCCCACTGGCAAAAACGATGGCAGCGTGAAGGGCATTCAGTATTTCCAATGCAAGCCCAAGCACGGCATGTTCGTGCGCTCTGACAAGCTGATGCTGGACAAGCGCGGCAAGGCGATGCGGGCCTACAAGGCCGCCGAGAAGAGCAACAGCATCAGCAAAGGTGAGTGGCGTGGCATTCGAAGCGGATAGTATTTCATTGATTTATTCCACTCGCCCTGTAGAGATGAGCACCTCCATGACGGGCTCGATGACACGCTCCAAGAGCCGCGGCGACTCGCTAAACCTCTCGGCGCGCAAATGATTGTACCCCAAGTGTTCGCATCAGCTGCAGCGCTGGACTAATTGCAGGCAGTCGACGGTGGCCACCAGCGGCGCTGCCACGAGCCAGCCGGCGACCTGCCACAGACTGCGTGCAACCAGCGGCGCTGCAGATGCGAACAGTCATGGCAAGAAGTGCTATGCCAATCGACGCTCGACGGCCTTCTAAGGCCGCCAACCCAGGATGACAAAGTCGAGGACGAGGATCGGGCGAGAGCGCCTCGTCTAGCAACGAACAATGCGGAGCATAATCCACATGCCAACCATATTCTAGCTTACTTAACTATTCTCTCACCATGCCGCAAATGAAATGCCGTACACTTAACCCCACGCTTCTCTAAGTAGTTTAAGGCGGTGTCTACAGCAGAACTAATTACTAATCTAGCTAAACTAAACTAAACGAAACGAATCGAAACTAAACTAAGCCGACAGGCATTCGCGTAGTTGCAATACGAGTTCGCAAGATTTAGCGGCCCTTCGATTTATCTATGTGTTAAACAGGCACTTTTGATTCCATTGTTTTGTGTTCTTGTAGTTAATTGTCGTTTTTGCCTTTCGATTTTTGAATGAAGCGCTTTACTGATATATATTTTTGTAATGGTTCTTTGCCTTTAGTTTAGTTCAATTGTTTTCGATATCGACGTGACTTGGTTAACGATGAGCTTATATTTTTTAATTGTTATTGACTATATTCAATATATGAATCATTTGTATATATTTGTAATTAAGAACTTGCAATAATTTTGTCTCCATGTTTCCTTTCCTGAGCTCATGATCTGTTTAGCGCATTTATATACAATTACCAATACAATACAATGTTAGTAATAATGAGAGCAACATATTCTATAGGGCTGCGTCCAAGCAATTGAAGCCTCCCAAGATGGTCGCATCTTGGATCTTACTCCCCGATTAAGGCGCTTCGCACCGGCGCAGTTAATGTGTAAATTGTATTATTTTGATGTGATGTATTTATAATTTCCCTTTATATATGCATATATATAAAAAATAAATTGATTTTATTGAACTTATGATTTATTTTGATTTTTACCCCGTCCGAAATGTGCAATATAAGTATAGGGTCTTAAGTTATATTTATCAAAGTTGAAGGTTGTGCGACTATGTTTGTGAGGCGTTTTAAGTAACATTAACTGAACACCGAGCCACACGCTGGTGTTAGTCCAAAGCAAGAAAGCAATAATTGCATTGAATATTCAATTTTATGTTAAGATACTTTAATAATCGTACTCGAAAAGGATAAAGTGAGGCCCCAAAAAAAAAAAGATAGTGTCAAAAGAGCATGGGTTTCTATGAACATTCAAGTCCGGCACCGGCTGAAGAACGTTTGTACGTAAAAACCGTAAACGTATCCATCCATCCATCCAACCAACCAACATCCAAAGCACTCCAAAACTGAGTCTGAGATAAATTGCAATTTAAACAAACAATAAGAGCGATTTTCACTTAGGAAACCCAAAAACGAAACTGAAATCCAACAGAAATCAGTTGGGACGCGTCAAAGGTCGCGACGAGACCCAACTGGACGATCTACAGCCATTCATCCAGTGTATACAAGCATGAATATACACCACTTATATATATATTAGGTATATATTTTCGAACTGTTTTTCTACTTGCGTAAAAGCGAAAAGCAACTACCAAAATATACTTGAAAATACGTCCAAAATTTAAAATTCAAGGTCAAGATACAACTATGATATATACTTACAACTGCATGGTTATTCATGAATTTAAATATGAACCGCGTATTTACCAATGATAATCCTAACTGAAACACAATTAATTTGAATATTGAGTGCCCCCTGGGGGAACTCCAGAATGTAATTCCCAGCCAGGGGGCACTTGTTTGAGTATGTGTGTGCAATTTGTAGACGCCGCAATTCGAATCGGTTGAGCATTTTAATTCAGAACTAATTTAATCACATGAGTGTATATAGTGGGGCATTATTACCGTCTAAATCACCCTCAAATTAACGCATTTAACTAGCGCAAATAACGTTCAACTAGAGGTTGATTGAGTAACGTGTGAAGACCCCGATAGAAAAACGAAAGTTAGCAGCACTTTATTGGGCTTAATTGTAAAATAGATCGAGAATCCATAGTTGTAGACAGAGTGCATTGCATTGCAAAGAAATTAAGTAGCCGTAGAGATCGATTGGAACGCCGACAAATTGAATCGTACCTTGACGTTATAAAAGAATTAATCATATTTTTGTGCAATCTAGTGCAGTTCTCACGCAATCAGCCCCGCAACAAATAGTTTGCTATTGCATAGGCACACACATATTAGACGGGATATAGGATCGATCGGATCGGAAGATAGCCTTCGAAAAGTTTACTCGTAAGTTTGCGCACTCTTAGAGCTTTTAGCACGGTCAACGAATAAATGTTATTACACCACGATTACAGCTCGACTCCATCAGCCGTTAAATAAACTAACCAAGAGTTCAGCCCCAAGTTAATGGATAAACTAAACCACATGCTAGATCTGCTTTATCATCACACACAAAGCTAACCATTGTTGACGCATTTGGTTCGATAATAAAGTTGAGTTCACTCCCCACTTGTAGTTGCAATCACAGAACAGAGTATAATGCAAAAAATAGGTGTCAGCAGCGGAAACCATACATATAATTTTAGTAATTTACAATTGTTTTAATCCAACTTAAGTATTTTAAAGCAAACACGCCGGAGAAATTTAAACAAAAATACACGCGTAATCAGCAATTTGAACAACTTCAACCGAACAAAACAAAAGAGAATATGAAATATGTACTTATATCTATAAATACAAATATACAAACATGCAATGGGCATTTTTCAATGGAGTTGGCTTTAATTTCTCAGCTGGGGGCTGAATGTGGACTTGTTGCCGCTGGGTCAACAAGTAGCAACAGCGATGCTGACCCTGAACTCGGCCTTCCGAGTCACCAACTGGTTCCATTTTTTTGGGCCAGCACCTTTGGGGCAGAGGGCTTTCGTAAATGAGGCTAGTGGTTCGTTTAAAGATGTGCATCTTCCAGTCGGAAGTGTTTTATTAATGAAAACAAATGGCAAAATTGTTAGTTAGTAGATAAATGCTTACAACACTTTTAGTTTACAGTTTACGTAGTTGGTTATTGCTGAAGGTCCTCTCGTCGGAGAACTCCCCGTTGAACCCCTGGCCATGGAATGCAATGGTTCCACACCGTGTCCTACATCCTCAGATGATCACATGACGACTATATCATTTACATAGGATGTTCCGTTAGTCTATCCCTACAACTTTCCCTATTTATATTTATACACACAAAGTACACAACACACAGTAATTGTTAATTAGCTTTCCAAGTGACTCGTTTGCGATTGAATTGCTGGGCTTCATTTCTTTTGATTTGACTCCGTTTGATTTGATTTGCACTAGCTACCCGTCTGTCTCTTCTTGCTGTTTATACACGGTCGGTGTACAGAAAATATATAATTCTAGCATTCGATTTATGTATTTACAAAGGGTTGTTCTAACTTGAATTCGAGTTCCGTTAAGTCGGCGTTAGTCAGTATCTCTCAGTTGGTTTGGTCCCCCTCCCGTTCCCCACCCCACTTGACTCCTCAGTGCTCGATGGACCATCGTTGGGACTCGCTGTGGGGATCGCATGGCGCCACCTGAGCGTCGTCCAGGCTCTTGAGACCCTTGTGGTCCAGGCACAGGCCCGTGTTGCTGTGGATGACATGCTGGCGTTCGTACCGCCACTGCTCGTTGAACTCGTCGTTCTCCATGCAGGGCACCATCACCACCCGGTACGGCGGGGACTCGCTGTGCTGCACCGTCGCGCAGCTCAGTTCGTTGCGCAGCACCTGCGAGTTCGTGAAGGAGAAGAGCTGCGACTTCTGCAGCACCTTGCCGCAAGGATACAGGCCGGCGTTGTAGGGCTTCTCGTTGTTCTGCAGCAGGTCGTCCAGGCACAGGTTGGCGCTCAGGGCGCGCACCTTGCCCCAGCCCTGCACGCTCTGGGTGGGCACAAACTTCTCCGGGTAGATGTTCTTCAGGTACCACTCGAAGCTCTTGCAGCGGAGCTTCTTGCGCAGCATCACTCGGTGGGTCACGTCGCCAATGTCCGCGTGGAACTTCAGGTCCGGCCGGTTGAGGAAGAAGATGTTGATGTACTCGTCCATCCACACCAAAGCCATGCGGGCAGTATTTATGCCGTGCGTGTCGCGGTCGTTGGGAAATCTGAAAGTAGTTCAAATGAGTTCATTGAAATACAGCTCTTGATACTGTCAAAGATTAGACGAGAAGGTCAGTTGGACCTAAAATGTATGTTGGTATAACAGCTTACTTGTAGGGATGGAAGTCGCGGAATATGTGGCCCACGCGGGAGCAGGGAATCGTCTCAATGGTGCCGCCGCACTGCCAGATGCGGAAGGACATTTCCAGGTTCTCGCCGCCCCAGCCGTCCATCTGCTCGTCGTAGCTGCCCACCTCCCAGAAGTACCGGCGGTCCATGGCGAAGAGTCCGCCGGCCATGGTGGGACTGTAGGCCGGGCAGATCTCCCGCTCCTGCTTGCACTCGCGGCGCTGGCGCTGCTTCTCCCGCTCCGGCAGGTTGATCCAGTCAAAGTGGCCGTTCCACTGGAATCCGCCCACCTGGAAGGACTTGTAGCCATTTGTGCTGTACTGGAAGTCGTTGGCGTCGATGACATCGATGATCGGCACCAAGACGCTCGTCCGGGACTCCTTGATTCGCTGCAGGAGGGGCTCGCACCACCCGATGTTGCCCTCGCAGTGAGCGTCCAGAAAGATGAGCACATCCCCCGTCGCGACTCGAGCTCCGGCCAAACGGGCACGAATCAGGCCCAATCTGCAGCGAGAGAGGCGAAAACTTTCTTTAGCCACGTGAAGGGCAAAACAAGAAACAAAAATATCTTATTGGGTCAGTCGAAAACCTTCGATCGCTTGCCAAGCACGATCAACACCATCCTACATGGCATCCGTCGCGTGAAGTCATCGGAAAGTCTGCAAAGCTCGCGGGCTGCGGAGTGTAATGCACGCAGAAAACCGAGTCTGGGAGTTACAAAAAGTCGAGCCCAACACACATAATCGTAACTTGACGAACTGGTTTTCTCTTCATTTTTTCAGTCTTTGGCTTTTGGTTTTGAGCGTTTGTCGGTTCTGGACAAAAAGAAGATGCTCCAAGCGCGTCTGACATGGCAAACAAGTTATTCAAATGAGTTCAAGCCGCAGCGATTCGATTAGCCGAATCGCTGAACTTTTCCTCGCCTATTAACAGTAATCATGGTGTTTCACTTCTAGTTTTTTACAACACTTTAATATAACTTTTAAAGTATCTATAAATTTCGTATTGATTTCAACCAGTATCAACTGATTTAAGTATTCTTTGGCCAGATAATGTGATAAAAATACGTATATGTGTATCACAAGAACGCATGCTAACAAGTTTAGCACAACATTTGCATATACCAAAGGTCATATTAATAGTAAATAAGCGCCTTTAGTCACACACCTTTATAAATTCCTTCTGCACCTTTCACTTTTAGTTTCCTACTCTATTTAATCAATCAGTTATTAGTTTTTACTATTATTTCTGAAACAAAGTAATTAAGTGACACAATAAGATGGTATGTAGCATATAATACTCATTAAACTGCTTAACTTAAATCTAAATTTAGTTTGTGCTAAATTTTTTTCTTGGGTTTTTCAAACTTTGTCACTGATTATAAGCTGTTATAATACAGCTGTTATCACACTTTCTTTTATGTTAACTATGCGTCATTGAGAATTATTTTATTCAATAAATCCACGTTGCATATAATATATCTTTTCCCAAAGGTCTTTGTTGGTTCTTTAAATATCGGGCTCTCCCCAAAACGAAGTAAAAATATTCAGGTCATGCACCGGTTAACTCACCGGTTCTTGAGCCGCAGCACGGTGACCTTGCCGGCGGGAATCCGCGTGCGAACGTAGTAGTCCAGCTTGGCGCCCAGCTCCACGTTGTCGCTGCCGTCGTCCACCAGGATGATCTCCTTGAGGGCCTTCTCGTTGCAGGTGCTCAGGGTGCTGTGCACGGTCCTCAGCAGCACGGAGTAGGGTTCGTTGAAGAATATGATGACCACACTGGCGCTGGGCAGGGAGGCGGCGTCGTAGCGCTGCTTGGCGCACAGCGGGTTCCGGTGGTCACCCACACTCCGGTTGTAGGTTAGCTGCTCGCTGAGCTCCTCGTTCAGGGCGATCTTTTTGTAGATGGCATCGCCCCGCTCCTTGGCGGCCCCCGAAAGGTGCACGGCCGTGCCCTGTTCTCCGAGGCCTGCCTGCTGCTTCTGGATGTCCAGCTGGATGATCTGCTCGTAGGGCGACTGCGTGGCCGGTCGAGCGATCTCGTTCTCGCTGTCGCTGTACGCGTCGAAGCGCTCGCGTCCGTGTCCCCGCAGGGCGGCAGCCCGCACTGGAGATGCCACCTGCTCCTCCGGCGCTCCGTTCTGCTGCACCTTGCTGTAGAGGATGAAGCACAGGGCGACCAGGATGAAGATGATCAGCTTGCCGTAAAAGGAACGGAACCGAGGCAGCATTTTGGTGGGTTGTATATCTGCCTGTTGGGCTTGGTTGGGGTTTCTGAGGTAGCACTAGGTAACTCCACGCAGACGTGGCTCTGCCGATCGGATCGCGTGCCTGTCCGCTGTCCGATTCTTTCCACTACTCAGTCATTTAACTCCGATTCGCTGGCGAAACTACAGACACATATGTTTCGTGGCTTTCGGTCGCCAGCAATTCCAGTTTTCTCTCTTTTTCCGTTGAGCGCCGCGCACCGCCGCTTAGTGGAGTGGCTTAAACTAGACTAAATGGAAATATTATTCTAAGCGCGTCTGCCACAATAAAAACACAACGGCGAGAATCAAAAACAACAAAAACTTACTCTGGCATGTTTTTTATACGCTGTTGCTCTTCAGTGTGACCGCGGATGCAAAATGACCGAGTGGGGCACGGTGGCCCATTTTAACTTATTATCCCACAAAATTTATACTCAGCGACTAAAACAAAAACAATATTCATTGCCTACCTTTTAACCTTTTAATAATTTTCAAACTTATTTCCATGATATTTTATCCAAAAAAGGTAAAGTGAACATTTTATTTTACTTTTCAATAGATTTGGAAATTATTCCTAACTTTAAACTTATTTTGGGTAGGACTTGTGAATAAGTGGTTTTATGGTGTACCGAGATATTTTCACAAAGGTACACTTTTTGCGGTACCTTCTACGTTACGTACTTAACAAAATTTCTTTCTCAACACTGAAAGGTTCGTACACATAAATTTCTAAATTTCAAAAGATCTGGCCATATTCTATACTCTCTACCTATTTTCCCTGGTCTGGTAGCACAACTCGCTAAAAAGGTTTCTAGGTTCGTGTCTTGGGAAAGTATACGTTTTCTGATTTTGCTTTTCTTTTTAGTTTTCCTCTTTACCTTAAATTGCCATTAAAAGATTGTGATGAGTCTGGAAGTCCATATTTTGGGTCACTATGCTAAAAACCATTGAAAACCTGGAAAAATCTGACATGAACAAGGGTCATAATTTAGACCATCGTAAAATAAAAAATTTTAAATGGAGTTTTATTAGGGATGCGATTACAAACGATTAGAGGCATTCCACTTTGGAATCGGATTAAAATTGACAAAGTTATTATTTTATTTATTAAAAAATTGGAAAAATCTGTCATGAACAGGGGTCAAAATTTCGACCATCGGAAAATGAACATTTTTTAAAGTAGTTGTATTAAAAATGCGATGACAAAAGTTTAGAGGTATGCCACTTTGGAATCAGATTAAAATTGACAAAGTTATGTGTTCTGAAAATCCAAATTTTGGGTCACTATTATGAGAACCATTGAAAACCTGGAAAAATCTGACATGAACAAGGGTCATAATTTAGACCATCGTAAAATAAAAAATTTTAAATGGAGTTTTATTAGGGATGCGATTACAAACGATTAGAGGCATTCCACTTTGGAATCGGATTAAAATTGACAAAGGTATGAGTTCTGGAAGTCCAGTTTGGGTCTAATTTATCATTATCATTTAACAACAATTTGTATATACATGATTTTATTACTTTTCGACACCAGAGCTCGCCGTTAGGATCTTATCAAAAATGATTACATTTCTGTGTGAACCTAACACCTAACGGATGACCAGCAAACACGCAAAGCCCTCCCACTGCAAATTCTGTCCAAGTAGTCACATCAATTACCCAAAAAAAGCGGAAATTTAAATCAAAACTTCCTGCCCGCGAGTGGCGTTGAAAACGCTGAAAACGAAAGGGACTGACCGACTGACTGCCGCACTTGACACTTTGGCCGGCACTTAATGCCCAAATGGCATGTTCATTTGTTGTTAAAGCGAAGCCAATGGGTTTCCAATTAAAACTTGTTGCTCCGACTCTTGGCCCGAACATGCAACCACATGTTGTCGTCGGATGGGAGTCGGATGGCTGTCTCTTTCGGCTTGTTCAAATCTCATTTTAATTCTAATTCACCTGGGTTCTCATCGCAACTTTCATTTGGCAGCGCCTCAAATTGATGCCAACAAGACTGTCCTCGTTCGGCTGAGGTCTGTGATTAATCTGGCTAATTAGGGTACGAGCCTCAACTGCGCGACGGTGTTTTTAAGTGAGCTCTTGGGCCGCATAATTAATACGTTACGTATACGCAACGGTGTCGCTGCGGGAGGCGCCACTGGCCAGATCGACCAGAGCGACCCAGCAGCCAAATTAAAGTTCAAAGTGCTCCAAAGCTATGGTAATTGGAGTTTCGGCTTCGGAGCCGCGGCGTTGGTGGGAAGCAGCCGTTGAGCCGCTGAAAGGTGGCAACTGTTTTGCCAATCTTCGCTAAAACTCCCTAATGGCTTTGAGCGACAAAAACTAGGAAGGAAATAAATTACTTTGTAGTCTCTGCAGCCCAGTGGGATGGACCTGCTGATGGGGGCCTTTGTTTTAGTTACCGAAAAACAAAGACAGAGCAGAAAGAGCAGGGAGACGCGATACGAAGAGCCAGTCGACATTTGGAATTCCATTTCGTGTGCGACCTCAAAATACTAGTTTGTAAAATGCAGCGGATCCGGCATTGAAACAGATTAGTTTCTTCGGTTGAAAAAATTAACACCTCCTAAATTTGAAATACTCGTTTATTAGCGCCACCGAAATTATGCATTTTCAGCACATTTGTGAAATGCTTAATGGCCTGAGGTCGAATTAGTTGGCTCTTAAGTGCTGCGGGCCGCAACCGGATTGAAACCCCGGCCGTCTTCAAGAGCCCGCAAATAGGTTTGTGTAAATAGCAGAAGTGCTCGATAAATAATTTTTGAAATTACTCTATTCAATAATGAGTGCGGCTGAAGCCCCCAACGAGGTCTCATTAATGCGCGTACAATAAAAAAAAGGGTTAGAGACGACCAGCGAAAAACAATTTAACTGCTGCCGCACATTGTTCCACATGTGAGCAGACTGCGGTTAAGGTGCCCGCCATAATGACTCGGGCCACAAAATCTATTAATCTAAATGACCCTGAAGATCACACAAGCAGCCAAGCAGCCAAGAAATGGTCGACTAACGATCGCCATCCATCAATGGAAATGGCCAGTCAACGGCGGATAATAACAGAATTGGAATTGGGATTGACTGCGACTGCGACTGGGATCGCAATTGAAAAATGCCTGCCATAGATTTTGTGGATTATCGTTTGTCTGCTACTTTCGTTTCGCCTCGACAGCCTTTGCAAATGTCAAAAGGTTGGGCAATTGCGGCGATTGCGTTCGGGTTTCGACAGCCAAGCTCCGGAGGATGAGCCCGTTCGGATCTCGGATCTGCTTTATCGGGCTTTATCGGATCAGAGCTGGAGCAAGTCCACGGCTTCCCATGACAAATTGATCAGCCTGGGAAGCGTAATGATGCCACATTATCATACGTTTGCGAGCGTGATTTATGATCCCGATTGACCGATTTCGGGGGGACTCTGTCTTCGACTAAACCGAAAGTGAAAGATTTCACGATACCCGCTTCGCAATGACAATGCCCGGCCATTGTCTCACCCACTAAAGCGCTTGGGGGTTCGCTGGTTACCAAATCGCCGAGCAATCTTAATTCCAGTGCCCTAGGTCCAATCAGCACGCGTCAAAAGTGGCGCCAAAGTGACGAACCAAATTATGATTCGGATCGAATATGCACAAACACAAAACGAGCACAAACTAAGGCGGCCTTATGGCGGTAGCCAGTCGGCTTTTGCATAATCCCCGGAACCTGCTGAGACACCCGCATTGTGGTCCGTTTACGGGCGCATTTACATAAGAGCCAATCATGCGAGATGTCATCGAATATTTGGCCAGTTCATCCCCAGTTCAGCACCATTATATCTGCTGGAATGCACATTGCGCCCATTTTGATGGGGTTTTCACAACCACACCGGAGATGGACAGTCGTTGATCTGACGGCCCGATTGTCTTTTAAAACCACATCAAAATCAATATCGCGTATCGATCAACATCCAAAAGCGAGCATTGTCTCAATGTTAGCAACCTCCGGAGTGATGATTCGGGTCCATTTGAATAACAGCCCCAGCAATGACCGCTGCCCCTCCATATCCGCTATCATTTATTGTGCGGAGGTGGCTAATCCCAATTCAGCATTTCTTTGTTTGTCTTTATGGCTTTGGTGAAGGCTGTGCGGAATGGCTTTAGCCATGCTAGCGAAACTCTTTAATTAAATGCAGCTTGCGTGGCAAAACATTGTGACTTAAACAAATGTATTAGAAGATGAAGCGGTTAGCAGAAGCAGCCGACTTCCAGTTTTCCGAAGTACATGGTAAGAACTCAGAAATTTCCTTTATCTCTTGTTGTGGAGTGAGTGGAGTCCTGGTAAGCCAGAGCTCCGTCAGACCGACTTCCTTTTGGTGCAGCAGTTAGACTTTAAATGCAAACGTTAAGTTAGGGATAAATTGTGATAATAGTTTTGTGTGCTTTTAGTTACGCAAGTTCCGCCAGCGCCTCCATTTCCCTCCTGCTACCTCCAACAAGAAGCAGAAAACGCAGATACCCACAGCGACCAAGTAGAGTACCATGATCCACGAGACGTCCTCCAGTAGTATGCTTGGACTGTAGGCTCTTGGACGACTGAGATCCTCCAGGGGAGTCAGTCCGAGTCTCACCATGTCGAAGAAGCTGTGGCTCCTCCAGTAGTTCACCAATCCGAACTCCTGTTGCCGCATCATGTGCTCCTCGAAAAGGTGTCGATAGGGAAGATGTCTTCGCAGGGGGATGGACATGAAGATCAGCCTGGAGAAGCACAAGTTCCTCGCGTAGTAGAAGAGGGGTTCCCTGAAGATCTTCTGTTGCTCAGCGTAGGAGCTCCAGCGGTCCCCCGTAACCACGAAACTGTAGCTCAGATTGAACTGGTCACGCAGATCGTAGCACTCCGGCAAGTTGTCGAAGACCACAACACCATCCTCGTCGATTTCGCGGAAGTGAGAGTTGTTCGTCTTGATCAGAGAATTGAATTCAATCAGGGGGATGGCCAGCCTCGGGTGATGACGACCAATGTCCTGGAAGGAGCGAGCCTCAGGCTCCGACGGGGGGTTCGTGAAGAACGCATTCAGATAGGCCTCGTACATGGTGGTGATCATTATGCTGGCAAAGCAGAGTATGCTGACAATCAGCCTGAGGTGTTTGTTTGCGTTTTGGGGAAAGGGAAACGATTGGCCCAAAAGACCGCGCAGGCTTTTGTCGTTCACCAGGATGTTGGCCAGGCTGAGGTCCTGCCAGGACATTTTCCAACTGTAAATCAGCAGCACGGAAAACAGGCAGAGCAGGAAGATGGTAATGCCGACCACAAGACGATCCATGATGACGCCATACACCAGGTTGTAGGGCAGCCTAGGTGGAACCTGGAGCATCAGGCAGTAAGTTGTGAGAATATACGGATAGCTGGATGTTTCCATGAGAGATGTACGCAAAGAATTATCCAAGGTGGTGCCGATGTCGAGCTCCTCGTTCTCCACCATCTTTAGAATTTCCCTCACGATGAACTTATTGCCCAGATTCTCCAATTGCAAGCTGGCATTCACTTTCTCGGCAAAGCTGTTGACCACATTGGCCACATAGCCCATCATCTTCTTTTCGCCACTCTTCGAGTCCAGATAAAGCATGGAGCGAGGAGGAAGGAAATCAGCGCCAGTCTTTATAGGCTTTCCGTGCATATTCAGAAAGTTTTCTATATAAACAGGGCTCTTTTCGGATAAGGTCACTTCTTCAAAGTTGGGATCTTGAAAGTAGCGACAGGCGTAGATGACATCCGACTTGTGGAAGTCTCCTTTTACCATAGCTATGTTGTGTTGCTCCTTATTGGAATAGCTATCGCACACAGAACTTGGTTGAATATCTCCAGGAAGGTAGATTAAACGCCTGTTTCTTAGCAATTTCACTAGAGTGCGGTGGATCGACTCCTTCTCGGCTTCGGGATCACAGCTGACGATCAGGGTTAAGCTGCTGAAGTTCCAATCGAAGGAGGTGCTGCCTGAAGAAACCAGAACTGTGGACACATCCAAGCGTCGGGATAGGGAATGAAATACACAGTCCTCTCCATAGACCAACAGGGTGTTATACAATTCCTCCAGTTGCAATCTTAAAAAGAGATTTAAAAGTCGGTCCTCCAGGTCTGTGCTCCCTTTTTTGGTTATATTCAGAAACTGAGCACTTGATGTACCCACGCAGAGAAGAAGGATAATAAGCCAACTCATGGTTGCTACTTAACTGTGAAAAGTCCTGAGCTTTGTTCACATTTTGTACCTCAAACTCACACGAACAGTGTGATTGGCATGCAATTCTCGTGTTTCCCACATTGTGTTAACATGGCCGAAAGGTCGGGCTACAACTAATGGTCGTGCAATTAGCCTCAAATAAGAATTTATAATTTCCCAGGTGGGTAAGAACAAATACAGCATTTATAGCTGCAATTATTGAGCATTTCAGCTTCGTTTTTTCCCTATTTTAATAAAAGAATAATATTTTTCACGAAAACGAGACTTTGTTTTAATTAAAGCTTAAAAAAGGTGACTAAAATCGTAAATTGAAGCGTAAAAGGCTGTGATCTCAGTTGGTAGTCCATTTCCATTTGTATGTTTTGAAGCGACTCCAGAAAGTTAGGGATACCAAGAGCTCCAGGCCGAAACAGCAGCAACTGATGCCCAATGCAAAGATGTACAGGCCCAACACCCAGTAGAGGTCGTCTATGTCGATGGCATCCTCGTCAGGGGGCTTGCCGAAGTCCGTGTAGGGGGTCAGACCGAGTCTCAACATGTCCAGGAAGCTGCTGTCGATCCAGTGGTTCAGTAGGCCGAACTCCTTCTGCCGCAGGATGTGCTCCTCGAAGAGGTCGCGATAGGGAAGGCGCCGTCTGACCGGGAAGCTCAGGAAGCTGTGCCGACTTAGGCAGAAGTCCTCCGAGTAGTAGAATATCGGTTGGTCGAAGAGCTTCTGCTGCTCCTTGTAGGTGCCCCACCGCACACTGGTCACCGGAAAGATGTAGTTGTTATCGAAGGATGACCGCAACTGCAGGAATTCACTGTAGTTCTCGAAAACCTCGACTTGCCCCTCGCTCTCTTCCGCCATTTTGAGTTTGTTCTCGTACCGCAGCGTATTTATAGCGGCCCAGTTCAGTGCCATCTTGTACCTGGACGTTTGAAAATCTCTGACGGTTCGCATAAACGGTCTGGGTGGCGGACGATATAGGTAGGTCTTCAGGTAGGCCCCGTACATCGTGGTGGTCATCAGACCCGAGAAGCAGAGGAGCAGGCAAGCGAGCTTTAGCTTCCGGCTGGAACTCTGGGGAAAGGGAAAGGGCTGCCCCAGAAAGCCCCTCAGGCACACGTCGTTCATCAGGACGCTGGTCAGACTGAGCCCTCGCCAGGACCTCTGCTGGATGTAGATCAGCAGCAGGGAGAAGATGCAGAAAAGCACGAGGAGAATGCCCAGGACGGGAATGTCTAGGATTATGCCAAAGATCCAGCTGTACGGAACTTGGTCCGGAAGGGGAACCATGAAGCAGTAGGAGCTGATCAAGTAGGGATAGGTCAAGGTGTCGAAGCTGCTCATATCCCAATCGGCCTCGACGCTCATGCCGATGTCCAGAAGATCGTCTGCCGCCCACTTGGATACATTCATGAAGAATACTGTGCCCCCGGCCTCGGTCAAACCCTCCTGCATCTCAAGGCTGGCATTGACCTTCTGCACAAAGTTGTTCAGCACATTGGCCACGTACCCTATCCACTTCTTCTCGCCGGTCTTCGGGTCCTCGGTGACCATGGACCGGGGTGCCACGTCGTCTGTGATTGTCCTGATCGGCGCACCGTGCATGTTGCGAAACTGGTTCGTGAAAATCGGTTTGCCGTCGAGTAGATTCACCTCTTCGTAGTTCGGATCTTGAAAGTGGCGACATGAGTTAATAGCATTCGAACGATAAAAGTCTTCCGTCACCATAGCTACGTTATATTGCTCCCTTTTCGAAAAGTGATCGCACACGAACTCTGGTTGGATATCTTCCTGAAGAATAACTAGTCGCGGATTCGATTGCAGTTTAATCTGTGTGCGATAGTTCTCCTCCTTCTCGGCTTCATAGCCGCAACTTAGGATCAGAGCTAAACTGCTGAAATTCCATTCGAAATTAGTGCTTCCCGAGGGAACCAGCACGGTGGAGAACTGCAGTTGATTGGATAGGGAAGGAAAAACACAATGCTCTCCGTAAATTAGAAGGGTGCTGTAGAACTTTTCCTTTTGCAATTTGATGAGAAGGCTTATCAATCGCTGCTCTTGTTCTAGCTTATTGGTATTCTCTTCATCCAGAAACTGAGCTCCTGAATTCCCGAGACAGAGAAGAACAATAATTAACCAAGCCATGGTTGTATGTTAACTGCCGAAAGTCTTCTGCGTTCCCCACATTTTGTACTTTATACTAAAAAGGACTCATGTTACAGGATAAATTGCAGGGCAATTACCGGTTGCATGTCGTCAACCAATAAACACTCTACAAGGGCCTAATGCTAAATGTTAACTTGCTACTTAACCCCTCGACCTCCGCCACCGCCTCCACCTTTCTCCTCCCACTTCCAAGAGAAAGCAGCAGATGCTAACCAGAGAAGCAAGCAGATAGAGATTCATTACCCACGAGACGTCGTCCAGCACTATACTTGGGTTGCGCTCCCTGGGCTGACTGGGATCCTTTAGGGGAGCCAGTCCGAGTCTCACCATGTCGAAGAAGCTGTGGCCCCTCCAGTAGTTAACCAGTCCGAACTCGTGCTGCCGCTGCATGTGCTCCTCAAAGAGGTGGCGATAGGGAAGGTGTCTTCGCAGCGGAATGGACATGAAGAGCATTTGCGAGAAGCAGAGGTCCTTTGCGAAGTAGAAGAGTGGCTCCTTGAAGAGCGACTGCTGCTCTGCGTAGGCCCTCCAGCGTTCTCCGGTTACCACGTAATAGTAGCTGGTGTTGAAGGCGTTTCGCAGAGCAACTGCTTCTTGCCAGTTGTCGAAGATGGCCAGGTAATCCTTGTTAATTCCGAGGAACAGTTCGTTGCCTGTGTTTATCATTACCTTGGCCTCGAGTGCGTTAATGGCAAGCTTTTGTGGAACCTTGGCAAAGTCCTCGAAAGAGCGAAAGTGAAACCCAGACGGGGGATCCGTGAAGAAGGACTGCAGGTAGGCGTCGTACATGGTGGTCAGCATGATGCTGGCGAAGCACAGGATGCAGAAGATCATCCTCAGCTGCTTGTTTGCGTTCGAGGGAAACGGATGGGACTGGCCCAGAAGTCCGCGGAGGCTAATGTCATTCAAGAGCACGTTGGAGAGTTTTAAGTCCCGCCAGGACATGTTCTTGCTGTAAATCAGCAGCACGGAGAGCAGACAGAAGATCACGAAGATAATGGCCAGGACGAGGCGGTCCACTATCATCGCATAGACCTGGTTGTAGGGCAGCTTGGCCGGAACCGGAGCCATCAGGCAGTACGAGGTGAAGAGGTACGGGTAGCTGGTTGTGTCGGTGTTCTTTGTCATCAAAGAGAATTCCACAGAAATGCCAATGTCGAGCTCATCGTTCTGAGCTCTTCTCGCAATCTCCTTAAGGGTGAGCTCATCGGGTAAGAGGTCAAAGTGCAAGGTGGCGTTCACCTTGTCCGCAAAGTTATTAACCAGATTCGCCACATAGCCCTTTACCTTCATGTCACTTCTGTTCGCATTCCGATACACCATCGATCGATGTGGCCTGAGATCAGCTACTACTCTGATGGCTGTCCCGCGCATATTTCGAAAGTTTTCAACATAAATTGGCTTCTGCTCAGTTAGGCTCACTTCTTCAAAGTTTCTGTCTTGAAAGACGCGGCAGGCGTAAACGATTCCTGACTTGCCAAAGTCTTTTCTTACCATGGCAATGTTGAACTGCTCCCTTTGCGAATATCTTTCACACACAGAACTTGGTTGAATGTCTTCTTGTAAGTAGATCAAACGCCTGTTTCTTTGCAGCTTTATGAGGGTCCGGTAGGTCGACTCCTCCTCCGCTTCAGGACCGCAACTAAGAATCAGAGTAAGAGTGGTGAAATCCCAGTCAAAATTGGTGCTGCCCGAAGACACCAGCACCGTGGGTAAGTCCAAGCTCCTAATTAGGGAGTGAAATACACAATCCTCCCCGTACACAAGCAGGGTATCGAAGACCTCTTCATGCCTGAGCTTAAAAATAAGGCTGAGCAAACCTCTTTCTGTATCGTGTTCTCCTCGATCGGAGATATCAGGGAATTGGGCTTCAACCCTTCCCAGGCAGAGGAGCAAAACTACCAACCAAGCCATCGCTTCCACACAAACTGTGGTTATAAGCTGAGTGTTCCTGCCTTTTAGCTTCATTCCTTGACAATTAAAGGCGTTTCCGTGCGTGATGCATATTAGTTTCTGAATTAATTTGTAGTTGTTATTTTAATGCCCATGAAAATGCTTGTCGGACGAACATTATTATTTTATAGATTAAAGAAGCTTCAGGAGTTGTAAACTTTTAGCATGCACATTTCGTGTCGTTCGGAGTACAGAAGCCAGTAAATACTTCTTTGCTTTATTTAAATATACCTTTTTGATTCAGTTATTAAAAATATGTATTACTTTATTATCTTTCGAAAACACATCTTCCATATCTCGACTTTGCTTAAAAGCTCGATTAAAAAGCAGACGACGCTAATCACCATTGCGACCAGATAGATTTTGAATATCCAGGATACATCCTGGAGTAGTAAGCTTTTATCCAACTCAACCTGCGGACTGAGGTCACTGAGGGGTGTTATGCCCAGCCCCACCATGTCGAAGAAGCTGTGGCTCTTCCAGTAGTTGACCAGTCCAAACTCCTGCTGCCGTCTAATGTGATCCTCGAAGAGATGGCGATAGGGAAGGAATCTTCGCAGGGGAATGGACATGAAAAGCTGGCGGGAGAAGCACAGGTCTTTTGCGAAATAGAAAACGGGTTTTTTGAACAACTTTTGCTGTTCGGCGTAGACGCTCCACCGATCCTCAGTGACTGGGTATCCAAATCTAACATTAAGTGAGTCCCGCAGGTTCAGATAATCCTTCCAATTCGAAATGACCAAAAGGTCTTCTTTGTTTAATTCCCCAAACTGTGAATTGTTGACTATCACCAGCGAATGCACCTCGAGCGCCGGAATGGCAATCTTCTGGTGAAACCTGCCAATGTCCTCGAAGGAGCGAATTTCGTGGTCCGTCGGGGGATCCGTGAAGAAGGACTGCAGGTAGGCGTCGTACATGGTGGTCAACATGATGCTGGCGAAGCACAGGATGCAGAAGATCATCCTCAGCTGCTTGTTTGCGTTGGAGGGGAAGGGAAACGATTGGCCCAGCAGACCGCGAAGGGTTATATCGTTCACCAGGACGTTGGATATGCTCAGATTTCGCCAAGACATTTTCCGGCTGTAGATCAGCAGCCCAGAGTGCAGGCAGAAAATCACGAAGATAATGCCGAGAACGAGGGGATCCACGATAATGGCGTACACCCGATTGAACGGCAACTTTGAGGGAACCGGAAGCATCAGGCAGTAGGTGGTCAGCAGGAACGGATAGCTGGCCGTATCAAGACCGTTGGTGACCAAGACCGAGCCCTCCAGGAAAATGCCAATGTCGAGCTCATCCTCCGAAATTCTCCTTTTAATCTCCTTATAGGGGAGATTCCTGCCAAGTGTTTCAAACTGCAGAGTGGCATTCACACTTTGAGCGAAGGTGTTGAACAGATTTGCCACGTATCCCGTCAACTTCCTTTCCCCACTCCTTGGATCCAAATACATCATGGATCGAGGAGCCAGTAAGTCTGTCACTGCCTTGATCTGCATTCCGTGCATATTTTGAAAGGGCTCGATATAAATCGACTTAGCTTCCATTACATCTATTTCTTCAATTCTGGGATGGGGAAGGAAGCGACAGGCGTATATCAACTTCGTGTTATCAAAGTCTGCTCTTATCATAGCCACATTATACTGCTCCCTGCGGAAGTACGTTTCACACACAGAATCGTGATCGAAGTCCAGTGGTAGGTAGACAATTCGTCTGTTTCTCTGCAACTTGAGGAGAGTGCGGTAGTTGGCCTCGCATTCGTCTTCTGGTCCACAACTCAGAATCAGAGCCAGGCTGCTGAAACCCCAGTCGAAATGGGTGCTACCCGAAGAAACCAGCACTGTGGGCACATCTAAACGCCTGGAAATGGAGTGGAAAACGCAACTCTTTCCGTAAACCAGCAGGGTGTCGTAAGCTTCTTCCTGATCCAGTTTCAGCAGGAGGTGGAGCAGTTCCTCTTCCAAATCTGGATCGCTTTCAGTTGAATCACCCAGAAATTGACCACTCGCTTGTCCCAGGCAGAGGAGGAAAACAACCAACCAAGCCATTGCGGTTGCTAAACTGTTTGGACACCATGCGTGTTCCCTGCTTTTTGTTCTGCGCTTAGTTTACATGTTCAAAGTCCATATGGGGGTTCAAAACTATGTGTGAGTTGTGTTACTTTTGTAAAACATTTGCCGTGAAAATGTTTTCCGGCTACTAACGTTTCTGCCTGCAAGGCTTAATGGTTTTCAGACCTTCTTTAGGTTAAAAATGATTTATTTTTCTCATGCAATTTTCGTGTTGCTTCAAAAGTAGAGTCATTAATGGGAAATATTCCTGATCGCTTGCCCCGTTACCACTAGGCATACTAGTTAGCTTGTTTCTTTATTGAAATCTTTATTTATACACATTTTTTGTGGCATGCATGACCAAATTTTGATTTACGTCCTCCGCCTCCAAAATCGCCTCCACCTTTCACCAAAACGAGCGATCTCCAATAGGAAGCAGCAGATGCTCAGGGCAATGGCTCCAGCGTAAAGCTTGAGTATCCAGGAGATGTCGTCGAGCAAGAGACTTGGCTCCTCTTCTTTCTTGTGGCTAAGGTCCTCCAAGGAGGCCAGTCCCAGCCTCACCATTTCAATGAAGCTCTGGCTCTTCCAGAACTTCACCAGTCCGAACTCGTGCTGCCGCATCATGTGCTCCTCGAAAAGGTGGCGATGGGGCAGGAAACGCCGCATCGGGGGACTGAAGAACATGAGCTGGTTGAAGCAGAGATTGGTGGCCAGGTAGAAGGCGGGTTGAGCGAAGAGCTTCTGCTGCTCCTCGTAGCTCCTCCAGCGAACCTCGGACACCGGGAAGATGAAGCTCGTGTTGAAGGAGTCGCGCAGGACCAGGTACTTCGACCAGTCGTCGTAGATCAGCAGGTGGTCCTTGCTTATCTCATTAAAGTGCGAGTTGTTCAGGGAGGTGAGGATGTTCACCTCTATCCGGCTGATGGCCAGCTTCATCGAGAAGTTTCCGATGTCGCGGAAGGAGAGAATGGATGGTTCCGACGGCGGACTGGTGAAGTAGGACTGTAGGTAGGCCTCGTACATGGTGGTGATCATGACGCTGGCGAAGCACAGAACGAAGATGATGAGCTTGAGGTGCTTGCTTGGGTGCGGGGGAAACGGAAACGACTGGCCCAGGAGTCCTCGGAGGCTCTTGTCGTTCAGCAGCACGTTGGCCACGGTCAGATTCTGCCAGGAAAGGGTTTGGGTGTAGATTATCAGGAGCGAGAACAAGCACAACATGACGATGATGATGCTGAGCACCAGGGGATCCACTATCATCGAGTAGACCACGTTGTAGGGCAGCTTGGCGGGCACTGGAACCATCAGGCAGTAGGCAGTCAGCAGGTAGGGATACCACACCGTGTCCATGCCCTGGAGCTGCAAGGAGCTGGCCAGAGCGGTGCCAATGTCCAGGACATCCTCTCCTGCCCATCTCACCACGTCTAGAGTACTGGCCTTTTCCACACCCAGACTGGTTATGTTCACGAACTCCAGACTGGCATTCAGCTTCTCGGCGTAGGTGTTCACCAAGTTGGCCAGGTAGCCCACCATCTTCGTCTGACCAGTTTTCCTGTCCCTATAAACCATGGTTCGCGGCACTAAAAGATCTGGAACTGTCCTTATGGCAGATCCATGCATGTTGTGAAAGTTCTCAACGTAGATGGGTTGCTCCTCGAAAAAGCGCCTCTCCTCGTAGTTTGGTGTCTGAAAGAAGCGGCAGGAGTAGATTATATCCGACTGAACAAAGTTTGAATTAACCATGGCAATGTTGTGCTGCTCCTTCAGAGAATAATGATTGCAAATCAGCTCTGGGCTTTCATCCTCCTGCAGAAATACAAGCCTCCTGGTTCTCTGCAACTTAAGTAGGGTGTAGGAATTCTCCTCGTCCTCCGCTTCAGATTCACAGGTCAATATTAGAGTCGCGGTACTGAAGTTCCAATCGTAAGATGTGCTGCCGGATGCCACAATTATTGCAGGTAATCTCAAGTGTTTCAACAATGAATGGAACACACATTCTTTTCCGTAGACCAGCAGAGTGTTGTACTCCTCTTCCAGGTTGAGTCTCATTAGTACTCGAAGAAGTCTATCCTCCAGTTCATTGTCTCCATAACTTGTATCATTAAGAAATAAAGCACTCAACTGGCCAAAGCAGCAGAGAATAAGGACGAGCCACATCAGAGTCATCGCGAAACTGTTGGCAGTCCTTGCAAGGCAACTCCTTTTATTTCCCTTGTATAATTGTAATGAAATGTAATGAAATGTCAAGTGTGCCCTTTTAACTACAATCCACTTAAAAAGGTATTTAAAAACGATGTATGAAAGTGTATATCTGCTGGTCATGCAATTTCCGTGTGCAACACGTTTTGTGGGCAATTAACGAGCAAAGTGTTTGGCTGACATTTATGCGGGACACGGATCCATTTACCTGAGAATGTCTCCTCCTGGGGGCAGGCCGAAAAAAAGAAAATATAAAAGAGTTGGCCTTGTGCGTGAGATTGCCCCAATTTGAATATCTCGAAAGGCCTCTAACAACTTCCGCTGCAACTCGAAAACGAACTCGAGCGCCAAGTGCATTCCCATTTGGAGGCATGTTTTAAAAGCGCCTGGGAAGACAGACAATTCGATTGCCGAACTAAATTTTCCGGCAATTTGAGCCGGCCGAGTCGGGCTCATTGCATTCGATTTGTGACTTGGACTGGGTCCCGCATGGAAAGTGTAGAAACGCAAACGCAAACGCAAACAGTTCGTTCATGCTCTTAATTGCAGAGCAAGTGGATTTCAATTATTCAAATGAGGCGCTTCCCCGGCGAGCAGCTGCACTTCCGAGCCGCCTCGAAACTGGTTCGATCGTTTTGGCCATGCGTTCCTGGCCCAAAAGCAAAAAAAAGAAGAAAAGCAGAAAAGCCGAAAAGCGAGAAAGGCTGGGGCGACACTGGAGCTGAATTTCTTCTGCTTCATCATCGGCTGGCGATGATATCGCGGCTTTATCTGCTCGGCCTGCCTTTTGCCATTTTGCCGTTTTGCTCTCCGCCGAATGACGTTTCAGCGAAAGTTGTTACGTTACCATCGACAACCAGCACCGAAAGCCTATGCAAAACCGGTCGGTCATTGATTTTTGGTTACTGCAAATTGCCTGGCCATGACCAGCTGTGGAGCACAACTCATCTCCGCTGCGACTGCAACTGCAGAAATGCTTTGTTGCCTTGCTGTCACCCGTCCCGCTCCACACTGCGTATGCTTGATTTGGCCGTAATGGCTTTCGTGCGTCGAGTGTGTGGCGAATCTCGGTGTTTATGGCCGGTAAATATTTATATTTACGCTGCCAACCAACCAGTTGCAGTGCCGTTCGAACATGGTACAATATGTTTCAGCGGAAAAATATTTTGTCAATAAACTTGCTTCAAAGAAAACCGATCAACTATGTCATTGGTCACTACTGGGAGTTATTTAATGGTCGATATTTTCTGAGAAGCGTATTACTGCTTTTGTTGCCGATTTCATAATGATTATTAAAATTTATTTCTTTCTAATTGTATGGTGTAAATGGTTTACTATTTCTTTTTGTTAAAACTTTATACATTTTTAATGGTTCCGGTAAGCGGCAACAATTTAAAGAATATTATTTTAATATTATATTTTCATTGCATATGCATTGTGTAAGCTTTTGGGTTCTTTTTTAACCTTGTCTTTTTACTGTATTTTAAATGGGACATTTTAATGGTTTTTAAAAATAACATATTAACAGCTTATATACATTTCGTAATCATATTTAAAATTAATTGTTGCTAATAGTCAGGTGTGAATTGGTACAAATTTTCAAGTTTCGTTTGTGTTTTAAAATGTCGTAAGAGCTGCAGACATTCGAAAGCCAAACAATAAGAAATTAACTTATACATCTGTAGTTTTTCTTTTTATAAACAAGTGTTGTTTACCCTACTTATTGGTTTGTAAAAATACATACACATTCCGTTTCCATAAACCTACACATTTTTAAGTAAAAATTTATAAACAAATTGATGCAAAATTCTACCATATCAGTTTTAAAAATTGCATATATTTCCATTAAAATTCGAATCCTAATTCGAATGCCCCACTAGCCCAGTATATTTATTTCGCTCGAGAACGGCTTATTATGATAATTTCTCAAAACTGGTTGCACTTCCTTTCACTCCCTGCTCTTTTGTTTTCGCTTGTCAAAACGCTTGTAACCCAAGGAGCCATAAAACAAGAGCCAGAGCCACCGAATCTGCACAAGCTGTTCATTAGGTCGTCGATTGTGTTTTTGTTTTGGGCCATTTCTTTGGCCGAGCATTGTATTTTTGGCGTGGCTCTCTTAATGTGCCCACTTTTGGGTTTGTTTGTCGGACATTTGCCGGCGATTTTAACACACATTGGCCAGACAGCTGGCGGCGCAATTGCGGCTCCATTGCGGCTCCATCGCGGCTCCATAGCTTCTCTCTTTCATTTCCTCGTCTGGCTGAAGCATTTGCCATTGAAAGTAAAACTGTTTCTGCGGCTGTGGCATCCAGATTCACTTTCGGTGCTTTGATGGAGAACACTTGAGGCCGGCGGTACTGGAGTCTCGAAGCTGGCAGGCAAAACCCACCACGAGGTGAGAGGGTCCATCTTCAGGCGGCTCTCTCGAGCGGCGCTCTCTCTTTCGCTGGCTTGGCTGGCTCCGTGTCTTCGTCTTGGCCAAGTTGTTGGCCACAGTCGACTGGAAGTTTCAGTTACAATACGGCAGCGACTCGGCCTGGTTGCGATTTCCCCAACTGCTCCGCGCGTGTCTCCCAATTGCGAGTGTGTGTCCTGATCGCGTCCAAGGATAATCGCCAGAAAGAGTGGGTGCAGTGATCAAGATCGACTTACTGACAGCCAACTGCGAGTTGGCCAGAGTGCTTATCAAGCGTAGTTCTGATTTTCAGCTGCCGTTTGCAACGAACTCGGGATTAAGCCGCATCCTGCCGCGATGAGAAGTCTGCCATTTTTGGTAAGTGGGCGGTAGGAGCCAACTTTTTCACGGCTAAGTGGCTGTTTATGTAAGCAGCTAGCGACCATCAATCTCCGGGGTGTCATCGCTGGCTTGACCTGCGATCTGCGACCTCTTCCCCGCCGTTGACATTGACAAATCGTGTCATTCCATTACAGGGCACAAACAAAGTGAGCGAAGTAAGCCAAGTGTAAATTGCCTTCCGGCTGCCGCGACTGCAAGCCTCCAACTTGGCACTTGTTACGCGAAGAAATGTCTGTCTATCTCTTGGATCTCTTGGATCTCTTTATCCATGCGATCCGCACATGTGCGGATTTGCCCAGCAAATTGTCTCATTGTTTCCACGAACCTTGTTAGCACTGCCATTGCCTGGTTGCAATTTTCCCTGGATTGCTATTGGCCAAGTCTTTCCGTCTGCACCAACAAATTTCTTGGCCTCAAATGTGATCACGGGGATTTGCTGCCCACAAGCAGCTGATTACTTTGTTTTCATGTTCGATTGAATGACTTTTCGTGTCTGAAAGACAAATGGTAAATATTTGTACCAAAAAGAGATATGGAAATTAGTAATGCTGCTTTATTAAGTCATGTCACAAAAGATGTTTGTCAGGGTCTCTTCTTGTTTTCCCTCTAATCGCATTCGATTTAGTTTTGGAATTATTTAAATTTCAAGCAACTCTTCAAGCTTGTAAGGGAATTACCTAATACCGTTGCATATGGAAAGCTTATGAATCATTTTTGGTCTTTCTGAAAGATCAATGGGCAAAGCATTGTAACCATTCCTTTTATGGACAAGTCTCGCATTGTAATTAATTATACAAAGTGAATTGTTGCTCTTCGTGTTGATTAACTTAAATCGTGCCCCTTGATTACCCTTTTCACATTTAACTGCTCTGACACACATTCGAGGGAATTCTTGATTAATTTCCTTCTACATTCATTAACATCCCGCTTTTTGGTCTTCCATATGCCATGGATAGCCATTTTTCTCCGTGCATCCCATTATTTTCACAATCATATTCCTTTTGCAATACGGAATCACATGCAATCAGCCACCTGCTGAAGAACCGAACGGGGCAGTCGACTGTCTGCGCTCATTTAACGACTTCATCTGCATCATCAGCAAAAGCAACACGAGATGCGAGAGCACCTCCAAACTGTCCTCCTTTCGATCTGCGAGTGTCTCTGGCTTTGTGTTCGTCTGCCTTTCAAAATCGAGGCGCCAAATGGCCATCAGATGTGTGGCTTTTGCAAAAGCGGCCGAGATGACTCTAAACTTTGCGGCCGAAAATCCCCGTGATGATCATTAGTGTCGGCCGTTGCTATTTGCTATTTGGATCATGATGTGTGTAACCTTTACAAAAGACGTGTAAGTGGCTTCGTTTATTGAACTTATTTTCGGCTGGCTGAATGCAGTTCCGAATAAATGCCAAAGTGGCCCAGAAAGCAATTATTGGGATTGTGAAGAAAACGACGAGCGTTTCATGGCTAATTTTCGGGGCGAATGGAAAAGAAAATGCTGATTGTCATTGCGCATGTTTGTTGAGCCAAGAAGAATGGGTTTTCTGGCTTTCTGGCGGTCTGGCTTTCTGCCCGGGGCGTTTTGGCCAGCGGCTATTCACGACACTCGCTCGCTCACTCAGCACCTGTTGCTCGGTGGTTTCCCCTGGCCCAAAAGCCATGGTTCACCAAATAGGCCGAGGCTGAGCATATTTTAATATGCTGCACGCATGCAAACTGTCCATTTGCTGCTGGAGTGTAGAAAGTTGATTGGATTTGTGTTGTCTTTGGGTTTGGATTTTGATTTCGATTCGATTTGATTTGATTATTACTGAGGATTCCGACTGCCGGTCAAAAGTTTCAGCGAGCCCTGCAATTTTTCCCTAACAAGGAATGCACCTTTCACTTCTCGCTCGATCATTTCCTTGCTACCATCGCCAGATGATGCCGCCAAACGAAAGGAAACTTTTGCAACTGAAGACGAGTTGCCAGTGGCCAGTTTTTCGGCTCTTGGACCGACCAAATGTGAATGTACGGAGGCTCCACTGCAACGACGACGAAGACGACGACGAATTCATATTTTGGAATGCGGTTTTCGACCGCAGACAATTTTCTGTTTGGCGCGCAATCACAGCGTGCAAGTATCCGCAATTCGGTGGTCATCGTGCGGACTCATATTTATTTAATTAAATGTTGCCCAAGCGACCAGCATCTTGAACTGCAGACTGCACGCATTCCGGTGAATATTAATGGCAAACCGAAAGCACTCGGATGTCGATTAGGCTGCCTACTAATTTGCGGCGTTAACATATTTGGCTGCCTCTTAATTATTTGTATTTTCACCGGCGATGAGCGGGCGAAAGAGAGCATTGCGTAATGGCCAGAGTTCATTGTGGTTCCGGCTGGCTATCTGGCTAAATCTGGGTAAATGGGTATCTGGCTATCAGCGACCTGATGTCGACCAGGTTTGTTTAATTTATGCGAGCTGTTTCTCCAAGGGTTACCGATTGTTTATTTGATTTTTATTTATTTTATGCAACGACCTTGCTCATCGCTTAGCTCGTCATCGCAGTTAAGTAATTAAAAACCCGCCACTGACCGCCCTCAACAGAAATGGCTTTTGGAATTGGTTAGTTAATTGGGATTGTATCATTTGATTGGCCGCTGAATTAGGACTTGCCTTTCCATTTCCACGCCGCTGCAAGACGAGCGCCGAGTTCGTTGCCTAAGTCTTTTGTTTTCGTCCCCTTCGGTGGCAATATTTGCAGTGGCCAATTGTTTGCCAGCCACTGGTAGGCACACTCTGGGTGTTGGTTACACTTGCAGTGCTGGCCACTCGCGTCTTGCCAGCTAATTTGCTTGATTTGTCGCCGTTTGCATAACCTGTTGTTGTCGCTAACAATACGCAATGTTTGTTCGATTGCCTTTCAATTCACTCATTACCCGTTAATTTGCAATTGACACATTGCAGAAATTGCACAAACGTCAGAAATATGACGGGCATTGCAATGGTCGGATTACGATGGAGATATAAACAGTTTTCTCGCCCTCGTTTGAGCGAGGAAAGGTCTGCCATCAGTTTCTAGAGGGGATCCCTCGGAGTGGTCGGGCAACTTTTACATTTGCGTTGCCCTGCACCGGACTCCCAGCTATGCAGCCCATTATGCAGATCAGCTCTCGGCTGGCGGGCCTCACGCACAGGTCGGACCCGCTAAGAGCGCTTCCCACACCCGCCGCTCCGTTTCCACGGGGCACGCACACGAAAAGCTGCCACTTGTCGGCGGCCACAGGTGGACCATCGGACCATCTTCTGCCGGCTCGCTTTCTCGGGGCCAGTCCATGTCACGCCGGGCTATACACGGAAAAATATCACCCAAATCGGTCATTACTCAAGGTGGTTTCACACCAAAATACCCCCTATCTTCGGCATATCAGCGGGTCATTAAAAGCCAAACTTGTCTTAATCAAGCGACTTCTACTAAACACTTAAGAGATAGTTTCGACGAGATTTTCCATTGGCATAAGCTATGTGTTTTCATTACTATTGTGCAAGCCACAATGTGTAATAAACGAAATTATATTAATGAACAACTTACATTTGTACTTATTTCCGAGATTAGATTATTTTCCATGCACAATGGAAATAAGTAAAAGTTGGAACTTGATAACATTAAAATTTAACAACAGTAATTGAAAATAATAAGATGAATTACAACTTAATAACTAGTACTGGCTGGGACTCAAATTTCAAAACTGAAACCACAACAGATGGCCTTTAAATTGGAGATTACATTTTAGATTACTCGGAGTGATTTTAAAGGTAACTCGAAATTGAATTTCCAGTTAGGCAACTTATACCTCGACTCCCAAAAGCACTTTACTTTTATTCATTGGAATGATTTTGCATAAACGGATAATTGCTTGCCACACTTTTCGTCCGAATTTTTCTCTGTGTGCACTTAACGAGAGAAGCGAGAGAAGAAGCATAAAAACACTTTCATTTTTCATTTCATTTAATAATTCATCACATTTTTCACCTTTTGTTTCTCCGCGCCATCATCGTTTTGACGTTATCTGAAGTTCCTGCCGCCCGCGAAATGGTTTATGGTTTATGGCCTGGTCCACATTTTCCCGGCTGGCGTGTCGCCAACTTCCGTTTTCGCTGGTCGTCGTATGCCACTTCTTAGAGTCATTGTCTCTCGACGATAAATGTTTTATTTTCGTACGGGTTTTTTACACCATTTAGTTCGGCCGAATCGGCGAATCGAGCCAGGGGTTTGTGATCTCGCATGCCAAGTTTGTCGCTGCAGTCTTTCGTTTGTTTTCGCAAGTCCCACATTTTCCACACCTCAATTTGAGCGCTCACTTCCTTTCTTCATTCCTGCTGGTCGCGCTACAGTTATTCCGTTTGGACAGCTGGCGGCTTATGCAACCAGGGTCTGGGATTTAATTATAAGGATTTACCTGATTGTCGGCAATTTCGCGCGAAAACGAACGCCAGAGCGAACGCGAAAGTGACGCATTATTTACATCCGCTTTGGATTGTTTTCTCCGCGGCTTTTCGCTTCTATTTTTGGCAATGGGAAATGATGTCAGTTACGGTTACTGCCGTCTCGCGACTAATGTTCTTTGGCAACTTTTGCATCATGCGGCGATGACTGACGGTCCTACCCACTGGGGTAATTGGCCTGCAGACAAGCTGCGATTCTGAGCTAACCGTTTGCGAGTTGGTTCGCACGGAGATGACTTTCAAGTTGTGGGCCAGAATGATTGTGCCGTGTCACAGGCTGATTGTCTGCGCGGTATATAGCGTCTGCAATCTGCAATCCGTTCACATGACAGACAGCCTAACAATGGCAGATCAACTGGCACATATCATAACCGAGCATCATCAAGTGCAGCGGGGCTTTTTTCCTCGTTTGCCATTTTGCGTTTTTATGATGTGTTCAGACAACAAAGCAACCGAAAATAAACACAATTTACATGAGAACTTCCCTGGCTATTTGTCAGTTGCAAATTCAGACAAGTTGTCGGCCAGATTTCACTTGGCCAATCGCGTCGAACACCAACGCAAACACCAAACACAGCAAATAGCAAACAGCTAAACTAGCGAAAAACCAACCGCAGAAACGTGCCGGCCATCAGTTGTGGCTGCCACTTGGCTCTTTGGCCACATGCCACAAGTTGTTAGTCCTGCGGTTGGCTCGTTGGCCATCCCAGTGCTGGTGCCATCTTAGCCGTTGCACAATAGCAGCAGTTAGAGAAGTGTCCGCCGCTGATTTACACTTGCCCACTAAGCGCTTGCCAAAGATTTTCGGGTTTCTTCTGCCGTTTCATTAATAAGTTTCTGTTTTTGTCTTGGCCCGATTGCGCAATTCCCTCTCTTTTGGGCCAGGCGGAGGAAAACTCGGGCTGACATCGGATTTATTGGCTTGTAAACATTTTCGTTATGTTAATGTGCGAGTTCAGCTGTCGAGTATTTTGGGGCTTTTGGCTCGAGATGAATTTTGATGGCTTTTTCGCCGAGTGCCGCGGTGTGTAACTTTCTCCCATTGTTAGCATCTTTCTTTTCATGAACTGCTTTTGGCTGTTGGCGCTGCCTGTCGATGGTGATGTTGATTTGATTATTTCTTCCCCAGTTGTGTCTGCTCATTTTTCCGTTTTTTGTTTGGCTTTGTTTTGGCAAATCTTTGACATTTGGCCATTGTGTGTGGCCAGCGGAGTGTGTGAGCTGCTGCGGACTACTGAAACCCGCAGCTTAGCCGTAGGTCAGCAATGCTGGACAATGTGACAGTTTCTTTGGGAAGTGGCTGTTGGATAACCGCCCTGTTTGTGTGGGCTGCTCCACTGATTAGCATATGTGGCGCGCAGAGGTTGTGCCATAACCCCCGAGATCATAAATTCCCCGAAAGTGAGTGTTGTGGGGCAGTGACATCAGTCGGTCGGTAATTGCAATCAAGAGCGCATCATTAAGCTGTCAAAACGTCTGCCGATTGAAGCCGGGGAAACAAGGCAACCGCCTGTCTGCAGGGCTGTCAAAACAAGATCTCACAGCTTCCGTTTTGACACGACACTTGGGCCGCCTCCCTGCGAAAACAATGCGACCTGTGTGCCATAATCAGGGGATGCTCGACTGCCGTGAGACTGCGCATGCGCCACCGATCGACGGCCCAACTGGGCCAAAGCCCCGATCTTTATGGCAGTGGGTAACCCGTCCGCCGTTGTCCGTCGAGTGTGTATTGTTTTCACTTCACTTTCTGCGCAGCCATCAAATGTGTTATACCCGCACTCGCACCGCACTTACTACTTAGATACCAATCAAATGTCAGGCGCCCACACACACAAGCCACAAGCCACACACCACAACCCACCAGTTCGGCTGACATTTGCAGTCCGAGTGCAGTTTTTGGAAAGTTCGGTGAAAAATTCGAGACACCATCGAGCCATCCAGACATCAGGGCAGAATTGAGTTTTCCTCTCGTGTCGCTTGGCATTTTTGCGTGGGCGTGGCCAGAAAGCGGCTCCCGCGGTCAATTGAAATTCGTCGCCGCACTCGGGCCAACTTTCTCGGCTGGGCCAGAAAGGCCGGGCTGCCTCTTCCGCCAGCTCGATGACTCAGTGGCCCCCAGTTCGCTGATTAACCGCATCGCGATATGCCAAATCAAAGGCGAAACCGGGTCGAAATGAAGTGCTGGGGCCTTGCCTTTAACCCATCAAGCTGGCGGTGTGTCAATTCTGTGGTCAACAACTCAATTCCAGCCTCTCCATTTCATTTCATTTCATCTCATTTCAGTTTATTTCATTTCCATCTGCGACTCGCAGCCTCAACTTGACATTGACCCAATGCAAAAGTGAAAAAATAGACAAACACGTCCAAATTTCTGCTCGGCTAATTTGTTGTGGCTTCGCAAACGGGCGATGTTCGAGTTTATTGCGTTTTTAATTCGCCTTTTTTGGCGTTCACCAATTTGCTTTGCCATCTTCTATTTCGGCCGGTAAAAGTGTTTCTGCCTCGGCTCTGGGCTTTTGTCGGGGTCTCGACCTTGTCCACAAGATATCAATTAAAATATTTGTTTCCAGGAGCCGTGTGTGTTTACATGGCAGCCAGATTTGTCTGTAAGATTTACTGCTCACCTTTCAGATGTTTCGCCTTCCGACCATTTCCCCCGAATAAATTTCGCCTTCAAGGCTGATCGGTATCAGTATCTCTTGGCTGTGGCCTAATCGCGCAAAATTTGAGTTCCACGAAGTTTTAATTAAAATATTTTGGCATCTGAAGTAATCCTCGACTTTCTATTGCAGTTGGCGCTGGCGCTGCTGATCATTGGAGCCGCGGCCACCGCCACATCTCCCAGCTCCAGTACCACCACCTCGGCCAAGCCAAAGACAGAGGCCAAGCCAAAGGCTGAGCCGGAGAAGCCCACCAAGCAGCCTGCACCTTCGGCGTCGCCTGCTTCCAAGATCACCACCACCTCCTCCACCTCCACCACCCGCCAGTCGAAGGCCCTGAAGCCGGGAGACAACCGCGGCAAGAGGACGCTCTACGACTTCGGCAACGCCGGCTACCTGTACCCCGAAGTGGCTTCCCGGAGGGCTGGCTATGTGGACAACACGGCGAGCTACTATCCCCAGTCTGGCTACTTCAACGGCCAAAATGCAATTGGTAAGCAAACCGGACAGATCTGGTCCCAATTTCACAGATCCTAATGGAACTCGATTTGGCAAAGTACCCATCGTAAAAAACAAATTACTATTGCCATGAAAACTGTATTTCGGTTCCACTTAGTTTTGATTGCAAGTCGAAATGGGAAATGTGGCTTCCGATCGATCAAGTTTTTATCTGTGAAAACGAAGTTGTTATGTTCGAAACTAATCTCTAACCCTTTTCAATTGCAGCTCAATATCCCGGCAACTTCGGACCCGCCTATGCCCAGTATCCACAGTACCTGGAGGCTCCAGAGCCCATCATCGAGATCATCATCAAGGATGCCAACGAGACCCTGGCCGAGGAACCCGCCCAGCCCATCGTGACCAAGAAGAAGAAGAAGAAGGAGAAGGTGCACGTGTTCTACGTCAACTACAAGAAGGATCAGAACAACAAGCTGCACCTGGAGTCGCCGATCGCCTCGCTGAACAACGACGACAACGAGGAGGAGGAGGAAGAGGAGGAGGAGGTGGTCCAGTACCCGGTCACCCAGCAGCCGCCCCTGAAGCCCACCACCCTGCGCACCATCATCCACCCGGACTCCGAGAAGTTCCACAGCAACTCCGGCATCCACGTGTCCTTCGGGGCGGAGAACAAGCACCAGACGGGCCACATCCTGGAGGAGCACGACGCGGAGAGCATCCAGCGCCAGGTGGTGGCGCTGCCCCCCTCGGTCTCCTCCAAGCCGGAGGGCGGGTACCTGGGCAACACCCGGGCGGACTACGGACGGGAGAACAACTTCGGCCGGGGTCCCGGATCGAACCTCCTTTTCGGCGGCAGCTTCCAGCAGGCGGGCATCAACTACCAGCAGCAACATCAGCAGCAACATCAGCAGCAACATCAGCAGCAACATCAGCAGCAGCACCAGCAGCAACTGCCCCTGCAGCACGGCAACAACTACTTCAGGCCCCCGGCCGCCCTGGTGGGTCCTCCCCCAGTTACCCAAAGCCCGCCCAGCAGCAACAGGTGCAGCAGCAACACCGGCCCAGCATCACCCAGCAGCAACTGCCCTCCACCTCCTCGCAGACCATCTTCAATAAGTTGGTGCAGCAGTCGCAGTACTACATCAACCACAACCAGCAGTACTCTACGCAGCAGCACCACCAGCAGCAGAGCCACCAGCAGCAACACCAACCACATCAGCAGCAACACCTGCAGCAGGCACCGCAGCAACAGCAGCAGCAGCAATATCAGAAGCCACCGCATAAACAGGTGCAAGTACCATTCTTCCCCACGATTCCGCCGAAAAGCGTGACTCCTGCCCCATATCAGCCGGTCAAATTCCGACCCACTCCCGCCCCTGTCGCCCAGGTGAAGCCCCTGCCCCTGCCCGTAAAATTGGACAATGCCAACTACCAGCAACAGCAGCAACACTACCAACCGCAGCAACAGCAGAAGTTGCCGCTGCAGCAGCAATCTTATCAGTTTGTGCGTCAGCCGCAATTCGTGCAGCAGCCGCAGTTTGTGGTGCGCTCGCCCACGCCACCACCAGAGTTCTACTCCCAGCAGAAGCAGCAGGCGCAGCAGCAGCACTCCCAGCAGCAGCACCCCCAGCAGCAGCACTCTCAGCAGCAGCACTCCCAGCAGCAACACCACCAGAGCGGCCTGAACTACTTCGACATCAAGCCCTCCAAGGAGACGGAGCTGCTGAAGTCCATTCCGAAGTTCGAGCAGCACATCACGGAGACGGTCCACAACCCGGTTGCCCCGTCGCAGCAGCCGCAGCAGCAGCAGTATCAGCAGCAGGTGCAACAGCAGCAGCAGGTGCAGCAGCAGCAGCAGCAGCAATTCGGATACAGCAGCACGCGGAACGAGGTGATCCACGACGTGCCCGCTCCCAACCTGGGACCCTCTGCCCAGCAGCCCATCTCTGGTCACTACATAACAGCTGGATCATCATCTGGCCAGCACTCCCAGCAGCAATCCCACTTCGCCAGCTTCCCCACCGAAGCTGCCCCGCAGCCGCCCGTCTACGCAGAGTCCACTCACGGCCAGAAGGTGATGGTGGTCACCCCGGTGCCGCCCTCCGCCAACTACGTGACCTACAGCCAGTACTCCCAGGCCCTGAACGAGCCGGTGGTCCATGTGAATGCCCAGTCGTCGGCTCTGCAGGCCCAGGCCAGCACCAACTTCGCCCAGCAGCCCAGGCAGCCGGCGTCCTCCTTGATCAGTGCTCCCTCGAACGACAACTCGCCCTTCAGCGTGTCCACCTTCCACTCGGATGTGTTCAAGGAGCTGGAGCAGCGCAACCAGAAGGACAAGCCGCAGCAGGTGCCACCACTGGCTCCTAAGCTGGCTAAGGCTCCCGTTCCAGCGGCACCGCCTGCCCCCAGTGCCGCTCCGGCCTCCGCTCCCAACGGAAAGGCCTCGCAGACGCTGCTCCAACTGCCCGACGAGGTGCCCGACGACCTCCGCCAGCAGCTCTTCTCCTCCGGCATCCTGAACAACGCGGACATCTCCATCCTGGACTACGACAAGCAGGGCGATATCGCGCTGGAGAACCTGCCCGCCGAGCACCTGCAGCACTTCTACGGAGCGGGCGGCGGCGCCCAGATTGCCGAGACCAACAAGGTGCTGACCGTGGTCAAGCCCAACGGTGACAAGGTGGCCCTCAGCGAGAAGCAGCTGGACCGCGTCAAGCAGACCAACTCGCTGCCCCAGAAACAGGATCTCGACGTGAAGGTGGTGCGCTACGATGCCGCCCAAGGACAGAGTGTGAGCGACAAGTACGTGCGCACCGATGCCACCGTGGTCACTCCCGTGGACCTGGCCGAACGGCAGCAGTACAACCGCTACCTTCCCCTCAAGATCAACGGCGCCCAGTTCCCGATCCCCGACAGCGAGGAGCTGCTGGGCAAGCGGATCGTCAGCGTGGTGGTCCTGGCCCCCGTGGAGGCCCAGAGTCCCGGCCAAGGGAGCAGCGAGGCAAGGAGTGCCGACGGCAAGGAGGTCAAGTTCCTGGGCGGCGAGCTCATCAAGACGCTGGTGAAGAAGCCCACCAAGGACAACTTCAAGAGGTGGCTGGAGAAGGAGGCGCGAACGGATCTCGAACTGCAGTCCGTGGTCCTGCTGGTGGCCAAGTGAGTGGAAGATATAAAAGTTATACCCAGCCTAAAAAGAATCCCAAGCTAATCACTTTCCCTTTCCAGATCCACCGATGAATCTGCGGAGCAGGAGATCTTCATGTACGACATCGCCACGGGCAGCATTAACCGCCTGAACGGAGAGCTCTCCAGCACGTTTGTCAACGTGGCCGAGGAGAACGCCAGCAGCGAGGATCTGGAGCACGCCGCCACCTTGGACCCCAGTTCGCTGGAGTCCATGATGCATCTGCGCCGCAGATAGACATCGCGATCGAGTCGAGTCGCCGCAGTCCACAACTAAATGCCATTTAGCTACTCAACTAGACATGATCATCGTGCGCCCCTGAAAACCCCCTCGAGTTGTACTCCTTTCTTAGTTTTTTTGTTTCGTACTTTCCCCACTCTCTCCTCAGGTTGCACCATTTCTATTTAAAACAAAAAGAGATTCGTTCCATTGATCACGGCATTGCATCCAATCCTCCCGTAGTATTTCCATTTTGTAAATATTCTTTGCTGATGTTAAAATTATCGTACTTTAAGTTAATTTACGTAAAAATATTACAAATAAAAAAGAAATATAAGACATGTATTTTTATTTTGATGGGATTTCTATATTTATTCTTATAAACAAGGTTATTTTGATGTTATTAATATTTTGTATGTCAAAAGTATATACACATTATGTAGTAAAGTTCGAAAATGTAAGTAACTGTGCTTAGTACCAAAAAGAGGCAACATCACTGACGGCGCCACTGTGCATTCAATAGCCATGTAAAAACAATGTAAACTTTAAGTTGTTTTTGTTGGCTTGGGGTAGAGTTTACTAAAAAAGTTTAAAACAATCCAAACAACAATATTTTGATTTTTTTTTGCTAAACAATAGTCAATTAAAATATTCTAGACCATAATTTCCATGTTAGGCTAGGCTAGTTTTCGTTGTTTACTGATTCGTTCAGATTGGTTTTGAATCGAGGGCAGTATCGGCTGGATCGGACCCCCTAATTTGGGCCAAGGTTAGCCGGTGGCCACTGCAGTCTTCGAGAGCAAGAAGTTAAACGTGTCTCGATAGCAGGACAAGATTTCGCAGCGGCCACAAATCACACGCATACGTGACCCAGCTATATGTATGTACGCCGATATCGGATCTGGTCCACGACGGTAGACGTGACTAGAAACTGTCGAAGAGAGTTGGCCAACATATGAGTTTCTCTTAAGCAGCTCTCCCTCAGCCGCTTGGCAAGTTGTTTTGACTAGTTTGTTTTTTGGCTTTGGCGACTTGGTAGGTGCAACAAGTTGCCGCGACTATAATTACATGCAGTTTATTTTTAGCACCGCAACTACGCACGCCAGCAACAACAAGAGTTGCCCCGGCAGCAACTTGCAACTGGCAACTAGCAACTAGCAACCAAAAACTTGCAACTGGCAACTCGCGCAGACTGGCGAACGGCCAAATGCGGCGATAACAGCACAAAAACTGCAGTAAGACGAAGCCTGGTTTTTCACGTCGGCCATGTGAACTGCATATAGTGCTGCACATATACCGGCTGAATTGGCTCTGCTGTTGCCAAGAGTGAGTAGTTTCAGAAGTGGCGAGACAGACGGGTCGGGCAATCCGTTTTGAATGTTTATTTGACTTATGCAATGTTCGAGCGTTTTTCAAAATATTTTCGATGTAAGACAAACAAGGCAGGTTTGGCAAACAATGCGCAAGTTGTTAACTCTTGAAAAAGATTGTTATGTTTGTTTGAGAACCGAGCTTGCTTGTAACTTTACTTTTCGCTTTACCTTTAAAATATTTCGAAGTTAAAGCTCCCACGTTTTAAAAAATTGAATTAAAGCCATTATTTTACCCTGTGTAAAGTAAATAATAATCCAATTCGTATTGATTTTCCCCGACAAGGCCAAGAGATCAATGTTTTGTTCCTGAAATTCCGTGACCCAAAACTTGTATCTTGCTGAGCTGATGTTAAAATGTTCGGGGATCAACGGGGCTTTAACCCAGTTTCCGAATCAGTTGGCCTTGGGAATGGGTCCTGTCATCTGGTCGGGCTTAAAGGTAAACTCCAATTTGGCCCAGACCCACACACATGCACACACCCACGGGAGAGCCATGTGGTATGCATTCATCTCGTTTGGCTGAAGATGTATTTTCCGTGCTCATCCCTTCTGACACATGTTGTTTGAACTGCTTTCGATTTTTTTCCCCAACTCGAACGAACGAACGAGCGTCTTTTGCTGTAATTTTCGCATTCTGTCTCCCACATCCAATGCGTCTTTCTGATTTTTGCGATTTTTTTTAGCGCACACTTTGTTCTGCTGCCATATCGACTTGACTCGTTTCAAAATTGGGTTACAGACCTCCACGCTCCCCAAAAAACGCAAAAAAAGAGAAAAACAAGAGGGTCCGCAAAAAATATAGCACACGGCCACAACAACAACAAAGCTAAGGCGAAAATGCAAATGCAAAAATCCGTTTGAAGCCGTAAGCTGCGTGAGTCAGAGGAGAGCGGCATTACTGTTGCACTGATTGCTCATGCCTTCTGTTGTTGTTTCTGTTATTGTAGGTGGCAGATGAAGGAGAAGTTCTCCCTTGTCCCCCATCCTTCTCCTTCCACCCATCGTCCTACTTTACGATTTCTCTTTTGGCTTCTTCCCTGGCTCGTGTCTTTCGGTCTTCTTCTTCTGCCCGCTTTGTTAGTTAAATTGCAGCTTTACAGTTGTTTACGAACTATGCACACGAAGAAAAGTTAGTTGGTCAAGTAGCAAATTAAAGCAAAAAATATTTAAGGTTTTACACAATTTACCACAAACGAATATTAGTCTTATCAATATGAACACTTAAAAGTAATCTAAGTCTGAATCTCAAAATTTTAAAGAATACTCATTCGCTATGTTGGTTTAATTATCTTTTAATAATAAAACATATTTCAAAATATATTACTCATTCGCCATGTTAGATAAGTACACAATATGAAATTTTGCTGATTATTATCATTCTATCTCCAAAGTTGATTTTAGGTAAATAAATTTTCTTTCAGTGAAGCTGTTTTGGTGACCAAACCAAACCAACTACGAACTCTGGAAACCTTAAGAGAGCTGTGAAAGAGAGGTGGCTTTGGCTTCCGCGCTGCCGCTCTCTGTTTCCCCACATCGCTTGGGGTCTGAAAGAGATCAGCTTGCTAGGCTGCGGCAGAAGCGTCGACGTCGTCGCTGCAGCTCCAAAGCTGCGCTCAGTCCAATTAGATCGGTCGGCGCAGCCAGTTCGTGAGTTCGAGCAGCGGCGCACAGCAATAAAATCGAGCAGTGTTCCAAGTCTTCGGCCCCAAGTCGCTGACGCCGAGGGCGGCGCAGAAAACTTGGCTCCTTTTTGCGAGAAAAAAGGGCGCGCGAGTGGAGCTCCGCGATTAACGGATCTTGATCCTATGCGAACTAGTTTTAGATTGCGCAATTTTGAGCAACAATCGTGCAAAAGGCAACTGTTTAAGTGCGCGTCGCCGAGTGAAATTCGATAGTAAAACGCAAAACCAAACGACGATCGGCGGCTCTGAAAAGCCGTTTAAAAACAAAAGCAAATATAACTGAAACCCAACTAAAAACACAAAAAAAACAGGGCAACATGGCGACCGCCGCCTGCGTCCGCTGCGCCCAACAAAAGCAGAAACAAACGCAACAAAAACAAAAACAACAACTACAACTTGAAGAAGGGGCGCAGGCGCAACAGCGACGCAACAGCCCGCGGATTCTGCACATTTACAGCGCGTGGGCGTTGATCACTCTGTTGGCCGCCAGCGCCGCCATGGTCCAAAGTGCAGCAGTCTTTGGTTAGTTGCGAAAAATTAAAAATGTGCCTGGGAAAATCTGGAGAGGGGACTTTAATCAGGCGCCGCTGCATTGTGTGCAAAAATGGTGTGAAGAAAAAAAGAAATCGGTGAAAGGTGGAAGGGGTTGGCGGATGGGATGATGGGGAAGACCTGGTAATTGTGGCGACTGAAGCGCCTTTATAATTACCGGATTCGAGGAATCGGTGCAGAGTATCGGGTCACAAGATCTGGCCAAAAGAGGTACTTCCCCACTCTCAAGTTCATCACTTGGATTTCACTTCTCGTTTAGTAGTTGATCTTCTATAGCGTGGACTTTCCCAAGATGAATTAACTGTAACTGCGCGAAAGTTAATAAATATTAAGGGTACAGAGTACCTAAATATAATCTTTTCTTAGGTTCCAGCTTTTCATCTATTTTTCTTATTTACAACTCAGTCTTTAACCATATTTGATTGAAAACTAGAATTGTTACTCGGTTTCATGGGAATTACATTTACAATTATGAGGTTGCCAAAACCAAAGTTATTGTCCCACACCAAGCAGATTGAGTTCTCGAGCATTCACTGTAGTTAGCCGCTGCCTTTCTAATCTCTGCTATTGTAGCGTCTTTTTAGTCACCCATCCCATATCCGTGGCTATAGAATAAGCGTTGTGAACCACTGTCATTTGTTGTGTGTGCTTTTAATTTTATCACCGATTATTTGTGCTTTTTCTGTTTGGGAAACCGGTTGTCGATTCCCCCACTCACTCGATCTTAACCGCATTTGACCGTTCCCGCCGTGCACATGGTTACGAAAATGATTTGGCTTTAATTTCTGCCGAAAATCCAAAATCGATCACTAGTCACCAAAGTCTACTGATAAGCGTTAAGTTTCGTGAATCATTTCGGACACGGGCAGCTATAAAAAAGCAGTTTGTAGCCGTAAACACATCACGCGGAAGTTTTTGCGGCATGAAATTAAAGAAAAAACAATGTATTGCAAATAAATAAAAGAAAATACTTTTTTAGTGAAACTTGAAACAGAAACAGAAAACTGAAAAAACACAAAGCGGAGAACGGAAAATAAGAAAACGCAACTGCCAGACGACCTCATTGTCATTGAAATACAGTTATGGCCCGAACAAAGAGCCAGATTGGCAAACTACATGTCTGGATCTTCTGCGTTGCAACAAGGGGTTAATGATAATGGTAGCATTAATAAAAGCCCTACGAAGGCTGCCGTTCCATTGACCTTTGATGCCTAAGAAAGCAGTTGGATCTGAAGACCATTCGGACAGCGTTGTTTAAACAAAACATTAAAGAAACGGTGCAGGGCATTATTGGGATTAACATTTATAAACAGAAGTAAACAATGTTAAAAGTAATTAAAAAAAAATTTATATGACTCTTGGAAGAACAAACACCTAGTACAATTTAAAAGCCTCATCAAAAAGAAATAGCGAGCCCTGGATCCTAAACATTATCAGCGTTTTTGCTCAGTGAGCAGCCACGACTTGTTTCCCCAATCTAAATCGAAATCTAACACCGATTCTCGATCTGGGATAGTGTTTACTCTATCCGAAATTTTTGGCTAGCACAACAAACCGCTGAGTCGCAGAGCGTTATTTATCCAGCCATAAACATTCATATGTATATTTAGCCATGTACATGTTTGCAAACTGGTTTCCAGCTCTGTTTTGCCGTTGCTGTTGTGAATATCAAGTAGAATTAACATATGTTGCCAGCAGCCATCTGTGGATTGGATTGGATTGGATTCGAGAAGTTCCCCCAAGTCTGGTTTTATAAGGCTGCTGTGCCCAGAAGCTGCTTGCTGTGCGACTCGAAAAGTCATCTGGGTTCAATTAGGTGGCACACACATACCTCCCCTCTCCTCCCCTCCCCTCCACGTTTTCCATTTCAATTCAAACTTTTTTTGCGAACGAGACAGCGATAAAGCATCTGCAATCGCTTAATTAAAATGCAAATTGTTCGTAAAAAACGGCAAATAGAAAATAGCTGCCATTCTGCTTCTGCTCGCTCAAGTAGTTAAGGCAATTTTAGGCGTTTGTGTTTTATTTTGCCCCGCGTTTCCAATACTGTGTTGCTGCCAAGTACTGAAAATGGGTCTTTGATTTATGTATGCGGCCATTAGAAGTCATGTTCAACTGGCTTCCGCCTCGACTCGCCGCCATTCCGCTGACTGCTTGGCCAGTTAAGCAGCAACAGTTGCCGTTAGGTCTGCCAGTGTGTTGCACGCAACAGCAGCAGCAGCAATAGCAGCAGCAGCAACATCCAGCGGCAGCAACATGCAGCAGCTGCAGCAACAAATGACCAGTTCCTTGCTTTTCGAGTTCCCAGAATTCTTGTTTATTGTACAATTTATTTATTTTGTCGTTCTTTAGCTGGGCAAACAGACAAATTACAACGACAACAACGACAGTGGCCAACAGCAGCAGAAGCAGCAACATGATGACACATTCGCTTGACCTATTAGGAAAATTGGCCAACGGGAAATGTAGCGCGCTGTCCACAGCCAGCCGCACGTTCGTGGGGATGGGGAAAAGCGGGAGAAGAAAGCTGGAGAGCGGGAAAAGCGGGAAAGCGGGGAAAGGTACGGGGCCAGATAGAGAGACACAGACAGAGATAGAGACAGAGACAGGGAAAGAGACAGCAACGGCGACAGAGAAAGAGAAGGAGGGACAAGCACTTAACCCTTGCCATTCTGACTTTGATAGTTGACCCAATTTCAGCAGTTTCACAAATAAAAATAAAGCAAATAGAGAGATGAGGTGGGAAAGCAGAAGATCATATGCTCTTTAAATCTGGAGTCGGAAGCAGTTTACCTAAAAAAGAAAATTTTACAAAGTCTTTGACCTTTAATTAAATACAGATATTGGAAATTAAAAATACATTAATTTATGGGTCATTTCAATAAAAACCAAAAAGATCTTACATGCTGGTAATAAATTCTATACCATACACCAAATGATATATTAGTTAACCTAAAACTAAATAATTATTAAAATCACAGAGCTTGTATATAAAATCATCTTTGCAAAATGAATAGTTTCTGTTTTTGAGATTAATTAACTAAGGACAACTCTCTCCTTTCGTGGCTTTTCAATAGGGAGTTCATAGGAAGAGCGGGAAAAAGGAAAATCCTTCCACTTGACTCACAGATAACTTATCGATTCCGTAATTCGATTGTGCAACTTAACGAGTCCGCTGAAGGGTTTATGGCCTTATGGCAACCCCCGTGGAGAAGAGTATAACAAACTGCACTTGCAGACTGTTTTTGTTTGTTTCTGTTTGTGCGTCGAGTGGCGTTCACTCCGGGTATGTGTGCCCACTGTGAATGTGTGTGTGTGTGTGTGCGAGTGTTGTGTAATTTTTAACAACAACTTTTTTTCGAGTGTCTCTCCATCGTGCGCTTTTACTGTTCCGCCCGCCGCTCCCCCCTTTCCGCAGGCAGCCGGGCGTAATTATGACGAGTGAGCAGAATCCAGCATCCATCCATCCAGCATGCAACACGCGTCCGCATCGCGTGGCAGCCACAGAATTTATTATGCCCAGTCGCCACTCGAGAAGCAGAACTCAAAAAAAAAAAAACAAAAACAAAAATGAAAAACAAGGAGGAAAAAGAGAAAAACCCTCAAACCGCTTGACAATCTCTGCACGAGCAGTTGCAGTTTGCTCTTGGCCAAGTTCCGTTTTTGTCTAAATCTGTATCTGAGTCCAAACAACAGCCGCAACTCGAAACTGGCCCACTCGACGTAGGGGACTGTATATAGCACTATAACTTGTGGATCGGCATTGACTACGCATTTTAATGTGCCCTTTTCAAATTCAAGTGGCTGCTGATGCTTGACCTACACACAGATACGCACGCACACCACAGTTCAAAGATACACATCGCGAGATATTGGCGGATAAATAGAAGTGCACGGAGAGAAAAGCTTTGAACTACGTGATGGGAAAGTTTTCACATTACATTATCACTTTTTTAGTTCCTTGACACTGGTTTCTAGTATTTTGTCCAATAATAGTAAAATTCAATGGAGAAATATAAATATTCTTGGACGCTTAGCTCTCAAAACATCGCTTGAATGGCGATCTTATTTCTCCAAGTGCCCGATAGTTGACTGTAAATTGTTTTCCATGTTTGTCTGTGAGTTTTCTGGTTGGCTTGCTAGCTGTTTGTCTTGATGTTTATCTGTGTAATCATGTCTCTTAACCTGACCTTGCCCAAAACGAAAACGGTGGAGCCATTGGGCTTAACGTACAAGTTCAAGCGTTGTTTGGCTAGCACCTTAACGCGCTTGGCTTTGACTTTCCCCGGGAAAGCGTTCTGCTTTCCCGAAAAACGGCTAGCAGTTGGTTCTGCTCTGAAAACGTAGACAAATTATTAACGGCATATTTGGTGGAAAAATTGGGTGGAACTGGGGGCCCTTTCTTCTTGCCCGCTTGGCTGGCTGCCCGAATCGTAAACCCATTTCCACAGCTCGAATATGAACTCCCCGCATTAACCCCGAACAAACCGAAGTAACTTGTGGATTCATGTGTTTATTTGGCTGTGAGTGCTGTGTGCTTTTAACCCAATTAGCAGTGACGCTGGTGCTCTAGAGCTCTCTCCGCCGGCCGTCAAATAGGCCTTAATCATTACTTAACTGTATGGAATTCATTGTATTACAGTGCTAATGGCTTTTCATTCTGCAACAATTGCGGCTAATTGAAGACATTGTAAGGGGCGACTGAACGAGTGTTGTTTGTTCAACTTTCCCTAGAACAACCGAATCGATTACTCAAATCTCCCGTAATGGTAATGGCCGTATTAAACTGACGAAAGACTGTCATTAGCCGGCCGTAATGAGTGCATTTGCCGAAACGATGATTGAAACTCCAGCACGTGTGGACAGCCCGGACCGCTTGACTATTAATGTCAAGTTCGAAATGGGAATTAGCTGCTAAATTGCACTCGCACACACGAATGGCTCGGCTTGGGTGCTCCGAGCAAATGCAAATTCTTTAATAAAATGTTTAATAGTTCGCCGGAGCTGTGTGGCAATTGCCGTGCGGAAAAAAGAGCGAGGGCGGCTGGAAAACACAAACGCAAACACAAACACAAACAGTAACTCGGTTGCAGCAACCGGCGGGTAATAATATAATAATAATGGTGTGTGCATATGGTGCAGTCACTGACCCAGAATATCTGGATATATAGTATACGTATGGATGTGTGGCTACCTCCGAGCACAATGCAAAAGTAGTTTTCCTACACGCCACACTCGCAGTCGCCTGTATTTGTGTTTCATTAATTGAAGTACTTAATAGTGCTTGTGCGAATCTTTAACCTCTGCGACGCAAAGTTCGAGATCGAGTGCAAAGTAATTGAACGGAGGAGCCCGCGCGCCCACTGTAACCACTCGTATCGCTGTGTTTGGGAAACGTAGTCATTCAATTCGCATTAATTAAATTTCCGAACTGGGTTTGGTTTGGTTTCATCACCCGAAACTGGACTGGAGTGCCAGCCACTTCCATTTCCCTGCCAATTCACACAACATTCCTATTTTTAGAGTTGTCACACCGCGGTCTTTATTTTCGTCGGGCTGCGAGTTATTTATTGATTGACAACGCGCGGATCTCGTCTGCATGCGATGCGTTTAGTTGGGCGTGATGGATTCGGCATACAAATGACCACAAATCGCCGGCCATCCATCAGGCAGTGCCTCTATTTGATGTAGAGATTAACAGACCCCTGTGAATTTGGCCCCAAGGCATCTGCTCCAATAACTGATTCGCTGCGAAACTCTCCATTTCAGGCGACCTGATGGCGCACCCGACTTTCAAGCCGCTCTGCAGCGCCCAGCACGAGCACTTCATCGAGAGCGAGGGCCGGGAATCTAGTCTCATCATCGAACTCAAGCCGGGGGCCTACGGAGCCGAACACCCCTCCTGCGCCCGCATCCTGAGTGCCCCGCCCAACTACGGCTTCATAGTGCGCCTTATCCTGCCGAAGCTGCGACACAACCAGCCCTTGGATGCGGCAACCACCAGGAGTCCCACCACGAACATCATGGCAGCCTCACCTGGGAGCAGCAACTCTTCCAAGCTCCGGCGAACAGCCAAGTCCGGCGGCGTCATGGAGGATTCAGTGGCTCTCAACTCAACGAAGGTCGTCGTCTCATCAGTGGGTTCCCGGGTTTTGGGGCGAACCTGCCCCCTGAACATTGTAAGTGAACTCACCATTTGTGGCAATAAGGTTGTCTCTGATTTAACACACTTACGAAAACTGGTAGAAAGTCTAGAAAATGTTCTCTAGTGCCCCAATTATCTTGAAAGTTAATAGAGAAAAGCAGTCCAAAGGCCAACTGTGTTACACAAGACTATCATATATATGATATTATCAACCTAGATTTATTAGGATCTCAAGTAAGGGTAATGGGTTTCCGCATGTTGTTTTTGTTTAGTATAACATCGTTCTTAATATTATTGGTTGATAGCCTGTTATAGATTTTTATAATTGTAACAAAGCTTATTTTAATGCGATCCTAATACGTGCTAAAACCTTTAGTGACGCACTTGGTTCTATTTTCGTAATGAGATTCTTTTGCCAAGTGTAGCCTTTTCGCTGATTAGTGCGAGGTTGCCATTTTCTGCACCTTCCGCTCGAATTATTTGCCAGTTTCTTTGAGACCATTCATCTGCTTCGAAAAATACCACTTGACTGCGCATGCGCAGCGTTCAAGTGTGAGAATCAGATCCAAAAGTTCAAGAAGCCGAGTTCAAGAACAAAAGTCGGTAGATTTCCACAGCTCAGGATTCTCCTATACCTGAAGAGAAATCGGAATTTGCTATGACTTCATCAGCAATTATTTTAATACCTATGTGTTTCTAATTAACGCCGAAAACATAAGGTGGCGTTATGACTGACTGATCCCCAAATTGCTGCCGATTCCCATTGTCAAATAGATTAAGTTCGCCGGCTGCATTACAGGTTCTCATAAACAGACTCGTCAAGCGAACACGTTTAAGTTCTCGATTGACATTGTTACTTTTTTGTGGCTTTCCGATGAGACAGTTTGACATCTGGAATTGTCTCCAATTACCGGCAGGTCTCATGCGAAACTGAACGTAATTCGTCAGCTGATCGTCGACATTGCCAAGGTGTTCTCGATTAAATAAGAAACTTTCCATTGAAGCTGTGGCCGTTGACACTGAACTCCCCCCAGCTGGAAATGTTTCACTTTCTGCGGGCCAAAACTCCGCGTCAAAGCCAGAAAAGCGGCGGTATTTGCATAAGCGCGCCAATTTCGACCATTTTGCTCGGCAGTTTTTTGCTTCGCCATTTGAAACACGTTTGTAGCATTTGGCCAGGGAAGCGGCCACAGGCGAGCAGCAACACTTTCGGTTACCGACGCGACGCGTCGCCATAAATCCGTCGACTTGGCCCGACCGACTGACAGTTGGCGTCGCCATAAAGCCAACTATGCTGCTAAAAAGCTGGCTTTGCTCGAGGCTCGAGGGAGTGGGTTCGCAGCCAATTCGCATTCGCATTTGCATGCCGAGAATAGAGCGTTTCTTTGTTCCGTCACCGATGAGAAGTGCAAACTGATGCGTCGCATAATTGCATAATTACCCCGAATCGCAGTCTTCCTAATGAGCCGACTAGAGAACTCAGTTAGTATATCGATGCAGGTCTGGGATCGCCGTGTTTATCACTCCAGAACTGGTTTAACCGTTCTCGCCGGGGATGGACACACCCCGGCTAATTGTTGTTTACTACGGGTGTACGGGTGTACTGGGTACAATGGGGCTAGCCAGTTGTCGCAGTTATTGAACCTGGGAGTACAAAGCTGAACCCGACTCGTTCCCCCTTTCTGTGGACACATGGCTTATCATTGCCATTTCGCTCTGCACGTGAAACGGCGCCGATATTAATGGATTTATTCTATACGAATATATACTCAGCTCCGGATTCTCGGGCAACGCGTAGTTCTCGGTTCTGGCTTGGCTTTCACAGCTTTTGTTTCGTATTTTCGCAGCGTAAATATTTTATTTTGCATTATGTGTGTTTGCATTCGCAGTTTTGATTGCCGATTTTGATCGTTTTGTTGAACTTGGCCATTCGCGTCACGTCGCCGGGGAGTGGGCGTGGTCGGGGGGTTGGGGTTGGGCGATTAGCATTTCGATCGTGTAAACTGTTTGCTCGCACGTTTCGCAGCCAATATTCAGTACGCACTCGCCACGCCACGCCACGCTTTTAGCCAGAGCCCCATAATTAAAAGGTTCTATTTGCCTTCACCCCAACAGTTTAGCTCGCTGGACCCGCACACGCCCCAGTGGCGAGTGGACCCCTGCCAGTTGGAGGACACCGCCTCGGAGATGGAGGACCCGGTGCGGCTCTTCCACGGACGGGTGAAGATCGTCTGGGAGCACGGCCAGCACGCCCTGCGCTCCAAGCTGATGGTCACTGTTCTCGGGAAGGGCGACCAGTGCAAGGATGGCACCAAGCACCAGTGCCTGAGGATCGGGTGAGTGGAATCATACGACTAAATCTATAAACTGGAATTATAAATTAAACTAAGTAGATAATTAAAATAATAGAGTAGCTCTACCTTTTGTTGGCTACATATTTTGTTAAGTACTCCAACTGTGTGTCAATTCTGATGGTTTCTTGTTCCCGCAGCGATGAACCCATCCTGTGCATCTCCAAGGAGCTGGCCTGCGACGGCATCCGGCACTGCCCGTACAGCAACGAGTACGACAGCGACGAGGACTACGAGCTGTGCTCGAAGCGGCGTCGCCCGGGAGCGGGTCACCTGGCCGCCGGCCTGGAGTCGGACCTCTTCGAGCAGTTCGCCATGGAGGTGTTCCGCAACCTGTTCATCAACGACGCTCCCACGGCGCCGGAGGAAGCGCCGCGCAACGGGAGCGCCGGAGCCGGGCTTCCGGACGCGGACAACTCGACCACCACGCTCCGCAAGGTGCACACCAAAGACATGAAGAAGCCGGGCGGCGACGGGTCGCCCAACTCCATTGGGCCCGGCCTGGCGACGGCGGACGAGGGGGAGCAGCCACGCCCGGAGAACGAGACGGCCGAGATGGGAGTCGGCGGCGGAGGAGGGGGCAGCGGCTTCACCCGGCGCAATTCGACGCGCTCCGGCCTCCACTCGGACCTCTCGAAGTACGGGCCCTGGGGCTACCTGATGCTCGGCATGCTCCTGTGCGGCGGAGCCCTGCTCATCTGCGGCCTCTGGGGTACGTTGAATTGCACCGTAGTGTAGTCCAAGTAAGGCACAGTCATCCGCCGTAGTACTTACATATGCGTTCGTTCTCCCCCACCCCCCCCGCACACCATCTAACCCTTCCTCCGACTTCCGCCCCAACTAACTAACCCCAATCACCACCTCCAATCCTCAGTTCTGTGTTGTCGCTTGAGCTCTCACACTGAATGCATGTCCATCCGCTCCCTTGCAGCCTCCGCCTCGCAGCACGCGGTCAACAACGAGCGGGAGGCGGCGCTGGCCGCCGCCAACGGTGGCGCAGGTGGTGGCCCCGACCACCTGGGCGCCACCTCGCCGCCCAACTACGAGGAGCTGGACCCCCCGCCCGCCTACTCGGTGCTCTTCCCCAACCAGAAGGCGGCCAGCAGCAACACCCTCAACCTGGATGCTGCGGCTGCCAGCACGACTACTGCAGCAGCAGCGGCCGCAGCAGCGGCAGCAACAGCAGCAGCTACTGCAGCGGCTACCACTCTGGCAGGGGCAACCACCAGCAACCAGCAGCATCTGCAGCAGGAACAGCCAACGAACTAGATTGTAAGCCTGACCAGAGGGCTCCTGCGCCTGGCAACCGTAGCTCCGTAAGCTCCCCAACATCTCTCCGACTGACTCTGATGCAATTAGCTTAAACCAATTTAGTGATAGCCTTAAGTGTGACTCTATGTTAAATGTTTGACTACATATACTATGCTAACGCCTAACGATTAACGATAACGGTTAAAGATTAAAGATTAACGACTAAAGATTGACCACCCAGCCGTCCTGTCAACGCCGCTGTCGCCATCGGCACACGGCAGACCCAATTAGCTTCCGATAATTGAAATAAAATAGTAATTGTAATGATAATGATGATTGTAAAAAGGAGCTCTGCAGCTGCAGCAGCCTAAACTGACGAATCGAATAACTTTTGTAACTCTGTTAATTTAAAATTTAATGTGATATAAATTTAAACTGAATAAAAGCAAAGTGTTTAAGTACTGTGAAGAATGAACTTGTGGCAGTAGCAGTGGGAAAAACAAGTTATACTATTAAAAATGAAAACGAACATTCGCCTATTTAATTTCCCCAATTAAAAGTTTACAAATTAAAACTATTTTAATGTGAATGAATTTCCCCCAATTACTGATAATATTATCATAATATGATACCCTATTTTCCCACAGTGCTCACCGGAAGGCTTACAGATTGCTGCCTACTTTCGGGCGACAGTGAATAAATAAGCCAGTCCACACAGAAACAAAAGCACAGCTCTGTTGTTTTTTCACATCGAATTGAACATCTTTTTTTATTTGCAATTCAGGTAAATTAATGGGGTCGCGTCGGAGAAGCGGGGCTGAGGGGTTGGGGGCGGGGCACGAGGGATGAGGGATGAGGGAATTGTGTTGTTCCACATTCAAATTGCAGGTAGTGCTAAACGAGTTGAGTTCTGTGGCCTCCGTTATTTTAACTGATATATTACGTTGCACTGATATTATATTGTTCCGTTTTCTAGTTCTTAGTACTGTTTACATGTATTTCTGCTAGCTACCTGCAGGTGCGCCAGGTGCATCGTCATGCTGGTCGCCTAATCGTACATAAGTGAAACAGAATTACGCTAAAAACAAGAAGCCGTTCCGCGAAGTTGCCCCCGCAAGTGGTGGCAGCCCACCGCGATTTAGATGGGCTCCCGGGGGGCGCACCACGTTGCAAGTTCGCTTTAGTTAGTCGAAGATTCTACTACGTGTTGTACATACATATGCGGTGTGTATACCTATATACTTAAGTGCCAATTTCAGCAGTTTGGACGACCGCGCGGAGCGGTTGTCCTGGTTGAATTCAAGTTTTCGGCTTTGCTTACATACTCATAAGATTTGGGCGTTTTCGTGTTCGTCGATTCATTCACTTTACAATACAATTCATCCTTCTTACTCGCTAGACGTGACTCGTAAATATCGTTACTCGATAGATATATCGTACAATTAATTGGGTGCAGAGTGTGGATATTCCTAGATTGGGCTTTGTGCAGAATCCCCGTGTTCTCCTGTCTTCGGTTTTCGGTATTCGTTTTCGGTTTCAGTTTCCGTTTTCTGGTCTAAATGGGGCTGGAAAAACACTTCTTACGACTAACTCATAGGCCATAGGGTACACTTAGCAAGTAGTTCTTGTATGTGGTTCAAGAAAATGTTAAATAGATAAAAAACGATCTCTGATAAAATGTCGTCTCCATTGTTTCGTCTCGTATTCAAAAGTCGTTAAAAATAAATTCAAATTCAAAACCTTCTCGCACGAGGAGTCTCGCGCCAAAAGTGATCTTCACTTGGTTTGGTTTACTTTTAGTTAGCTTACGCACTACAAAATACTCGAGAGTTAATCTATGCTCGATAGTTTCGATTTGTTTGTCTAGAGTCCTACGTTAGTTATCATGTAAAATTGGACGCCAAAAAACAATTAACAAAAGTGACGCAAAGCCCTAGCTTGAATCTTGAATCTTAGTGAAAATTCAATTGTAATTCTCAAGTTCTTTTTCTGGGATGTCTGTGTCTATGTTCGTGTGTGTGGGTGTGGGTGTGGCTGTGTGTGAGGGTTCAGCTCATTGTTTAGGCTTTTCTTTTGGTTACTCTCAATAAATAAGGCCAGTGGATACGCATACATCATAAAAGTACAATTCATGTTATCATATTCAATGTTTCACATTTCGATACAAATCTAGTTAGTTTACAAAAGCGCTCTATCGAGTTCTCAACGCACCATATCGCTCCTAATCATGTATATAAGTAGCATAAGCCTGCATTCGTATAATCGCTCCTAGTAGCCGCAACTCATGGGGAAAGCTTCTAGCCCTATCGATCCTAGCAATTTCAATAGTTCCGCCCTTTCGGTTGGTTCAAAGTTGTTTGGTATAAAAAATAGAAAAAATTTGGTGACAATAAAAACGGTTCGCCCTAGATCTGCATCTCAATTAACCGCGATGCACTGAGGCCAAAATAAGTCGCGCCGAAGTCCGCAAGTCTAGGTAGATACTCATGCGAATCTCGAGTATTAATAAAATCCATTAGCTTTCTACTGAGTTTGGGGTATACGATACGGTTCATACTGGAATATGAAACGCGATATGAACGGCTTAATACTTAACGCTTTCGACTTACAGCTATTTTCGTTCTATTGAATACGCTCTTGATTGCTTAAAAGTTGCTCGAAAATTAGTGAATCTGTTGTTTAGTGGTTATCGAACTGCCTTGCGATTTATCTAGCGATTTCAAGCGAATTAAAAGCACACTGATTGTATACATATGTCTGTAGGTGTTTGGGTCGAGGGCCTGGGCCTGGGCCTCCTTGGGCTTATCCTAATCGATCTGATCAAATCGGTTCCTAATCTACGACTTGCACTTAACCTCATCTCTGTGTTGGTTGGCTGTCGGAAGTTGATGTTGTTGTTCTCTGTCTGAAGTGCTGTTTCCAATGGTATGGCGTGGTTGCTGTTGTTGTTCGAGTGCTTTCCAGCTGCCAGGCTGGAGTGTCGGGGATGCGGCGATGGATCACCTGCCCGGCCAGAACCAGGAGCAAATTGTGCGGATGGACGACGACGACGACGACGCTGACGAAGACGGCGAGTTGGTGTTGGTGGAGAGATGCGGGAGGGATGCCGCATGGGTTGTGGATCTCCCCACGGTGACATCCTTGGCTGGACCCAGTTCCTTGTGCGTTTGGGTTGCGGTTCGCTGCTCGCGAGTCTTTGTTCGGGTTCGAGTTGGACAGTGGGACAGTTGGACAGTCGGATGGAGGAGCCCAACTAGCAGTAGTTGCCATTGCCATTGCCATTGCCATACCACGGAAAGGTCCAGCACCATCAGTGCGGGAGCATCAGAGGCCTGGCCGTGCTGCTCAGTCTGTGGTGGGCCTTCTCCACAAAGCCACCGCCACCGCCAACGCCCCCTCCGCCCCCGTAGTCCTCGTAGCTGAGCAGGGGCGAGATCTTGAGGCCGGTCTTCTCCGGGATGATCTTGAAGTGCGGCTGGTCGGCGCTGACCACCAGCGGCCGCTTCATCGAGGAGTGGCCGTAGTCCTGCGGGTACGGGTGGCTGGCCGGGTGGCCCAGCGGCCGGTGGGTGCTCGGCACGTTCATCTTCTTGCACGGCTCCGGCTTGCTCTCGTAGTTCATCTGGCAGTTCTCCGGCGAGTACTTGTTGGGCTTGTAGATCGAGAAGATGTTGTTGATCAGGCTCAGGGCGGAGTGGCCCCCGGCGGAGGGATGGTGGATACCGGCCGGGGGCTGCTGGGTCAGCACGCTGCCCACGGTGGTCGGGTGGCCGTGCTCCGGGTAGAAGTTGTTGTACTGGTACGAGGGCAGGGTGTCCACCGTGGGATACACCTTGTGGCCGTACCCCTGCGGATATCCGCCCGACTGGCGGTGATGGAAGGCGGGGGCGACGGCGGCGGGGGCGGGCTCAAAAAAGGATAGCCGCCCGCGGTGGTCGAGGACTCGCTGGAGTCCAGCTGCGGCGGCGAGGGCATCCCCTCGAGCAGCGACTTCTTGATCATCAGCCGCTCGTGCTCCCGGTCGTGCAGGTCGATGGGCTGCCCGTTGTTGTAGCAGCGCACGTTCACGTTCTTCACCTTCAGGCTACTGTGCATGTTGCGCCGCATGTCCATGTTGATCGGACTCGGTGGCTTGTCCAGCTGCTCCCAGTACTTCTCCAGGTCGATGTTGAAGTCCTCCAGGTCGATCTCGGTGGTGTCCGAGCAGGTGTCCTCGTCGAACAGGCTCGTCGGCGGCTGCATCTCCAGCAGCGACTTGCTGCGCGGCGGCCGGTGGTAGCCTCCCGCCGGATACCGCCGGCCAGGACTCCGCGGCGCCGGAGCGGCGGCCAGGTACCGCTCGTCCTCGTCCAGGAACTTGTCCTGCAGCAGCAGGCGCTCCCGCTCCGCGCGGATGAAGTGTTCCAGGTCGGTGTCGTAGCGACAGTGCATGTGCTCCTCCTCCTCGGCGGCGGGATGGTGGCCCGGGCACACGGGACGCGACCTGGGCCGGGCGGGCAGCTGCGGCTGCTGCGGCACCCGGCGGTGGCAGCAGCAGTCCTCCCCGGCGGAGCAGCAGCAGATCACCGTCGGAGCGCCCGGGGTCCTTTGCCTTCCGGCCCGCTCCTCGAAGAGCCAGTCGCCGGCGCTCAGGTTCCGGTTGCTGCCCGCTCTTGGTCGCATCCTCGATCCCAATCCCGATCCCGGGTAGATGTCCTCCAGCAGGCAGCGGGCACTGGTGCATTGGTCGCGCGCGCAGCAGCGATCTAGGCTGCTGCTGCACAGGACGTTCATGTTCCGCCGCAGCGCCTCCCGCTTCTCGCGTCGCGTGTTCGAGGCGGGGGGCAGCTCGTAGTCGATGATGTCGAAGGGCATCGTCTTGGTGGTGGCGCTGAATGAGTACGACTTGGGCACGCCCGCCCGGTTCTTCAGGATGGAGGTGGTGGCGGGCGGGGCCATGCCCCCGAGCTGCCGCTCCCGCTGGCGACGCCGCCGCCCGCCTCGAACACGTTGCCCTCGAAGCACCAGCTCTGCGACTTGGGGTACTGGAACTCCTTGCAGCTCTTGGAGCGGTGCAGTCCGTAGCCCGGCGAACCCTCGCCCTCCACCCGTCGCTCCTCCGTGGCGCCGGCCTTCTCGTCCAGCTCGTGGATGTCGCGCAGCGTGCGGAAGGGACCGTACTTGAGGCAGTCGGGCACGTAGTCCTCGTCCATGTCGTCGGAGCGGTTGGAGTAGATGTTGTCCGTATACCAGGTGGGGTCGAGCTGCTTGGGGCGCGGCTTGGCCTGCAGCAGCTTGTCCCGCTTCGACTGGCGGTAGCTCTCGAAGCAGATGCCCTTCATCTTCTCCAGCTTCTGCTCGCGGATGCGCTCCCAGTTCTCCCAGTTCTTGTCGTTCTTGTTGCGCCGCCCCGACAGGATGAGCACCTCGCGGTCCTTGTCCCAGTCGCCGCTGCCCTCGTCGCCGTAGTCGATGTTCAGGCGCTTCGTCTCGATGTCCGACTCCCTGGGAACCTGGTGGTGGATGTGGTGGTGCTGCTGCTGGGATGTGGCTGCAAAGCTGGGGGCGGGTGGTGCGGAAGCGGGTGCAACACTACTACTACTCTCGGAGACTACGATCCTAATCCTACGCTTGGTCTTGTCCGTCGTCCGCGACGAGGACGTCTGCAGGGACGACTTGTGCGGCCTGTCCCGCTCGTCGGAGGGCGGCTCCTCGCGGTCCTCTTCTGGCTGTCACACCTCCTGCAGATACTTGATCGGGCAGTAGCCCTGCCCGTGCTCGGCGGCGCGGATCATCACCATGCCGTTCACCTCGTCGCCGGTCTTGTTTTTGCGGGGGAAAATAGTAGTGATTGAGGTGGGACTAAGGATAGGGTGGCTCACCTGGATGACGATCTGGTCCCGCAGCAGGGTGAGGTTCTCGCCACGTTCGCTGTCGGAAACCTGCAGGTTGTGGGTCACCTGCAGCGGCTTCTCGTTGGCGTTCAGGCGCACACAGTACTTCGAGGGGAAGTAGCCCACGCGTCCCAGGACCTTTCCCTTCCACCAGTCCGGGTCCGAGTTGTCGATGACAGTCACCTGATTTGCCAGGATGTGAGGTTTATTAGTACTACCTAAGATACACTTTTATTAATTGGTTCGTAGTTCAAGAACTGTTTGAATGTGGAATGCTTATTAGCAAAGTTGCAGAATAATAACTCTTTACTAATTAGATACTTTTAGTTCCTCCCAAGATAAGATACATCTTTGCATTGAAACAAATAGATGAGCAAGCTTAAGAATATTTTATCTCCATAGTTTGTAGTGGCTTCTTCTCTGAGTTAAACTTATGAAATTATAATACCCTTTATAAGGGCATACAAACTTTCCCCACGCCATACGAGTATGACATAAGGCAAGCTGTAAGGACATTGTTTCTCGGCTTTGCTTGCACTACCCTACTTTAGCCTTCAGTGATTAAGTAAAAGTTGGCCAGAAAAAAGCACTTATCGATCCGCGCATTAAATTCCCAGAAGCCTGCCATAAAGCAAAAGTTTTGCCCTATCCCGCACCAATACCAATGCCATAGCCATAGCGGTCCAATGCCATCCCGCTCGCGAACAAGGACGCGGCCCAAACAAAAGCTAATCTGTAAATATTGAACACTTTGCCGGCGGCGGGCAGGCACTCGCAATCAGAAAATGTACACAAAAAGTCGGTAACTATTATTATTTCTTCTTATTCACTGTTTGTTTCGCCCTGTTTACGCAGTGGAAAAAGAGCTTCCTCCATCCAGTCGCTCGTATGATAAATAAACATGTTTTTACTGGCATTGTTCGTTTTAATATTGAATAAAGAGCGCAGAGCCTGAGCACTCTGGGATGGGAGTACATGCCTCTGATTTAGTTAACCAATTTCCCGGACAGCCATTGTGCGAAATAAGCGCTGCGCTTAGCGGATTAAACAAAGCGCATTGTTTATTATTCATACACTCGTTCGTTTATGGATTTTCCACTTGGTTGTTTTATGGAGTAGATGGGACACTAGGATGGGACTGACTCTCACCTTGTAACCAGCCTTGAGGTCCAGCTCATCGGCGTGTCGCGCCTTGAAGTTGTAGATGATCACGTACAGATTCGTGGGCAACAGGCGATGGGTTTTCTTGAAAGTGGTAAGCGTGTTTGGGATTGGGTTATTGTAAGTGTTATTCTAGGGTGCAATTACATTGTTCGACAACTTCAAACATTCAGTTTTTATTTTCCACAAGTAAGTTGTATTTTTTAAGTTATAACCATTGCTACCTGGGAAAGTACAAGTTACTTGTGGGAAATTTTATGCGCAACCCGAGTTATCAATCGAAAGGAGCGGGCAAGTGGAACAATTCAAGTTGGGAGAGTGGAGGGGGTCTACCTGGGGATGTCTTACGGGTGAGAGGCACGGCGACGTGCTGGCCGAGGACTGTGACTTCTCCATCTCGTCCGGCAGATCCACGCTGCCGCCACGCATTCCTCGCGTGGCATAGAGCAACTTGCGGCCCGGATGCGAAGGACTCGATGGTGCTGTAATGGTTTTGGATGCGTTAGTCCCTGCTCCAGGACAGGCTCAATGGTTACGGATTGGTTATTCGAATGCAAGTGGATGAACGAAAAATCAGAAGAATACCCATGGAAAAAGAAGATACATATAGACATTGTACAGATAAATTATACTCAATTGCGGTTAAGGAGGTAAATCGAGGGGGTGGTGGGAGGTGGTTGCCCCTTCGAGGTGGAAGATGTGGTTAGCAGATGAAGTTAGTTAGACTACGGTTGGCATGTATCTCAAAGCTGCTATCAACTACTAGATAAGAGGTGAACGAAATCGAACTACTCAACGAAAGTTACTTTACTCGACTCTTACTGCGGCAACGTATTTACATAGTAGAGTTATCGTAATAGCAATAGTATTAGTAATAGTTAAGCAGTAAGAAAGGTTTAGCTGGAGTGTTCATACATACTAGTTTGGAAATTAGACTTGGGGTGTTGGTGGACTTATTGGTTAGTTAGTGGTGCAGCGTTCGTCGGTGTCCGGAATCGGGGATTCGATAGCGTAATCGGTTTGGGAACCGGGAGTCTCCGGGAAACCGGAAACGGATTCGGAAGCGCTTACTGGGTTGCTACTTACAGTGCAGACGGCTGTTGTTCGACGGCGGAGTGCTGTGCTCCAGGTGGCCTCCGGACCCGCCGTGATAGTAGCCGGATCCGGCCGATGTGGAGGCTCCCGTGCCGGGGAGTTGGACCCTCCGCCTGAACTGGCCGTGCAGCTCCGACGATTCGGGCGAGTCCAGGCTCAGGGATTTCATGCGTAAGTTCAACTTTTGGCGGCGCGGAGAGTGCGGTGCTGTTGTTTGGATTTTGTATTTCGAATTTTGTATTGGAACATGGTTATATTGTTGTTGTGTGTCGGACAATACACGGTTGGCAAAAAAATGACAGTAAGATGTGGAATAAAAATTGGTTGATTTTAATTTCGTTTGTTAAGCATTTGGTATATCCAAATTGGAATCTAGGCGTCTACAAATCTAAGCAAAACCCAAACAAAATCGATAAGTAAAAAGAAAAAACGTTATACACTTATTGGCCTTTGGCAAGGACATTGATAGAAAGATTGTAGCTTAATGCAATTAAAAGATTTATCGTTTTTTTTTCTTGCAACATAGCAACATTCGACATTTTCAGGAAGAGACAGCGTGTGTTTGGCAAGTCGAGTGTACTTTGCTAGTCATCCCGTTTCAGTTGCCGCAAAAAACAAAAGCCAACTTAGGATACTCGCATTGCTGGGTGTGTGTGTGTCGGTGTTGGCCAATATGGATTTTGACTTCACAAAACATATGGTAAATCATAGAAAACTCGCTTCCATCGCCCTGTGCCAGATGAAGGTGATCGTGTGTGGAGATAGACTCAAGGAAAGCCAGATATCGTTTTGCTTTTTATTCGTGTTATTATAGTCATTCGTTTGTGGGTGATGTGTGGTTTCTGTGCGATATTTACAACAACCATACAACATTTAGAATATAATCGTGGTGTAATCGGAAGTGACTTAATACTTTAATCGTAGTATACATTAACATTGCTCTCTGGCTCACGCACATTCGCAGAATCGAAATTAACTAGGTCATACGATAGATATAAATATATAGATATATGTATATATAGTAGATATAGGTAGGGGGTAAATTTAACTATGTGGAGTATCTAATAATAATTACTGTGCTGCAGTTAGAACATCAATTGGGCTAGGTGTCTAGGGCATAATAAAATCAAGAACTTAATCAGTAAATCGCTGTAGAACTGTGCTAAATCAAGGTGTCAGGTGTTCCTCCGCCCTCCACGTCGGGTCTTCCGCAATTCATCGCACTCGCCGGTTGCCCTTCGACTCGTCCGGACTTCCGGACTCCGGGTTCTTGAGGAGCATCAGGGGTTCGCCAAAGGGTCGCGTGGTCTCGGACTTCGGATTCGCTGATTCTGTATCGAGATATACCACACAATCTTGTAGTTTTGAGCGGCTTTTGGGCGATTTGATGGCGGGGTTAGTAGCTTTTGCGATCGATTAACTGCCCCAGTAAGGCAGGCTTTTCCGCCGACTGACTCGCAGAGCAATGTGAATTAAAACTAATTAGGTTAAATGAAGACAAGAAGCCCGAAAGAAAATATTAAACATTAAGACAGCGTTCATGCATAAAGCAAACCGAAAACAAGCCGGAGGACGACCAAAGGAGAGGAAACCGGCGGCGGAGGAGGACTAGAACCAGCATCCCTGGCCCGAGTAATAGAGCAGAAACATAATCCCGGGAAAATAAGTGCGGAGCCCGCAAGGAAGTCGAGACTGGCAACTACGAGCTGGTGGCATGCAACGGGGGGAGTGGAAAAGAGGGAGAGGGAGGGGGGAGGGGGAAAGGGGAAGGGGGCGGAGGCCAAACGAAAGGCAGACCCGAAACGGAAAGAAAAATAAGGAGCGCAAAAAGATTGTGTGTCATAACAATTTTTAGCATAATTATGTTCGGCCTGGGACCGACCTCGGCCCCCAGCCACCCAGTTACCCAAACCCCGCCCTCCGCCCATCCGCCCTCCGCCCATCCGCCCTCCGCCCATCGACAAGAAGTTGGCTCCGCCCAAGACAAAAGTTGGCAAGTTGGCAGCGCGACTTTAAACTTGCGTCTGTGGCATTAAAAATGCAGCAAACATTAAGCGCAAATGAACTCGCGCCTTGGCGAAAAACTTTTTGCCCGTCTGCAGCATTTGTATTTGTATGCAGCCTCCAGCTGGAGGAGCCAAACACCCAGCCGAACCACCCAACCCCACTGGCGAGTGGTGCGGCTGAATTCCGCACAAAAGTTGACAATGGCTTGTAATTTACACGGCACTAGCAACAGCAACAGTAGTCCTAAAGCTGTGGCATAAACAGTGGCAGGATGAAAGTGCCGAGAACAAGGAACTACAGAGAAACAAAAATCAGGGAGAAAGGGTTTGATTTTTGATTGTTTTAGTCCCTGAGCTCTTAAGTATTTTGACTGAATTTAGGGACTCAACAACACTCTTTAAACCGGATTCAAAATTCAAATTTAATAGCTTAAGCCGCAGGAACCAAAATTCACTGGTCAGTTGGCTGTGAGCGCATAAAAAACTAATTTGAAAGTATAAGTTTCACTTGATGGTTCTCATCCAGCAATTCATTCTTTCTGTGGTTAAGTATATTGCACTTAGCTTACACTGAAAAGTATTTACACTAACTTGAATAGAACAACTGATTTAAGTTTAAGTAGAGTTACGAGTGAGGTTCCCATTGCTTTTTCTTTAAAATACGAGCTACAAAACCAAAACCCTTCGAAACCAAGCTTTTTGTCCCCCAATTAGTTTCTTTTCGGAGTGTAGAAGGATGGGATTTCACTCCGTGGAGCAAGTTTCCTTTCGACTCCAGCCGAGCTGAAGCATGATGAAGCTGCTTTCAGCGCAAAAGGAACTCGGCCATGTATACAAATGATGGCGTTGCAGTTGCGCTCGCTCTGCCGTGGCAACGGAAATGAGCCATTTGCCTGAAGTGTAAACTGGGTTAAGACTAATTGGCATTTAATCCGACCATTGTTTAATAGCGAGGGCTGGGCGGGCTGTCGAGCTGAGCTGAGCCGCGCTGAGTTGAGATAATTAAATCGCGTCTTGCCACTCCAAGTCTTTCGGCAGCAGCGGGAGGGGGCTCACAAACACGCAACAGACACACATACGACAGATCACAACTTCGGTTTCACTGCCACGCGGCAGCAACACGGAAAATAAATCCAAAAAGAGGTACACAGAACACGGAAACACAATCTAAACATCGATGTCGGGTGGTGGGGATCAGATGCAGTACTGTTCCAACGAGAACTCATGGCTGTGATGGGGTCTGAATGGGGTGAGGTGCTGCACGTGCGGCAAGTGTTGCAGATGCTGGCTGGGAGATGGAACGATTCGGGTCGGGTCTCTGCCGCGGCATGACTGGGTTCTTGGTGTCGTGGCGGGGTGGATCGTGGTCTGTCTCCTCGGCTGTGGTGCTGTGGAGCTCTGACATCGCGTATTTACTTTCTGGCAGCGAGATCGAGCGGTGCTGCGAGGACCGCTGCTGCCGCAGCCGCCCGAAGACGGACAGCGGTCGGATGCCGGCGAAGAGGCGCCTCCGCAGTCCCGGATCGTTCGGCGGATAGCTGACGCTGCTGCCGCTCGTGCTGCTCCCCGACTGTTGCTGCTGCTGCTGCTGCTGCTGTTGCTGCTGCTGGTGGGCAGGCGAGGCTCCTGCCGAGATGGAGGACGGGCCCGCAGCCTGCTGCAAGTAGGTCAGCTGCTGGGCGTTCCCCGTGTAGTAGTTGATCCCGATGCCGTTGCTGATGTACGCCGAGCTGGACATGTTCGACACGGGGGCAAAGAACTGGCCGTACCGCGGTTCTGGAGTGTTTGGTTTGATGTGGTTGGTTGTTGGTTGGTTGGTTGGTTGTTTGGTTGTTTTTGGTGGGTTATTGGTTGGTTAATTGAGTTTGCAAGCGAAACGAAAATTGGCAAAAAAGATATGGACACGAGAGAATTTAAAGATACATAAGTGGTTCATATTAGGCGTTAGCTTAGTTTATCTGAGAGGAGGTTCTGTGTTCGAAGTTTAGATTTAGAGTTCAGAGTTCGGCGTTCGGATGGAACTGTACTTACAACTACCGTAGCTTGGGGTCGATTTAAGATGCAGCCTGCACAGAGGCAACTGCATTTGCAACTGCATCTGCAACTGAAGCCGCAAGAGGCAGTCTCCAATCAATCAGTTCGGAGCCGCATTTGCCCTTTGCTAATTGGAATAATGCAGCTGCCGATGCAGTTGCACCAGGTTTCTTGTTGCTGCCTGTCAGTTGCCAGTTGCAAGTTTGCAAGTTTGCAGTTGCAAGTTGCCAGTGTGCTGCGGCGCTAATTATGTGCGCACTTGCCAAGATTTAGGGCACTTTGCGGCCAGGGGGGCGTGGTCTGAATTGTGGTCTTAAGCAGGCGACAAAAAGGCAATGTCATGTCGCCATGTGACTGTTGCAGGGGCAGCAAGGGGAGGCAAGTGGAGCACAGAGACCATGTATTCTAATTGAGGCTCATTCGCGTAGACAAACACACCACCCTCCATTCACTCACTTCAGCTGATTGTGTGCTGTTTGAATAGAGATGGCTGGGGAAATCAGGATGTTTAAAGGAAAACAAAGTGTTTGGCATACACAAATTAATTACGTTCAACTAAATATGATACGCAGATGCTACGTGTGTTTGCGTAAGCTATAATTGATGCTGGCTAAGCTACGAGTACTGTATTTCGGCAACTGCTTCAGTCAATAGCGTTTCGAATCAAATTCAACTCTAGAATAAATTATGTATACACAAATGCATATTTATATGTGATTTATCGATTATTTATTTGTTTCTGTGTGTGATTATTGCTGTTCGAGTGTGTCAGTGTGTGTGTGATTGTGTGATTGTGTGTGCTAAAGCTGGCCAGAAAAAAACCAGAAACTCCAAAGCGAAGCAATGGGGCGTATGAGCAATTATTTGGTTAGCGCAATGTGAGTGAAGTAGAAATTGTTTTGCCAAATCTAAATATGTTCGCAGAGGGAATGCAATTGTGTGTGGCTAATGCGGACATGAACAACTACTGTCTGCTCTACGGGTGCGGAAATGAGCGAGTTCAGCCCGGTAACTATGGTACGTATGCCGACTGGATGAGCTGGTGACTGAAATCTGGACATTACTTTAAGTTATGAGTTCAAGCCGAGGCACTGAGACGGGATCCGGGATTCGAGACTACAAAGGAGGAGAAGGTTGAGGGGTGGGAAACCGAAACCAAAACCAAAACTACAACCAAGGCTCCAAAATAATTGCGAAATGTAAATGAGCGAAAGAATGCAGGATAGAGAGAGACAGACAGAGAGGAGGAGGAACAGAGAGAGGTGAAAGTAACACAAACTACTTGGCGGCCTCTCGGCGATTTGCGGACCTGAGCTACTAGATATGTCTTGTGGGGGCACCGGCAGGCCGCCGCGCTGCTGCTGCAGCTCCTGCTGCTGCAGCTGGACGCCCAGGATGGGCATGGCCACGGGAGGCGGCCGCACCCCGCGTCCCGCTCGCACCGCTGCCGCCTGCGCCACCGATGCCAGACTGCGCTGCTGCTGCTGCTGCTGTTGCTGTTGCTGTAGTTGTTGCTGCTGCTGCTGCTGCTCCTGCAACGCCAGCTCCGAAACACTGACAATCGGAATGTCCGGGGGCGGGGCCCTGCCCATCTCCCGCTCGGACAGCGCCGGCACCGGAAGCGCCGCTCCTCCCGCGACGCCGCCATCCAACTGCTTCCCCTGGACGGACTTCTCGGCGCCTGCTGCAAGATGCCCGGATTTGAGTTCGCCGGCTTGTTTCAGCACGCGGTAAATTTGATCGATTTCGGTTATTTCTTTTGGTTTTTCGTTTTTGATTTTCAATTTTTAATTGCAATTTTCAATTATCAATTTGAGATTTGTGGTTTCATTTGATTTGATTTGATTTTTTGGTGCCGAAGTAGGTACGGTTCAGTACGGTTGATGGGGGGCCAGTTTGATTCGGATTGGTTCGATTCGATATCGTTTTCGATTGCCGGATTGGGGTGAGGATGTTGTTGATGCGTCGTTGAAGTGCATTAGTACAAATTGCAAGTGGTTTCGGGGCGATTCGATAATTTGGAATGAGTTTGATGGGGGACTGGGTACTCGGGGGGCTCTTGTCATGACTTTGGTTGATACAGAGTGTGTGGGTGGTACATATAGTTACGATCAGCTAGGCTCGAAGTTACACTAGGCCAACTCGGGGCCGTACTGTCCATGGGCTAAGATGTGGTACCCGAAACCGATCGAAAAACAGTAGCCAACAACACTTATGCGAGATGGAGAGTGAGGCAAGTTCTAGTGAGCTGTTCGATATTACTGAATGCTGATTACTGAGTTTGCGGCTATAACATGCTCCTCTACTTAAACTTGAACTGATTTCGTTGAGTGGTCCCCCAGCTCTATTCCGCAAACGGAAATCTTAGTGGTCATTGATTATCTGTGTGGAATAACTTGTGAGAGAGTGTTGTCGGGTGTGTGGGTGTGTTTAGATTTACTTTGAGCTGGTTTCATTCGCTGAATGTCTCGCTAATTAAGTGGGTCAAAAGCGCAACAGTCAACACAAATACGAACAAAATCATAAGATCAAGCGCATTTCAATCGAGTATCTGGCGCATACTATACGAGTATTATATATAGATGTTGGATGTACGTTTATGGCACATACTAATCGAGTAATACGGTTCAATTGGATACCTAGTTGCGCAATGCGATGCATGAAGGGCGTCTTTTGACGGAACTTCGCATTTGGCACATTCAACTGATTTGCGCTCGGATTCGCATTCGGATTCAGATTCAGATTCGGATTCAGATTCAGATTCGCATTGGCATTCATATTGAGACTGGGGTTCGGATCGTCCGCCTGATCTGCTGCAGCTGCAACAAGCGACTCCTGTGGCGAGGCTATTGTGTTTTGCATTTCGTTTCGTTGTTGAGTGGTTTTTTGTTTTTGGGGGAAGGGAAGAGGGTTGCATATTGGTTTAATCAAATAAATGTCGAGAGTCGGCAGTTCGGAATTTGTGTGGCTGACAGATAAGCTACATAAATGGCCAAGTCGCACCCGCAAGGTATGCAACAGATTCTATTTTCCTCCTGACAATTGTTTACGGTTCAGTGGGCAGGAAGCCATCATCATCTACGGAACTCCAAGGATATTTTACAATGCGTGTGAGTGTGGCTGTGTCTTTGAGTGTGGGTGTGTGTGTGTATGTGGGTAGCCGAAGGAGCCAGGGAAATGCAAAAGTTCTTGCTCGCCGAGGTCTGCGACACAAATCACAAGTGCCACAATCTGTACGCCCCACGAGTGCCATAAATCCATTGTGAAATCAACTGATACCAGCCACTCCCACTCGGCATTCTCTTTGGCCAGCTGAAATCAATAAATGTTTGCCGGCAACAAAATGTGCTGATGCGGCCGCCTGGCCAAAAGGAAAGGAAGAATGAAATCGAATCGAATCGAATGCCACGGAATGCAATGGAATACAAGTAGAATAGAAGGAAGGCAAGGTGAGTGGGCCACGGAACGCAACGCATTCGACGGAACTTCTGCTATTTGCGGCGGGGGTCCTGCTCCTGCAGCAGGACATGCTAATGCCTCGATGCAAACACCATTCGGGCACGGCCGGTCGAACAAATTGTTGGGGAATTTCGCTCGCCAGCACATCGCATTTCCCATGCAACTCGTTAGCCGGCCTCAAGCGGTTAGTATGCGAGTGTGTTTAGCCTGTTTCTGTTCTCAGTTCTCTGTTTTCTGTGAGCTGTGAGCTGTTTTCTGCTTTCTGGTTTTTTGTTTTTAGTTTTTTGTATGCTGTATGCTGTGTGCTGTATTCTGTTTTCTGGTTTCTGGGGCCATGGCTGTGATGCTGTGCGTGCCAGATACTCACTTTCTTCCTCGATATCAACGCGGTTCTCCAGCTCCGAGGTGCTCTTCTGGCGCCGCAGCAACTTCTGCTTCGGCTGGCAGCGCGGCAGGTTGGGGGCGCAGTCCCCGTGGGCGTTCAGCTTGCAGATGCGGCATCGCAGTCCCTGGCGAGTGTGGCCTGCAACCGGAAAGGGTTTAGAAGTGTTATCCAATGGGGAAATGGGAGTGCTGCAGTTTTATGTTATGGCGTAGAGAGTGCTGCAGTCGACTGCACTGCGCCCAAAAGTGCCTATTATCCGACTACACAATCCCCAAAAGAGACTTTAAAAGTCTTTGCTTTGTCTAATCTAAGTGGATTCCTGATTTAATGAGAAATAATCTTAAAAGTTTTATTAATCCTATAATCCATTTGGAAAAGATTAGTTGACAATTTTGTTTAAAAACAATACATTTTTAGTGGGTTGCAAATAGTGACTTACAGCAGAAACAAACACTGTTTTGAGCACCTTATGACCAAGATTAACAAACCCAATCACTTTTTGGAAGATTAAAAAAAAAAATTATTTTTGCCCAAATTTTGCATTTTTGGTACGGGTTAGTAACATCATCATTTTTTGCGAAAAATGGCAAAATTTCAACATTTTTAAGCGAGGCTGCCATCGGATATAGAATTTTATAACGAATTCATTGGTGTATGGCTTTCAATATTTCGATTAGTACTTAACGAGATAAAGACAAAAAACGAAGTTTTTATTAATGTATTTATGCATTTGTTTCCTTAATTAAAATGATTTTTGTGTGTTGGTTGGGCAAGAAACGACTTACAGCCGAACAAAGTACAGTTTTGAAAAACAGAGAAGCCCAACAATCTATTTGATTGAATGCAATTTAATTGTAGTTTAACTAACTACCCGTCCCCTGACCCCTGTCAAAAATCCGAAAAATGGCTTTTTTAGAAAACTTCTTTTAGGAAACATAGGAAACCTTCTTATTCAAGTACCTGGTGAGTCCAACCACCTTATATGTGTACTCACCTCTCAGAATCTGGGAGCAGACGTCGCAGGCCGTTATCTTCTTGTAGGTGTACTCCTGCAGGTGGTGGCTGCCATCCAAGTTGGGGCGCAGCGGCTCGGAGGCTGTGCTGGAGGCTCCATTGCGCCTGTGAGGGAGACGATTCGGAGGGATTAGCGGAGGGACCCGTGGATGGAGTCGCAAGTGTTGCACTTTTCCCCGAAACGCGGCCCGAACGGCCAAACTGAGCATATGTCCATAAATCGTATGAACAGCCATTGCATTTGAAGGCTGCTCTTATGCTGTTTTGTGTTTTTGTATATCTATACGCTGTGTGCACAGTGACAACAGCAAACAATGGCGGATGAACAATGGCGTGTGGACAAAGCACACAGGACACAGGACACAGGACGCCGGACATCGGACAATGCACATTAATCAGTGCGATGGTGCGTGAGTGTGTTTGGACAAGGAACACATTAAAAAGAATTGTATTTAAAATAAACACACACAGTTGTGTGCGGTACTCAACCTAATTGGATTCACAGGAAATTGGTCGATTAATCACTGCCCCGAGTACTTTACAAGCTCGTGATCTCGTGCTTTGGCCAGATCTCTCAATCCACAACGCTTATGCAAATTATTGTGTTATTTATATTGTGTGCGCATCGAATTCATTTCAGCAATTTCGCTTCATATTTGCACAAAGGAGAGATACAGCCAATTTGCGACTGCTTCCCTCTCGCTTCCTGCCCCTGCGGCACTTTTGTTTTATTTGCCAGAAAAAACCGAACCGAGCCGAACCGAAGGACGACTGGCGAAGGGGGCGGAAGGAGGCGAGTGGCAAGCGGCAAGTGGCAACTGGCGGGTGGAGAGTGAAGAGTGGGGAGGGAGAAGGACTCACAATGGGGCAATTGTTGAGGCAGCACCAGGCTCAGAGGCCTAGGACTCGACGTTGATTGTTTGTAAGTGGCTTATGCACACAGATGAACAGACGGACGACGGGACGGCTGCCTGGGAAATAAATTCAGTTGAGCACATTGGCACAATATTTATAAAGTTGTTTGTTGCAAATGCGTTATAAGAGTACACAAAAACGCCCGGATTTCTCGGCCACATTTCGGGCGGCGCGGGGGAAAGTGCAACACTGTGATTGACAGCTACAAATGAACACTGACACGATGACACTGAATATATTCGTAATCTTAAACTAAATATTGACCAAACTAACTGATAGACTTAGCTAACAAATAATGCCCGAGGTGGTAATTATCTAGGCCATGTATCAATACAATTTACAGGTATGTACAGTTGGTATGTACAGTTTCAACTGGTTTTTACTGGGGTAATTACGATTAATTGGTATACTTAAAGGGATTACGGCTGGGGAGTTAATTACGGAGTTAATATTAATTGATTATACTGGGTTTTTTTGAGATGTTCGTGTGGTTGATTTGGGGTGCAGCTATGGCAAAATGCTAAAAACGAAACGGAAATACTTTGGCTATTTGGGCGGTATGAGTAATGGTTTAATTATAATAATTTCCACAACATATTTATTAGTCGGTTTGTATGCAACTTAAAACTTTCACTGCGCTGGCAAATAAATGCACGAAAATATAAATAAAAGCCGAGAAGCAGAGAAAAAAGGAAAAACAGAAAAACAACCCAGAAAAAGCAGCTCCATAATGAGCAACTGGCTCGAATTTTTCGAAGGGGCGGCGGTGGCTTAGTTTCGTTTCGGACTCTCTGTAATTTCTGCCGAAACTTTTGCAATATAACAGAGCCGAACTTTTAACTGTGATTTTCTTGTCACGTTTGCAAATGTATATTTGTATTTATGCCCGCACTTTCGACCCATGAATGCAGAGTGGAGAGTGGCGAGCATTCGCAGTGCAGCTTGAAGAGATAGAGCCCACTTAAGCACCCCTGCCCATTCACTAAGCCGAGAAGATTTTCCGATTTTCCGATTTATCATCATTGGCAGTGCAGCTGCCGGCACGGAATTAAGTATTGTTGCCACTCGGAGCTGCAACGTAGCCATCGCAGTGGCAGTGGCACTGGCAGTGGCAGTGGCAATGGCAGTTTTTAGGTTGCAGCTCGAATAGCCTGCGTGTGCATGTGGGTGGAAGCGGCTGCAGAATTTATAGTTTTGCAATTTTTCGCATATTTTTCAATGCTCCACTGGCGCCGAGTGGAATTTGCTGGGAGCAGCCGGAAACTTGTCCGGAACATATGGAACGGCCACACGGACGAGCGGACAGACGAACGGACAGACGAACGGACAGACGAACGGACGGACGAACGGACGGACGGACAGACTCACATACTCGTACTGCGACACATTTATCCGTAGTTATCGAACGGGGAAACTTTGTTGCTGGACTTGGACCAGATCCAGGATCCGGCATTGTCTTTGTGCCAGTTCAACGAGCGGCAGCTCGATGTTGCAACATGCAGCCTTTTAATTGCCGCCCGCCACGTGATTGATGACGTTCCCTGGACGCAGGTGGCATTTACGGCGCCCGAAGACAAATTAAATGTGTTCGGCATACGTGTCAAATCGAAATTTAAATCTATTTACAAAAACAGGCAAATAATACGGTGTCGAGTGCGGCAGTTGATGCGAATTTGAAACCAATTGGCCGGGATCCAAGCGGGATTGTTTATGTTCTCAGCTAGTTCTACATTGCGTGCAACATTACGGCAACCGTTCGAATCGAATCGAATGGAATGGAATCGATTCGATTCGGATCGGTGGCACTCATACGTTCTGTACACGGTTATATGGGTTCTATGGGGCTAAACTTGGATGCTGGGTGACGGTTGGTTTTTTTTTTAGTTTTTGTGGTTCTTGGTGAATTTCGGTTACCTCAAAGTCAATACGGTCGATACAGCGTGGTACATTTGATTTTGTCGGGGTGGTTGGCTGATAGATCGCGAATTGGTATCGAGACATTGGTTTTTTGTTGGGCAAAGCATTTGAATGCGTTTAGTGTTCGAATGGAGATGGTATATACGTAAGTTAGTACGAGTATAAAGAAGAAGTGGAGAGATCGTTATTATGGCAAGTAGAACTTAGCTTAGCTTAGCTTAAACTAGGGTGGAGTGCCTGGCGAACGCGGATGCACCTGAATGGGATTATCTTGTAAATTGCGAGTGCAATTGCTGCATTGCATAATCCGGATTGTGCAAATATTAGGAATTCTTTCAGAGTATTTTATTGCGAGCGGGTATGGGGATGGGGATGGAGGTCGGGCAGCTGCTTTACCCTTGGATGCCTGAATAATTTTTCGCGTTTTCCACAAGCTTTTAGTCATATTAATGTGCGGGCGGCCCCGCCCGATTTGGCCTCCCTCCTCCACTGGCACTATTTCATTTTGTATCTGGCCGGGCTTAGTCCTCCACCCCCGACGTAGTTACTACGCTGCACGG